TTTTAATAACCTCAAATTCCTTTATTTTTCCGTAGAAGTATATTCTTTACTTTTATCTCCAAACGTTTCTTGGACTTCCTTCTTTAGGGTGATTTTTTTCATTTTCATTTCTATTAAGAGGCTTACACACTACACTATTTTTAGTAACACTAAAAAAGTCTTCGCTTCAAAATCCTCCAAAGACACTATGCTTACTTACCAGGTAAAATATCCTTAAAGAATATTTTTTCGCAGTTTTATAACTAATAACTCTTTTTGTAAAGCGAGTCGAGCCAAAATATACAAGTTCAATTAATTAACTTACGGGAAACAATAATATCACTATTGCGTTAATTTTAGAAGTCCAATTCACCAACGAAAATTCATCCGAACTTATAAAATTGCATGGGTGGCTCAATGTGCAACACTTTCCGCTATTATCACTATTTTTATTTCCTTTTTAAGTTTGGTTTTTAAGTTATTAATAATTTTTTAAGCCCAGCTATATACGTTAAACTACAACTCTTTATTTCAAGCTTATAAGCTTCTTTGGTTTTCAGTAACTTTTTTTCTAAATCATCTTTAACTTTATTTATTTCATTATCTAAATACTTATATAACTGATCTTCCGTAGTTAAGTAGTTTTTAATAGGCCATGAGCCCTCGAGAATATGTAATTGTAAAATAATACGTTATAAAATGTTATAATAAGATACACTATAGACTATATTGTAATATCATATATGTGGTCGAGTGACTAAAGCACTGTAGAAATTTTTTTAATAATAGTGGACTCTCTAGGTGCACCAAACCAATCTTACAAATAAGAACAAGAGGGTAAAAAAAATAGTGGCAACGCATGCATGGGCTGCATTTCTATTAGCATATGCACCTCTCGAATTCCTCATACTATGAACCGCTTTCCCACCTTTCTACGATATCAAAGATTATATTTGAATGTTAAATCGTACTTGGTTTGTAAAGTATCTGCTCCCTGGTAACAAGGTCATTCAAGAGTTTACAGGCGGATAATATGTTAGATCTAAGGTTTAAAGGGTCAATGATGTTCGAGGAAAGAATGATGAAATATGCGAGTTAATAGCGAGATTAAGTATTCATATACCTTTAATTTCGGAAACTCATCTCAAGGGTGGCAACCAATTTTTCCTTCCCCAACTATATTATATACGGGACTGACTGTTAACATGGTGGATAAGAGGGCAGCAATACTCATTAGCAGACACGTTCACCACTCGTTATTGAATTTGAAATCAAGACCCTTGAAGTTATTGGTAACTGGCTACAATTACAGAATAATAACAAAGTAATATTGCCTCAGCTTATAAATTCCCAGATGACTCTGGACAAAGTAATTGGGGAGGGACCCACACTGTTGGGAGGTGATCTTAACTGTAAGCGACATAGTAATAGTAAACGAGTTAATCCGAATAGTTGATCCTCGATGACTGAGCCGCGTAAAATAGAACAATCGACTTTGAGCACAAGTGATGTCCTTGATACTAGAAAAATTTATTTCATGCGCCACTCTCCGTTCTGCACGAACTTTCTCCGACCACAACCCTATTATGCTCGAAATATAAAAGGTTCCCACATATTTGAATCATACCTAAAAAATTTACCAACGGAAACCCTTTAAGAAATGCGCGATGATCTAACGACTTTTGGATATCCTATTTTGATCATATTAACCCGACGATTTTACAACTTGAGGGGCAATAGTTACCTCAATGACAGCTTCTACTAACAAGAAATGCCTTCCAGCTATTATTATAACTATTCTAGATAACAAAATTTCTTTTAGAAAGAAGAAAATAGAGGAAAAAGTGCATACTCAACTTATACCTTTCCCCACCCACCCTGATGGAGTAGCCCTTAACAAGTGCTACAGTAAATTAAAGACTCTCAGACGTTTTTCTAAGAACTGTGGAACTCCTAAATAAGATCATTAAATACACCTGATAACTTTTTCTGGATAACGGCGAAAGACCTGAAGCCATCAAGTTATAAAACCAAATTACCGCCTTTAAAAACAAACGGAAAGTCTCTTTTCGCTGCGGAGGCAAAAGCCGCTTCTCTGGCCCACTCGTTCTCTTTAAATGACAGTTAACTTTAATAGGCTTGACCTACAGCTTGTAAATCTAGCTCAGAGGTTGTCAATAGCGCCCTCTCTGAAAAATGAAAGCTCCACTGCTATATTTCCAGCATCAAAGAAAGAAAAAATATATACATATTGGAACCGTAGCATCGCTTAATGTTAAATCTCAGAGAGCCGTTTCTATCACCATCTCTATTTTAAAACACTACAACAAAGTCTCTTAGGTGCATTACAAGCCTCATTAACCCTCTCTTTCACTAATATTTGTACCGGACATTTGGAAACTTGCAGAGGTTGTTTTCATTCTAAAGTGTAGCAGAAAATGTCAGTTTCCTGATGAATATTGCCCTATCCATTTTTTATCGTGCGTGGGGGAAATGGCGCAACTGATATCTTTAAGAGGTTACAAAACTCGTTTCTAAAAAAAAGAAATAATAAACGATAATCAATTCGGCTTCAGACGGAAGGATTTCTGCGCATTAAAGCCTTCATAATAAAAATTCAATAGTAACCGTATTTCTTGTTGTTGAAAAGGTGTTTGATAAGGTATGGCATTACGGGTACTGTTCAATATGGTCCAATTAGTATTCCTATTTCGTTGGTAAACCTTTACACTCATTTCTCCTCAATCGAAGGTTTATGCCAAAAAAGAAAAGTAGGCGAGATTAAGTCAATTCGATAACAAACCGCGGGGGTCCCAAAAGTACTTTATAAAAAATGTGTATGAAGTATATTAAATTAAATATGCTTGTTTGACTAGTTTCGGTCGGTATTTGTACTTTTACAAAAGGTCGATACTCTTCTATATATGTACAATAAATTTAATTGAACCAAATAAAATTTTTTGTTAAGTTTTTATCCAATTAATAAGGCAGGTCAAATAATTTTTTTTGTGCTGAAACATAAATTTCTCGTTTCTTGTATTTTCATTGGTTGTTTCCCAGGTTTCTCATTGGATTAAACACGGATCACTTTTCTTGTGAAATTAAGAGGGCTACTGTTATGCTTGTTTTTGTTTGTATTTGTACTTTTGTGTTTAGGTATGTGTTTAATGGTTGCGTACTTTATACGTAATTAAACAATGTTTTTTGTAATCTGTTTTAATTTTTTTCTATGCTTTTTATCTTGTGTTTTGAATTGTTGTCTTAGGTGTTGTATATACTGTGTTATTGCGTTACCCTTACTGTTCATAAAATATTTATCCAACAAAGTGAACAAGTTTCTATAGCTCAGTATACTGACGACCTTGCCATTTGTCGCAATTCCAAGCCACAACCTTTAGCCACCCGCCGGATCCAAAATTTTTTATCCATTCTTGAAGCTTGGTCACTAAAATGGAATAAAAATATAATTTCCTCAAAAAGGCAGTGCCTACTCTTTCTAGGATAAAAGTTTCCCAACGTTCGGGGGCTTACTTTATTTTGGCGCAGATTATCCTATGGAAAATTCATTTAAGTTGGAAAGCTCATGTGGGTTGTGCCATAAAGAAAGCGATGCTAAGGCAAGTTTGTATTAACTTTCTCCTCCGATCAAGCAGGCTTTCACTACATTTCTCCTCTACGTCCTGTATACGAACCGGTATTGCTGTATGTGTTGTTTTAATGCACTGACACTATTTACTCTAGTGACCAAAGTATAATTAAGATTATTCAGAACAAGAATATTATATTATATTTTATTAATTTCACTAGCCCAACGACGCTGCTCAACGCAAGAAGCAGACTATCCCTCAAGCCGCGCCATGGCTAGCTTACCTATATAATGTTAGAACTTCGCCCTCATTAAGTTATATGCACTCACTAATTATAGGTGAGTAAAAACTAAATCGTAAAAAAACTTTAAAAACTTTGTTTCAGTAAAATCACAGTAATTAATTTTTTCCTGAATTTTCTCTTTTGTAAAAAGACAAATAGTGTTTTTTTAATTTAAGAAAAGCGACTTGCAGAAGTATAATAAATGTTATTAAACACCATAAAAAAATGTATATTGTTTACTAAACTATTTTGGTATATTACTACACATAGGAAAGACCCAGTCCGCACACAATAGGCAACCTAAACCGAGAAGAGAAGATAAAAAAGATCTTATATGACTTTTATATATTTACCCTAACCTTAACCCTCACTCTCCAGTAGTTACAAATCTACCAAATTTTCTTTATATAACGTTTGTTACGAACAAAAAAAAAATAAAAGGTTAGTAATGTTCCCTAGATTGATTAACCCTCAAATAATAGCATAAAAAAAATGGTCAGACAATAAATCAAACATTAGTTAATAGCAACTAATGAAAAACAGCTTTGCAAGAAAACCAAATAAATAAGTAAATTTTACACCATAAAGGATACAAATAATACTTATTTTTTAAAATTAGTAGAGACAAGTTAATTTACTAATACGAAAATAATTGTATTCCGAAAACTTATTAAAAAGTCTTTTATTTGTAATACATATGCGTTCATAGTATATTTTATATATATTTACTAGAAACGAATACATCGTTTGCTTTATATAAATTCTTACACATATATAATATCCATATTTTATCTTACATTAACTTCTTCTGCTCATATAGATCTTATTTTACAAACTTTGATAACGAGTACCTAAACAATAACTTAAAAGACAGTTTATTAAAATCAAAACTATAATTTAGTTTTTAGTAGTTGATAATAGTTGAGCATGCCTAAAAAATTTTCATAATAGTTAAAAAAAACCACACTTTTTTGATAATTTTATGAGCTAAACAAGACTAACAAAATTTGCAAAAAAATTAATTAATAAATGTGTAACAATAATAACTTTATATATTCTTTATTTCTTTTAATAACGTTAAAAACAAACCGAAAACATTTATAATCTATATGAAGCAACGCGAATTTTGGACCACGTTCTGAGGTCTCTAGCGCTTTTGAATAGCAGAAATGACATAAATGAAACAACCACAGCTAAAAAGAACCGATTGAGGAGAACAACACCGACAATCGCATTAGCTATAGGATTGTTACACATATAAATAAAGCCACTAGCGCGAGAAAAAATTAAAAAGAAAAAAGGTCGCCATTGGAGAGGCCATGAATCGTAGAGCTGCAATGCAAGTGGCCACAGTGCATCTGCTTCCTCCAGTGAGGGCTTTCCCGGAGCAAAAAAGTCAGAATTTTCGCCGTTCTTTTTTAATATTGCAAGATCAAGACATTTTACAAGTTGGCAGGCGTCTTCTACAGCCATGCAGGCGCCTGCACATATTTCGTAATAGTATAATTATTTGTTTGTGATATAAGTATATAATAAAAAAAAGTGTAGAACGTTATAGGGAAGTAGTCCTTATATTACTGATGTGATTAAGTTGGAAAACAGAATTTTTCATAAACTTAAAACCTTGTAAATCACAACTCTTCATCTTTTAAAAAATTTTTCATTTGATATAGACTTTTCAAGGGTTTATGAAGCTACACTACGCATGATGTTCAGTTAACTGGTTGTAAAGTAAAACTTTTTTAAATAAAGTAACGATATTTTACTAATACTTTTCACAAAGCAAAGCAGAAAGAAGTGAATAAAAGGCTGGCTAGCTGAAAAATAGTCATTACTCAAAGTGTGTGTGGGAGTAAATATACTTCAATCGAGCTTTATGAACTCGAAAAAACTATAAAAGTTTTATTAAATAATAATAATAAAACTCGTTAAGCTGCTAAAAATAGTCGTCCCTTAAAAACTTTGTCTTTTATAAAGAAATTAATAAAGTTACTTTTCTTAATATGAATTTCCAATATAACTGCTTATATAGTACCGCAATGTTGCGTGTTCCGCCTAACCCGTTTTTGTAATAAAATTTCTTGATTTTGATTATCGTTAAAAAGGTTCAAGTTGATTGGAGGAAAATAATAAACTTTTCTCTAATTAGTAGACAATAATTTTACGCTATTAACAAACAATAAAAATTTGTGTACTTAATAAAACTCCTGCGTTGTTTCAACTAATAGTTATAGCTTATGTTAAGTGGGCAAAACAAAATTTTAATAAGTTTTGTACGCTATTTCAACCAATCTTAAAGCAGCTTGAAATTTATTAAAACAAAAGATAATTTTATGCGCTATTCTAACTAATGGTGGTACAGCTTTAAACTTAGGACTCAAACATAACAAAAAAAATTTTGACACAATTTTAATAAATAAAAATATCACTCTTTAAAAAATAGATAAATATGTATGACTAATATAAATAGTTTTTATATAATTTTAATAATAACATGTTCAACTGTTCATTTTATCATGAAGAATAAAGACTGGTATAGTTGGTATTAAAAAAATTTCTTTATTTTGAAATATTTATATATAAATTGCCCAAAAATATATTAAAAAAGAACTAAATTATACTTAAAAAAAAAGTTTAGGAAAAGTTTAGGGTCTGTTTTATCACTTTTTTACAAAAAAATATTTTCACAAAAATATATGTAACCTTGACCGAAATGATGAACCATTGGATGAGCTGCATCGCCAATCAAACAAACTCTTCCACACCGGCGACTTTTTAGAAAATTTAAAAGGGCACCATCAAATATATTGGTACGAATTATATCTTTTTCGTCAGTACAACGAATAATAGTTTTTATTTCTTCTGATGCTTCTTTCCCAACGCCTGAAGTTTACAATAATAAAAAAGTTTTTTTAAAATAATAGATATTAAAAAAAAATTTCAAAAATTTATTCTAAAATAAAAGAAGTTTATAGAAAAAACAGAAATGATAAAAAATTTAAATATAATTAATAATAAAATAAAAAAGTTTATAAGAAAAATAAAATTATAAAATAATAAAAGTTTATAGAAAAATAGAAATGATAAAAAATTTTTCGTATAAATGATAATTGAATAAACAATAAACAATAAAAATAATACATTATTTATATTTAAAATTAAATAAATAATAAAAAGTTAATATAATAATAAATTCTTTACATATAAATAAAATAGAAAATTTTAAAATAAATAAAAAATATATAGATTAATAAAATAGTTTAAATAATAATAAAAAAGAAGTAAAAGTTTAGAATAAAATAAAAATATTATAAATAAATGTTATAATATATACTAAAATAATGATGAGTATAGAAGTTCATAGAAATAATAAAATAATTAATAATTATTAATACACACAAAATAATTAATAATTTTGTTTATTAATAAAAATATAAAAACAATAAAACTATAGAAAATTTTTTTATTATGGTTATATAAAATAAAAAAAAGATAAGAAATTATTATAATATATTTTAAAAAAAAAAAATAAATTAATAAAAATAACCCCATATAAACAAAATTCAAACCTTATAAGAATAATAAAATATAAATAAAAAAGACTTTATATATAAAAAAAAGAAAAAAGGTAGGAACTTTTTCATATATATAATTAAAAATAGTGCTATAATAGTATATAATAATATATATATTATAAAAAGGTAGAAGCTTTTATATTAAAAAGATATATAGATTAGAAATTAAATATAAATATAAATATAATACTTGAAAAAATAATATAAATAGTATTAATAAAAAAAGGCAAATGCTAAAAAAAAATATAATAAGATAGTAATAGTATAAAACGTATTTGAATTTAATAAAAATAAATATAAAAGTGAAAAAGAAAACAAAAACAATGTAAAACGAAATAAAAAAAGAAACAATATTTTCATAAAGTAAGAAAAATGTTAGAGATATATTAAATATATATATAATTTTAAAAAAATAAATATAATAATAAAAGTATGATATATTTTTAGTAGAAAAAATATACAAATAATAATATAATGATATTAATTGTTAGCTATATAATATTATGAATACATTTCAATATAAACTTTAATAAAATTAAGTTTAATATTATATAATAATATTAAACAACTAAGTAAAATTAAAAAATATCTACAAATAAAAGCAAAAAACGTATAAAAAATATAAATAAAAAAAAGTTTTACAATAAAGCAAAAAGTCCTAAAGCTGGAGAAACTTTTACAAAGGTATGAATATACAAACTTTTATATAATAAAAAAATAATAAACCAAAGAGCAAAAATATAGAAATTTACTAATAAAAATAAAAAAGATAAAAAATAATAACAGAAAGTTTTACAGGAAAGCAAAAAGTTCTTAAGCTGTAGTGGGGAAGGTGCGTCTAAAAAAAACTGAAAATCGCAAACCCAAAAAGTCCGCCCTTTCGGCATCCGGCCGGCCGTGAAGGAAACGTAGTGAGTTCTAATAAAATATAGTAAAAGTTTATGTGAAAAACTTCATAATAATTATTATTAAAATATAATCTTTAAATAATTATTATTATAAGAAAAATAATAAATGCTACAAAACTTTTTCATAATTATAACAAAAATATTAAAATTACATGTAACAACCTTTATAATAATTGTTATTATAATAAATATTAGTAAAATCGCTCATATTACGTAAGAAAAGCTTTAAGATGATATCATAAAATCTTTATATATATAAAATTTTAAAAACGATAACAACAAACTATAAAAAAATACAAAACCTCTTAAAAATTATTATCATAATTATTATTATTAAAAACGTTCATATTAAATATAAAAAACTTCATAATATTGATCATAATAATAAAATGTAGCATAAGGTATTATCTTTAACACGATAACAATATTTATTATTATTATTATAAAAATAAAAAAAAACTACAATAATGTTCTACAAAAATACTAGCATCTTGATAATAAATATTATTAACTTAATAAATAATAAATATTAAAATTTATACTACTATTATATTGTTATTATAAAAATATAAATGAATTATATTATTTCTAAAATAACAAAATATTACTATAAATAACGTTAATAATATATAAAAAAATTAGTAGAATAATTTCAAATTACAATAATCAAATAAAATTTAATATTGGATAATTAGTATTTTAGAGAAATTTATAAAAAAAAATTAATAATACTAAAATAATTGTTATTAATACTTTAAAAAAGTACAAAAAGCTTAGGTAACATTATTATATTAATAATAACTTATATTTAATATTATTATATATTTTTGTATACTTTTTTAAAAAATTCCTTAAAAATTTAATATTATTTATATTTTATTGACTTTTTACAATTATTTTTTATAAAATTAATTATTATTATATATTTTTCATAACAATATTATAAATATTAAGTATATTATAATAATCAGTAATAATATACATAAAAAATTAAAAATATTATTATATTATTTAATAAGTTTAAACCTTAAAAGCACCGTAAATATATTAACAATAATAAACATTATTGACTTTAATATAATTTTATAATAATATTATATTATTATTTATATTGATAAAGTAATATTATTATTATGAAAAACTATAAAAAAACTTTATTACGGTGTATACACTAAAAATATTATTATTATAAATAATATTACTTTATAATAACTATTATTCACTTTATAATAATAAATAAAAAATATGAATATTAGCATATTAATAATATTCTAAATAAGTTTATAAAGGTATAAAAAAACTTAATAACACTAAAAACATGACTATAAATATAAATTTGAATTGATATTATTTAATAAAAATTGTAAATATAAAAAAATTTAATAACTTTAACATTATATTATTATTTAAAAATATATAATGTATTATTAAATATTTTGTATATTATTATTTTTCTTTTTAATAAATAAATAATAATAAATTTCCATAAAATGTTTATTATAATGATCATAAAAATTAAGTTGTTATAATAAAAACGTTATTAGAGTAATTTATGATTAATATTATAAAATAATTAACTTAAAATAGTTTTTTACAAAACAAAAAATAATAACAAACCTTTTTTTATAGAACAATAATAAAAATAAAAAGCTAATAACCATTGAATATAGAAATAGAATATTTTTGTTAATAATAATTATTTAATATAAAATATAATAACTTTTAAAAAAAGTATAAGCAAATAATAATAACTTTTTATTAAAAAAAATATTATCTTATAAACTTTTATAAACAAAACAAAATATTATTATATATTATTTACTATAACAATACAATACATCTGTTATCAATATCAACTTTTATATATAAAATCAATTTGACTTTCTATAAATTTAAAAAAAAATTATATTTTATAATAATAACTATTAAATATAAACTGTAATAAAAAAATATACTCAAATAATAATAATAACTTCTAAAAAATAAAAATATATTATTCACTACAAAGCTTCACTATAAAGTTAAAGAAAGAAAAATATATTTATATCAATATTATTTTTTTAATATAATTTTACAGTATCTTTTTAAAAAATTATAGGCACATAATGATAATAGTAGGAGTATACTAAAATCAACTTTTTTAAAAAATATAATTAAATTACTATAAAATTCATAAACAAAACTATAATGAAAATATTATTATAGTTTATATATATTAAAATTTAATAATATTACTAAAATACTTAAAATAATGAAAACTAAATACTACAGAAACTATAATTCTAAGAAATAATAAGCATATAAAAATATTATTAACTTTTAAATAAAAGACTATATATTTTATTAAAAAAACTATATTATAAACTTTATAAAAAGAATAATATGCTCTCTTAAAAATAAATTACTATTTATTATAACTTTAATAGTGATAATAATAACTTATGCATAATAGTTTTAAACATGACGGGATGGTCATGATTGTAAAGAGCTTCAGGCTTAGAAGTTATGCCTCGCCAGCAAGAATAGCCTCTATAATGAATTTTAGGAGCCTTCAAGTATTATAATATCATTAAAAATTGAACAAAGCTCGTATAATTTATTAAAAAGCGTTTAACTATATAAGTAGCCAATTAAATTAATTATAGAAAAGTGCAAAATAATCTTTATTCATATAAAACTAATTTTTAAGTTAAAATTGTTTAAAATTATCAATTTATGTTATTTTTATATATATATAAAAGAATAAATTAAGTTCTTGTAAAATTTAAACAAAAAATAAATAAAATTCATTATATTTTATTGGTAATCAGCCAACTATAAAAGTGGCCAATCAAATTAATTATTAAAAAAGCGCAAAATAATCTAGTTGCATGAAATTAATTTTTAAATAAAAATATTTTGGTAGCTAATTTGTTAAAGGTACCCAAATACCCGTTTTCAAAAATAAAAAATATCAAAATTGTTTAATGCGTGCAATTAGTCAAAAATTAAAAATAACGAATCTCAAATCAAATTTAGTGTTTCTCAAATACGCAATTTTATAAACCCAAAAAGTTATTGAAATAACTACTTAAAAGTTATAAAAAGATAATTATAATAAATTTCAGTAAAATCTTTAAAATTTTATATAATAAATCTAAAAAACAAATATAATTCAGCTTTTTAAAACATTTTTTATTAAAAAAATTATAATAACTCTAATTAACTTTTTATTAACGCAGAAGTCGTAAAGTTAACTACTTAATAAAAGTTATAAAAAAAAATTACAAATTTTGTAAGTAAATTAGCCTAACAACCAGGTACAAAGAGTTCAGCTTTTTACAACAATTTAAATAAAAATTATTAACTCTAAATAAATTTTTCTCTATTTAATTTCCTTGTTAATATTAACATTAATAAATAATATTTTTTTTAAACCTTGAATTGTTCAATCCACTTAATACATTAAATATAACATAATTATTTTCTTTTTCTTTTAAAATTTATTGTATCGACTCGTTTATTATAATTTTACTATACACTCTTTTTAAACTTTTATTATATATTATAATCTTTTGCGCTTTTTTTTATTATCATTACATTTTTATAAATTTTTAAACTAAAAATACTATATATTATCTAAATCATTAAAACTTTTATAATTACTTTCCAACCAAGCATTTTCGAAAAGTATGTTTCTCTTACTAAAGAATGAGCCCCATCTGCAGCTATTAAAACAGAGCACCAAAATTTTTTTCCTTAAAAAAATTATAAATAAAAATTTAAAAATTTATTTTAAAAAAAATATATATATACCTGTTGTTAGTTCAACCATAACTCGATTACTATTTTCCTTAATAGTAATAACTTTTGAATTTTTTTTTATAATAACTCCAACTTCAACTGCACGCTGAAGTAAAACAATTTGAAATTCCCCACGATGAATATTATATTGAAAAGAACCAAAAATTTCGTCAAGTTCAGAGTCAAAATTTTTTCCTAACATATGATAATATAGTTTTAAAAATATAAATACTTAAAAAAAACCTTCAGTTGGAACTTTAAATATAATTTCTCCTGTATTTTTTATAAGTCTAACATCATTCTGCTTCAAAGACAGATCGTTCATTCTGACGTCAATGCCAAGATGTTTTAAAAGTATTAAAGTATGCCCGATAAGCGACATCCCTACAACAAAAATTTTTCTTAAAAAAATTTTTTTAACTAAAATAAGATTAGTTATAACCAGAACCAGCTGCTTCGATTTGAGAAACTTTTTCCAAAACTATTACCTCGCCGTCTTTATAAGCAGAACGTAAAGCTATAGCGAAACAAAGCCCCGCAATGCCTCCTCCGGCTATAATCACACGAGATTTTCCATCGTCCTTAAGCATTTAAACTATACAAATTCAGAGTATATATACAATTTTATTCATTCTGTATAACTTTACAACAACAATTATAACATATTTAACAAAACGTCTATAACAACTAATGATGCCGTGGCTAAACCCGATATTTGGTTACAATTTCCACACGTGCTCCTAGGCCGCGTGACGGTAAAATACTATTTAAAAACGCTTTTTGCAAAAAAAAAAGTAAAACTTGCAAAACAAAATTATTCTTATCCTTTACTTGTTGTTAAGGTTTTTATAGCTTGCAATACCAAAAATAAAATAACTTTTACATTTTATGTATTGGTAAATTTTTTAATAAATACTATAAAATTTTTTTTAAAGAACGATTTGTAATTATAGACAACGTAAATATTAACAATTCTATACATATTTAAAAAGTCAGTAAACTTTTTTGCCTATTTTTTCTATTTATCTCTTTGTTATTTTGTTCTCTTTACTATTCATACTTATGTTTATATATTTATCATCTCTCTTTCTTTAAAATAGATTTTTAATTTTTTTTTTTTCAAGAAATTTCAATGTAATTAATTGACACGATAAAAGCTGATAAAGCTTTATTAATAATTTAAATAATTGTTATTTTTTATTTCCTTTCTGATTTAGATAAATAACTTATTAAAGCTTTTTTATCTTTAACAAGTGTATGCGACATTCAAATATATTTAGAGGAAAAGTTGACTGCAACAATTAAAAAATGTTTAAACCCTTGACTTAGAACAACGAATGTTAGTATAAATACTGTTTCCCTTATCACCGACAGGAGAAAAGTATTACAAACCTCTGAAATAATTTAGTAGAAAAGGAGCGGAAGTTTACTATAATAGAGGCTAAGAGAACATTTTACTAAAGACATATTAATAAGTTATTTTAAATTGAAAATATGATGTGATGTTGTAAATAAAAGAAAATTTGTTATCAAGATTGTCAGTTAAAAATTTAAATTTTGTATTTTTTATGTTACCGTAACAATAAGGTAAAACTAAAGCGATAATTAATTTTATATGAAAAATTCAGTAATTTTATTCTATCTTTATAAGCAACTAGACTCTATATAATAGCTTTAATTAAACACAGAAGTTATAATAAAGTTTAGTGAATAATTCCGTTAGTTGTATTTTAAATTTGCAACGGCCCATTCTTACAATTATGCCTTAACTTATGTCTTTCGCAACATTTCTTTTCTGTGTTGCCCAAAGTTAAGACTTTATTTAAAATTACTATCTTTGTAAAGTTACTATGAAGTTAATTCTTGAACCTTTTATTAAAAACAAAGCTAAAAAAAAATTTTTTTTTAAAGTTTTTAAAAAAGCAGAAAAAAGGAAGACTTGAGTTTTGTTGAGCTCACTTCAAAGTTTGACGCTCTCCTTTTTCTAACGGAGTCTTACATAAAGATATTACAACTTTGTATTAAATAAAATTAAAGAGTTGATTAACGCTTGACACCAGTAAAGAATGACTAATAAAGTATAAGGAAATTCAAAAAACAGCAAGGAAAAATGAAGTTTCTTTAAAAACTGTTTTACTTTTCATTTATATTGCTGGCATGCTACAGGCTTAAAAAATAACAATCATATCGTGCTTGATCTAATTTCCTTCTACTAAGTGTTAACAACGAGGACGAATGCGCTTTATCATCACAGCTTAATAGTATACACATTAAGAGAAGGAAAAGCACTATAAAAATTACAATAATGCATATTAGCAGAGTGAAATCCTAGGACGCGAGTACTTGGTAGAGAGTCCTTTTCAAAAGCTTTCTTAATAACTTTTAAGGTGACTGATAACCCTAGTAAGCCTGTTAGTAAAATTTTACCAAGATGTACTTGAACAGGCTCAACTAGATATTTTTTGGTGTTACGCACAAACTAAAGAACATTCACTATCATTATTAGGACGGGATTTTGTAATACTTATAATCCTTGTATATAATTGCTTAAGAAACAAGTCTAGGCTATAGAATCATGGACTATCTGCAGACGTATAACAAAAGCTTGTTTTTAATTGCAGGTTGCTTTTCTTCGTATCAAAAGTTAAAAATGGCTATGACTTAGTAAGTTTGCGTGACTTGAGAAAGAAGCGGGAGTTCCAACTTAGTCTGCCGTCAAATATCGTCTCGAGTTAGTTAACCGTACTGCGAGGAATATTAGTTTAGTTTGGTTTAGTGCGAAACTATGAATTTGACCAAGTTTCTACCGTCATTAATCCAGTTTTAGACAAATTAATTACTAACCTCCAGGTTAAAGGCCATGTTTAAAGCACCGTCATCTAGGGCAGTCAGACAGATTTTAAATTATAATATGAAGTGGTGTCATCAAAGTATTGGGGTAGGCATTCATAGATAGATAAAAGTAAAAGGATAAAAGAGTGTCCTGGGGGACATACAAGTTGAGATTTTTATTAACAGAATTTCGAGTTTACTCTAGCATAATAAGTGCTCTTAGCAAATTAAGAATGTGCTACCGCTATTAAGTAAAAAAAAAATTAGCAGCAAGCACTTTGTAGAATAACCATATTTTACCAAAAACTTTTTAATTACCTAAAAGGCCATACCTATTACTTTATTATTGTTAAAGGCTTTTGTGGGCTCTTTCGTAATCCTAAATATTTGGTGGACAAATGAGTAATTTTTTAAAAACCAATACACACATACTATCCACAAAGTCTTGTAGCCTGGAAAGAATGACAGCTCCTACCCCCCTTTTCAAGACAAAATGGTTTTAATAAAATAGCTAGGGGGCCTAGTTTTTTTAAAAAAAGTTAACTTTCGCTAAGTCCCACCGTTTTTAAAAGTAGGTGGTGAAAATATTTGGTTAATAAACCTTGATATCAGGAAAATAGCTTTTAAAGTTAGGTTTTAAAGCATTAAATAAGAAATACTGTCGAAGCTTGAGACTTTCCTTACATAAAGGGACTCAACAATGATCTCAAGTTTCGCATTAACCTCGTGACCTATGTTTAGGGCCCTAGAATGTAAGTCGCAACTAATGTGAGCATGGCTCTTAATGCTCTAATATTCGTCAAGTTCTAATATAGAATGAGCTACCAGTGAGTCGGCAAATACCTCTACAATTTCAGAGAGCGTCGTCGCTGTGCAACCGGAAATATGAATAAGGGATGTTGGCAGGTCACGGTAATTTATAGAGGAAATTGTCCTTTGGCCTAGAATTCGTCTGCCAGCTCTCGTTAAACCAAGCTTTCACTTCTTTCTTAACTCGGTTGTTTTTCTTTTTTTATAAATTTTTATCGCCAGTAAAGCAAGAGGTCATGGTATCCGCTCTTAATTACCGCCTTCTTTCAAGCAGTAACTTAATATGGTCCGGCGGAGGTTGCACTGTAATAACACTAGCCAAAAGGAAGGCGAGAAAAAACCGTTTAATACCTTTACAAATGGTTAAAAAAAGCATTTCCATTTATCTATATTAGTTTAAATTTAATTTAAGATTCTTAGAATAAACATGTTTTGGTTCCCTTTAAAAGATACGTTGGAGTCGATAGTTACTATATCTCTATATAATAATATTTGTTAACATAGTCTCTGCTAAACTGTTTGATAATGCGTTTATTTCGTAAATATTACTTTATTATTGTGTGGTATATCATAGTTTAGATGTATACGTAATTTTAAATATACTACTCGTCTTCACGTTCTTCCAGTGAGGGTCCAAATGAGGAGTTTTCACTGCAGGACATGTATATAGCGGTTACATAAAGAACAATCTATCATGAATTATACGCAAACAACCTACACCAATTAAAAACATGAACTAATATATTCAAAGTAAAGGGATGTTAAACATTTTGGCAGGGGCTATATTAACAAATATTTATTATATACAAATATGGTAATTATCGATACTGACACACCTTTTGAACGGAACCGAATAAACATGTTTATTCATATATTCTAAATTTAACCTATGCAAATATACATAAATGGTAACACCCCTTTAACCTTTTGTAAAGGTTAATAAAGGGCTTGTTTGCCCCCATCAAGACAACTTCCATTCTCTTTTTTTTCTACTTTTTTTGTTGGCGGTGTTATTACAGTCATCTCTTTAGGTCTTCGTGTGTTAAGAAACGCCTTCCACATACCACCACTTAATGACGGAGTGGATAGTGGCTAAATGCGTGATGTTAAGGCGGTGCTCTTTGCCGGTCAGTGCGTGCCTTTAATTTGGTCTTAATTTATGGACGAAGTTAAAACATAGTAAGACCCTCAACCTTCAAAGACGAACTTATTAAACGAGCACAGCTAATGATATCGCTGTGCGTATCCTGCAGTGGACGATATTACTAGCGGGATGCTAAAAAAAGTTGCCTTTGGTGGCGGTTAACCATCTTTTATGTTATGCAAATACTACAATCTCGTTTGCAATATATCTAGCACAATAGAAAACAGCCATTGTTTTGATGCTATTAGAGTCTTCGCGGACTTCAGCGGCTCCCAGCAAATAGCATTTCATTAGCCTACTCTTAGCAATGGGTAACACCATGCAGGCTGTTCTTCTACATTAGCTAGAACAACTTGTAGAAACACACGAAGCGCTTTCAAAATTACAGTTTGGCTTTTAAAGAAGTCACTCGACGGTACAACAACAAGTGAGTGTTGTTAAGTGGTAAACTCAAAACTTCACTTTTAAAAATATAAGGGCGTTATTTCTTTCGATGTTAAAAAAGCCTTTAACCGCATATAAGGAGGAGTTCCATCGCTAATTATATTCAGTAGGCACCCTGTTAGCCTTCTATACCAGCGTCGTTTCTATGCGGATGCATCGTACAATTGAGAATTGGCACTGCGCTTTCACCTGGTGTTCTCCAGGACTTTATGTTATTTCCCCTGCTCTTTGCGCTGTACATGCGGTACAGTTCGGTCCGTGCGAATCCTCAAACACGCGTCGCGCTTTACGCGGATGATAGTGCAGTCTAACGGCCCCTCATTAATACGGCAACACCTACAACTCTACTTCAAAATACTTTTCAACTGTGGCTGGGAGTCGGAAGTCTTCAACAATGCAGAGAAAAGCAGAGCGTTTCTCATATTAAGATGCTCTTTACCACTTCACCTTTAACTTATAAGGATATTAACACATATTATCCGAGTTGGTTGTGCGGAAACCCACTTTCTCTAACCGCTGGGTGCTAAAAACGAAATGCCCTTGCGTAATAAACTACGTTATATACTTTATGCGTGGGCCTGCCCTAACCCCCTGTTTCTTGGGCGTACGAGAGACCATCAACAATTGCGTTAAAAACAACAATAAACTCTTCTGCTATTAATAACCGAAATTTTTTGTACCAACAACGTTGCACGACGATCTGGATCTGGAACGGCCTGCAGTCTTTTTTCTTAAGGAATAAACACTCCTTTAAAACGTGCTCCCAGAACAATCAGTGAACATAAACAATGTACGTACGATCCCCTGGATAGGGGCACAATTATCGTTTGCGTTCCTCTACACACATATGTATATAAAAAATGCTGAGAAGGCTTGCAAAAACTGATTATGAGTTATGCATAATTTTAGTTGTTAGCAACTAAGCAGTAGCGCTCGAGTTTCCGAGGATCCGTACAATTAACAATAAAAAAAAGTAAAACTGTTTTTTTGTTTCTATCTTTTCTAACGGTCTCATGGGGCTTTTTCATGGCCTTGTAATTTGTATGTTAGTAGAATGTTACCAAATGTTCGTGATTAATCCTAGCGTGTGCCTTAGTTCAAGGATATAAATAGCCGGGAAGGCTGTACGTTGCAGCTGGCGCGAGGACGCATTTTTGTGTAATAGCCGGATCAGAGCGTGTTGGTTTGTATATCGGGCGCAAAAAAGCTGTATATCTATAGTTCTTGTTATTCTGTGCTACCATTTATAGGTGCCGTAGTTAAGCACTGAGCGAGAAGATTGGGATTTTTAAAAAAAAAAATAAAAATTTGTGAAATTTTTGTTTAACTATTTTATCATAAACTTTTGAACCAACTGAACCAAAAGCCAATAATAGCTTACTAATTACAAATAAGAAAATTTTTTTTATTACCCGCTCCATTGAAGATTAAATTATTTAGCAAATAACCGATTAAATTGTTAACTACTGTGGGTTAAGTACTTAATTATAATTAATATTACTGGTTTATTGAATAATGTGTTTAATAATGTTGTATTAAATAACATTTTTTTTTACTTTAGTAAAATTTCTTTTGCTGTTTCCTGTACTTTTGATTTATAGCTTCGTGAGTTGCTTACAAGTGGAAAGGTAAGGATTTTTATGATAAAAATAATGTATACTATTAATTCTTATATTCGTAGTCGCTCTCAACAAGTTTCGTTTCTAAAAAAAATATTATTTTTACTTCCCTCGCGGAAGTTGTATAATAAGAAACATATAATAAAAAGGTAGCAAGCAAAAATATAAATTTATATAAATAAATAATTATAAAAGCAAATGAATTATACTTTCTAATTACAACGGAATTTATATTTTAAAACGCTCCAGGCGGACAAGTGAACATAAATGTCTATTTGGCACAGTATTTATTTTAAAATGGTTTTAATTAAACTAAATGATATAATACTGCGGCTGCAAAATTTCTGAAGTATAAATGTATAGTATCTTACAAACTCAAGTATGTACTGAACAGAAAAAGGGACCAAGAGCATCTACGAGGCTAACATATAATATTAATTGGAAAACTGTAAAGTTTTTTTTAATTATAGAAGTATATTTATTAAGAAGCTAACTTGGAACTTAATGTCCTTTCAATAAAATATAATATATGATGAGTTCAACTAGTAATTAAAACAATTACTTTATAGCTCTAATGAAAGCTACATCTATTTTTTTTAAAAGCAAAAACACAATAATTTAACATTAGCTGCGAGTTACCTTAGCTAAGCCATACAACACTTTTTTTAACTTATTTTTTTTGTAAATATTGCACTAAAAACTTTATAACTCGCTCCTTTATAAAAAAAACTACATAAATGTAATGTATATTGAGTATTCATGTAGATTACGGCTATGTTCAGAATAATAAAAAAGAGCTTTAAAACTATATAAATTTCGAATTTCGAACTGCTTCTCCACTTACTGGTTTTATTATGTTTGTGGAAAGCTTGTGAAAGTCAAAATTAAAAAACCATATAGGTCCTTTTCTATTTCAAAAACCCCATTCATACTTAAAGGTAAGCAATAATACATGGAGGTTCGAATCGGGATTCCTTTTAAAGGATTATTAAAGTGTTGTGTGCTTCCAGCATAATATTTTTTATATGCAAAAACAGTAGTTTAAAGTATACACATTTGTAAATTTTTTTTAAACCCAAAAAGGAAAGGGAAATTTTCTTTAACTAATATTTTAACTAAAAAGCCTTTTTTTAGTATAATAATTTTTATTAAAAAATAATATCCCTTTAAATCATTCTAAATACAATACAATGAATTGTAAACATTTTAACCCCAACCAGAGACGCTCGTTAAAAAAGTTTAACCAAAAGCGTGGGGAAGTGGCGGTAAAGACTTTATTTATAAAAAACCCACGTGAATAATGTCTATGCAACAAGCCTTAATTTGGTCAAATTTATATTTATCGGGCGCAGTATTAAGTTCAAGGTACTGAAAAATCACAGTAGAGGCTTGATAACTTCGAAGAGGTTTTCTGCTTTTAATTTTTTTTTTATGCTTCACATTGTACTATTTTTTTTTTTAATTTATATAGTTTTTTAGTTTATACTTTTAAATATATATATTTGTTATGATATGTAAGAATAGATATAAAGTACAACTGACAATATAAAATATATATACATATATTTATAGGGCCTTGCACTATAATTTTAGAACCAAAATATAAATTTATGTGAATGGCTAGCCTTTGATTTGAGATTAATTTTTATTTTTTACTTATTTTTATATTTTTTTCTTCTATTTATTCTTTCTTACCTTCATGATTCGCACAAATGAGTCATTTTAAAATGTCTGAGCATCCAGCAACGCACGGCATTACGGGGCCGATATCCCTCCTAAAACCGAACGATTATGATTTGCGCCTCTCATCTGAATTAGAAGAAGCTTTAAAAGATTTTGGCCTTTTTGAAAGTAAAGAAGAAGCAGAACTTCGGTTTTTTTTTAAATTTAATTATTATATATAAATTAAAATAAGGACAGTTGGGATTGTATATTATTAGGTTTGTTAGACAAGAAATTTATTGTTTTTTATTAATTTTTATAACAAAATAAACTTCGAATTAATTCCATTATAGTTTTTAATCTGCTTTATAGTTTTATATAAACTTTATTATAAAAGGTTCTTTATGTACACGCTTTTTTGTAGAACTTTTTATTCTTTATTTATTTAATTTAGTTATCATAATTATTTTTAAATTTAATATTTATATTTTATAAAGTAAATAAATATTATTTTATGTTTCGTTCTTTACATATTTTATTTAGTATAAATATTATTAATTATGTTTAATATACTTAATTTCTAACGACTTTTTTATAATTCTAATTCTAAGTATTATTATTTCAATTTTTTAAGAAATTACGAAAAATAATTTAATATATTTCTATATAATTTTTTTTAATAATTAACATAAAAAATTTCAAGAAATCTGTTAGTAAATTTTATTTCAGGAAATAATATAATATTAATTCCTAATGTGACCTTTAACTTTTTTTTACCAAACTTTAAAATTCAGTTTTTAATTATTAATAATTATATTTTCTCAAAGTTCTTAATAATTTATAAAATTTTTGTAATTACCAAACTTTTTGAATTTATAATAACTTCTTAAGAAAGCATAATTACGAATAAGAAATTTTTTTGATTTTTTTTTACGTTTCATAATTATTAGACAAATTGTGCTTGGCAAGCTCAACGAATTGGTCAAGTGTTGGGTTTTTCAAGTCAGTAAGCGCAAAGGGATTAGTGATGTCAACGTTGGCGGGAAAATCTACACGTTTGGCTCTTACCGACTTGGCGTTCATAGTAAAGGTGATCCTTATTATTATTATTATTATTATTTTATCAGATTATTAATCTTTATTTATTTATTATATAATTTTTTATTATATTTATACGTGTAATATTTTGGTTACTTTTGAATAGACGTATATTGGTGATTATTATAATTACCTATGTATTTTTATTAAATATATATTATTATTTCATTTAATTATGTTTATATATTTTTATTATTTGTATATTTACATATTTACTTTTGTTATATATATTAATTACTATATAGTACTGTTATAATTATCTTTTATTATTATTATTAGTTCTGTTATTATAATATTTATTATATCTAGTTTATTTACTTACATTATATTTGTACACTTATTATCGTTATTATTTTTGTTAAAATATATATTTATTGTTATTTAGTTTAATTATTATGTTTGATATTGTTATATTTATTTTTGTTGTCATACATTTCTTTTTATGTTTCTATATTATTTAGTTTTATTTTATTATTATTATTTAATTATATTATGCTTCTTTACTTATTATTTTTTAATATATATTATAATTATTAAGTTTCATTATATTTATTTATTCATTATTATTTATTATAATTATTATAATATTTAAATATAAGTTTTTATTTTTATTTATTATTATTTGTATACTGATTTTTTATCAGTTTTATTGTAATATTTATTTTTATATTATATATTTTCATTATTACGTAATATCATTATATTCACTTAGTATTATAGTTATTTATATTTCTTAATGTATCTCAATTATTACTAAAGATTTTACATCTTTGATTTTATTTAGGTTTAACGTTTATTTATTTATTTTATTATATAGTTTTTATTATAGTAGTTATATTCTGTTTAGTTATTGTTATTACATTTATTATTTATATGTTACTCTATGTTATCTTTATTATTATTTTTGAGATTTTATAAAGCATATTTATTTATTATTATATAAAATTTTCTACTATTATAATACTATTATATTAAAAAATTATATATTCAGGAAATATATATTTCTTTTTATTACTAATGTTAAATATTTCTTTATTATAATATTTTATATTAAGAAACTTATAAAAAAAATTTACTTTTATTAATATAAAAATTATATTAATACTTTAATTATAATGAAACTAAATTTAATTTTTTATTAATTTAAAATTACAATTAAATTTATAAATTATTATACTTTAATTTATTATTTTTAATTATAAATATTTTACTAATAATTATATTTTTATCTATAATATTAATGTATTTATTATGTAATTTATTAATTTATATACTTTTACTTTTTATTATTATTTTTTTTAAATTTTTTTAAATATTTAAAAAAATATATTTTATATTTATATTTATTATTATTATATATATTGTAGTATATTTTTTTGATCTATTCATTATTATTATTTTTTATAAAGAATACGTAAAATTTTTATTATGTATATATATATATTTACTACTTTTTCTTTGTTATCAGGATTCTTAACCTTTACTTTTCATTATAATTTATGTTTTCTTATATATTTATATTATTTATTATTAATTAATAACTTTTAAATTTATTTAAATTTATTTCTTTTTGTTATTATTGTTATTAAAATTTTTATTATTATAATTATAAGTATTTATTTTTTTTTATTTCTTTTTACTTATTATTATTCAATATCTTTTTGTATAACTATTTAGATATATATAAATTTACCCTTTTTTGTTTATTATTACTTTCCAAATATTTATTATTATTATTATATATATTACTTCTTTTTATTTAATATTTATATAATATATTTTTGTAAACCTTATTATATGTCTATTTTTTTCTTATTATTTCTATATTTTTATTGTTATTATTTTAAAAATGTATTACTATTTCTTTTTTAATTGTTATTATTTAATATCTTTTTGAATACCTTTTTATATATCTATATTCTTTGACATAATTATTTTTATTAATATATATTTCATTTTTATTATTATTTATATTATATATTATTATTATTGATATGTTTAATTTTTTAGGAGCGGATATTGACACGTTATGCGTCGTTCCTGAACATGTGGATCGTGAGGATTTTTTTGGTTATTATTAAATACTTCTATCTTTATTTATAATAACAATTAAAGTTTGCTTAAAGTTCTTTTTACAATTTAATTTCATAAAAACTTTTTCATTAATATTTTATAATAATAATTAGTAGTGAAAGTTTACTAAATTTTTTTATTAATTTTGTATTTGAAAAACTTTTATTATTTTTTGTTCATTAACAATAAATTTTTATATATAAATAGTGAAAGTTTACTAAAAGTTTATTATTTTTATTAGTACTTGTATAATTTATATAGAAAATTTTTAAGATAAACTTATATATATAAATAACATTTACTTAAACTTTTTTACTATTATTGTAATGACATTTATATTTGTAATACTAAATAATAAAATTTTATTGAAAACTTTTTTATTATAGAATAATTTTTTATTAATATAACATTACTTATATATAAAATATTTTTTTAATTTTTTTTATTTTATATTAATTTTTAGTTATAATATAAAGTGTTTTTTGTTTGATATAAGACTTTACTTAATAGTAACATCTCAACTATAAATAATAATAGTTTGTATAAACTTTTTATAATTTAATAATATTTTTACAGAAGAGTGTTATTGTTATATTCAAAACTATTTTTTAATAGATTTTTTATAATAATAAATAATAGTTTATTTATTTATTATTTATATGTAAAAATTTTCCATTTTTATACATGAAACATTATTTTTTAATAATTTTCTTTAAAATTATAAATAATATAGTTTATTAATACTTTTTCTATATATTTTTTATTTTATATGAATTTTTTTATTGTTATAGATAAACATTTTTTAATTTATTTTTTAATAATTATAAATAATAATAGTTTTTATAAACTTTGTTTACTTAATAATTGTTTTTTATATGAATTTTTTTTTATCATTATATACCAAACTTCATTTTTATATATATTTTTTATAATTATAAATAATAATGGTCTACCAAAACTTCCTATTATATAATATATATAAAAAAGGTAATTACTCTTATACATAAACTTTATTTTATAATATATTGTTTTATGATTACAAATAATAATAGTTACTAAATTTTTTTTATATAATGACAATTATTAATTTAAATATTTTTCTTAATTTTTTATTTTATAGAACTTTTTTTTAATATTCAAATGAAAAAGGTTTATAATTGTTAAAAAGCTTTATTTACTATTTTTTTTAAATAATTAAAGTTTATCAAAATTTTTCATTTAAGGGTTATTTATATAAAAAAAGTTTTTTTTTATTAATATTAATAAAAAAAATTTTTAATAATAATTTATTTTTTTGTAATAGTAAGTAGTAAAACTCCACTCAAACTTTTTTAAAAAATATTTTTCGTACCTATAAAACTTTACTTATTATAATAATAACTCGTAATGAATTGAATGTTATTTTTAGCCAATCGTTAGCGTTATAATTATAAACTACTACAAATCTAATTTATCCAAGCAAAAGGGGTGAAGGATTGAATTTCAGTTTTTTTATTTATTTTATATATTTATATATAAGTAGTTATTATAAAATATTATCAACGATAAACTTTTAAGAGTAATGAATATGATTTTATTAGAATTTCTTTTTATTTATATATAGCGATAATAATAATTATAATAGTAGTAATAATTAAATTTACAGTATTGAAATATATGTTAATATTTTGATTGACTTGTTTATAACCAATAGGATCACTCTATGAAGAGCTTTCCAATCGAGAAGAAGTTACTGAACTCACCGCCGTTGCGGACGCATTTGTTCCGGTTATTAAATTGGAGTTTTCCGGAATTCCTGTGCGTCTATTAGAGATGATATTTATTTTAATTTAGTATTTATAATAAAAAAGTTATATTAAAAGTTTTTTATTATTATTTATTTTAAAAATTGAATAGTTTAGAATAAAAAAGTTTTTCTCATGTTATTTCATATAAGTTGAATATTTTATAATAAAAAATTTATTTATAAAAGCATATTAGTATTTATAAAAATAAAAACCAGTTTATTATTATTTACTACTAAAATCTGAATAATTAATTAAAAAATATTATTTATAAAAGTTTATTATTAATAATTATGAAAAGTTAAATTGCTTATAATAAGAAAGTTATAATAAATTTATTTTATTATTACTTATAAGAATACAATAATGAATACTTTTTATGAAGAGAGTCTAGCACATGATTAGTTGTTTAGGAAAAGCATATTTTTTTTGTGGATAAGAGTAGTGCTTAATATAATTATAATAAACTTTTACAATATAGTTATAAAGTTAATACTATTATTCATATATACTTTTACTTTTATTTCTTCATATATTTTTACTATATATATTTTTAGTTTTTTACTTATATTTAAAGTTTTATTATTTTTATTATTGGTATCAATATTACTAATAATATACTTTTATATTCTTTTAATTTTTTTACTTTTATTATTATAATTATATCTGTATATTGATCGTTTTTCGTAAAATTAAAGTATTTTTATACATTTATGAATACTTTTAGTGTTTTTGTTTTATTTATTTTTATTGTAAATATTACTTAAAAACATTTTTATATTATACTTTTAGTAGTTTATATATTATTATTATTATTATTATAATTTTTTTACTTTTATATATATATACTTTTATTTTTTATTTATATTTATGGTTAATGTCATTATTATTATCATTATTTTTTATATAAAAAAACTTTTTTACTTTTACTTGTTACTATTTCTATGTAATTTTTTATTGTTTTACTCATAGTTAATATATTAATATTAATTATATTATGCACGTATATGCTTTTAGTATTAATTATTATTATTTATATTTAAAAAACTTTGTGTTTTACTTATAATTACAAGTATTATTATTATGTATATATTTATAGACTTTTCGTGTTTATTTATTATTTTTATTATATATGAAAACATTTAGTATTTATTATTATTTAGGTATATGAACTTCTAGTGTTTTATTTTATATTGTTATTATCATAAATAAACTTTAAGCGTTTTACTTAATGATATTGTTATTTTATATATGAACTTTTATTGTTTTACTTACGCCATGTATTTAAATTTTTAGTATTTCACTTATGATTATTATATACAAACTTTTAGCGTTTAACTTTCTGTATAAATTTTTAATGCTTTCCTTATTATTAAGATCGACCTGTTGATGGCACGTGTGGCTCTTCAAGGAATTCCTGATGATTTGGATCTGTTGAATGTGAATATTTTGAGAAATACAGATGAAAAGAGTGTTCTAAGTTTAAATGGTAAAATTAAATAATAATAAGTAAAATATAATGTAAATAATGGAGTTGTGAAAATAATAAATATAATAATATAATAATTTAGTAATAAGTATCGTAATAATTATTATAATATGCAATACTTTTAATTCTATGTAATATAAACTTTAATAAGTTTTTATATTTAGAAGTGTATAATATAAATCATATAAAGTATTAAATAATAAGACATATATTATCATAAATATAAATTATAATATATATAATATTACTAATCATTAGTATTTTCTATACTTCTAATAATATAAAATATAAATAGAAAATTTTTATAATAAATTTATAATATAAATATCAAAAGGTTTAAGCAATATTAGTTATATTAATATAAATGTAAATTATTAAAAGTTTTGTTGATAATAATAATAATATAAATAATGTTATCAATAGTGTTTTTTTTCTAATAATCATATTTAGTGTAAATAATAAAAAGTAATGATAATAATATATTGGTAATAAATAGTCTTTTAAAAGTAATAAATTAATATAAAAATCTATTATTAAAATCAATAATAACAATAATAAATATAATAATACAAATTATTAATATAATAAAAAGTTTTTAAATATTATAATAATTAAGTATAATAGTTTTATTCTTAATGATAATAATATTAATAAAAAATATAATAAAAAGTAAAAATATTGATGATTATATTAATGAAAAATATTAAAAAGTCTTAAAAATTATTATTTTGTTATAAAATATAATAATAATTATAATAATATAAACTATTGATAATTAAAATTTTCTAAATAATGATATATATATTAATATAAAATCTATGAATATTAAAGTAAAGATAATTATAATAATGTAAAATATTAATTTAATAATTAAAATATATATAATGGATAGTTTTTTAATTATAAAAATTAATATAATATATAATATATATAAATTTTTTAAAACCATAATGTAATATATAATATATAAAATATAAAGTATAAATAAACATATTTATAAAAAGAAAAACTTTAAATAATAAAAAGTTTAAATAAAATGAAAATAAAATTTAATAATAATATATTTAGGATAAGATAAACTATAAATAATAAAAAGTATTATTGTTAATATATATCACATACTCATAATAAAAATTTTAAAAAATAATGATATTTATACTAATATAAATCATAAAAAGTAATAAGGAATAAATAATGTCATTTATAATAATGTAATGAAGACACAGGAAAAGTTTAAAAAATGATGATTATACTAATTATTATTATAATATATATATATATAAAAGTCCTTTAACTAATTTTATTAATTCAATATTATATTAAAAATAATAACTTATTATTTGATAGTAAAGTTTATATCTATTATAATTATAATTTAAAAAAAATATATTTACTTGTTAAGCATAGAAATAATAATATTGGTTATCAATTTATAATAATAATCACTGTTCTATATAAATAGTAAAGTCTTAAATTATTATGATTGTAAAGTTTATATTTTAACAATAAACAATTTAATATAAAATATAATTTATTATATATAGAAATAATAATACTTTTATATTAATTATTTTAAATATTTACTATTAATAATAATTATCTTGGTTATTTATTATGTAAACTTGCAATGGTGCATATAAATATTCGTAATAATAATTATATAATCTATTTTTTAAACGTGTTATTTTTATAAAAAAAGTAACTATAATGCATTATTAATAATATTATTTTATTATTTTAAATATATGTAAATACAACTGTCACTATATTAATATTTTATGTACATTTATATAAAGAAACCTTAGTTTACTAATAATATTATCTTTTCTTATGATATAAACTTTTTATATTTTATAAAACTATATTTTTTAATAATAATGTTTAATATTATAAACTTTATTGTTTTAATATAATAATAGTAGTGGTAATGTAAGTAGTATTATAAAAGGTACAAGTATAAAAGCTTTAAACTTTTTTTTTAATAATAAAAAATATTTTTTTAATAGAGATAATAATACGTTAAATAAAAGTTTTTTTTATCATTTTTTTCAAAAGTCCGATGATAGTAGTAATATCAAATAATAATTATGTTAATATATATATAATACTGTTTATATTAATAACACTAATAAAAGGATGCCGAACAACTGATCAAATATTACGTTTAGTCCCGAATATTTACAGTTTTCGAATTTCTTTGCGGTGTATAAAGGTTTGTTATTTATTATTATTATTATAAAAAGCAATAATAAGTAAATTTATATGAATAATAAATATATATAGATAATGAACTATAAGGAAATATATATACTAATAATACAAAAATTTTAAATTCTTAGTAAATTTTTAATAACTTATTAATTATTTTAAGTAAACATATAATAATAATTAATATATATTATATAAACACAATAAATAATATATTTAACTGTAAGATGATAAATTGAAGGTATGTTTATATATATATAATGAATTATGAAAAAAATATTCTATATTAATAAATATATCATTAAAAATACTCTAAAAAATATTATAACATTTTTAAGTTTATATATTAACACTAATAAAAGTAAATAAATATATATGAAAATAATAAATTATAAGTAGCAATATAATAATTATTTTATATAATGTTTGATCCTGTATAAAGTGTATTAAACTATTAAATATTAAACTAAAAAGTTTTGTATTATGTAAATTGTTAATAACAATCAATATGTAAATAAAAATGCTATAAAATATATATTAATATATGTATAATATTTTATGAAGTTTAATATATTGATAATGATAAGTAAATAATAAATATATAATAGTAAGTAATACAAATAATATTTATACTGAATATTAAAAAAACATGTTATCGAAATTTCATAGATACAAGAATAAATAATACAAAAAATATAAATAATATGAGACTAAATACATAAATTTTGAAATCAATATAAACAAAAAAGAAAAAATAATATATGGGATTGTAAATATATTAGTAGTACATCAATATAAGAAATAAGTACTATACAATAATTAAAATACCTTAAATAAAAAATAAATATTAACTAATAATAAAGAAAGGCATAAAAATATATAAAATATAGAAAACTAGTAAATTTTATTTATAATAAATTATAAATAATTAATAATAATAATAAATTTAATATATATATAATATAAAAAACTTATAACTTTGATTGGAAATAATCATAAATAATAAATAATATAAGAAAAAATAAATATAAACTGTAAATTTTATAATTATTTTTATAATAATAAATATATAAAAATAAAAATGAAAAAGATTTTTCATTATTACTGTTTTTAAAATATAAATAAAAAAACAGGAAAAATTATAAATCGAAAAATACTAAACATACATTATAATGAAATATTGTTAGAAAAAAAATGAATAAAAAAATTGTAAATATAAATATATATAAAATTTAGAATTAAATATTTATTATCAATGAAAATAGTTTAAAAGTAAATAATAATAATAGTTGTGGGCTCAGCGAAGAGGGATTTACTCGAACACGATGGGCTTCCTCGGGGGCGTCGCGTGGGCCATGCTTTTAGCACGTGTTTCTCAGGTGGATGCTTTTATTTTATCATTTTTAAGTGAAGTGAGCGAACTTTTTTTAGCGATACCACTGGTTATTTTAGTTTTGATTCACTGATTCGTGCATATATTATGATTTTTATCGGTTGTTTATTTGTATTTTACTAATATTTAAGGAGATTTATCGATTCCATTGGCGGTTTTTTATAAATATCTAATTTTTTTCATTATTTTTTGTTCAAATTAGCTAAAGATACGCAACTTTATCTCTTGTTTCCTTGTAATTTTATTTTTTCCTCAATATTGGTTGGTGAAGCTTTAAATCCAACTCCATGGTTGGTCTGTTGAGGAGGTTTAGCATTCTCCTGTCTCTAATTTATTGTATATCATTATTATGGTTGTATAAGTACGACTTGTGAAGTGGACTGCTTTAAAATTAAGTTTTCTATTGGATATTTTTAATGGGTTTTTACTTAATTCTGTAATGGATAATTGGTGAAAGTATAGGGTTCAACTTCTATAATTGGGAGTTCATAGATTTATGCGTTTTCATTATTTTCGTTGAATTTCTCTCGCTTCTCGGTGGTATTTTATTACCTATATTATGGGATATTATGAAACTTTTCCCCTTTTTTCTCGATAATATGATTGGTGGAGATTTATTCTTTTGCTATATGATTAGTTTTTTATTTGTACATTTCATTATTTTTCTTGAATATTGTACTTTTTTTGGAAAAAATTTTTAAGTAGCCATTTTATTGGTTACTTTTGACGAATTTTCTAATTAACTTTTTATTGTTGGTTTTTTAGAAATTTTATATCATAATTTTTTTGCACCATAGATTTGTTGATGATTATAGTACTTTTTATTTATTACATTACGCTTTTAATTGGTTATTTGTTTAATATTATAATATATAACGGAGACATATTTTTACAGGAAAATTATATTATATTTATTATGAATAATCTATTCATTATTTTTTATAAAAGCTTTACCCCAACGGCGCCCCATCCACTCTTGTTTGTCGATTTTTTCGTGTGATGAGCCAGTGGCCTTGGCCCACTCCCGTCTTACTTAAGCAAATAGAAGAAGCGAATTTGGGTTTTCCCGTGTGGAACTCTCAAGTTATTATTTAATAAATATTATAATATAAAGATGTTATTGTTATTTTGGTTTTATTATTATGAATGCTAAGATTATAAATAATAATATTACTACTAAGGTAAGTATTATTATAAATATTATTTTTAATTTAATAATTTTAAGTATTACTATATAAAAATTATTATTATAAATATTACAATTGTTATGATCGTTACTACTATTGTCAATATTATTATTATTACTACTATTGTTTTTATTATTATTTTCTTTACTCTTATTATTATAATTATTATTATTGCTTTTTTATTATTAGTTATTTATATTATTACTATTACAAATATTAATAATATTATCTTCAGTTTTAATTTAAATATGCATTTTGTTTTTAACATGATTGTGAATTTGTAACATTTTTAATTTTATTTACTATATTTTCATTAACAATGAATATTTTTTTTTGAATTTCGTTATAATTGTTCAGTTTTTATTATTATTATATATAATAAATAGTTATCTTTAATTTTATTTATTTTTTGTTCTTTGATTTTTATTATTTATGTGTTTTTAATAATTAAAAAAATTATTTAACAAATTTTATATTTTATAATATAATATAAAAGTATATAATATTGTTTTATATTATTATTTTTAAATATTGTTACTACCAGTTTTATTTTTTCAAAATTATTTTAGTTGTGAAACTTTTTTTTTTGTTTGATTTCATGAGGAAGTTGAAGTATTTTTACTAGTAATTACTAATTTTATTTTTTTTTTAAACGAAAAAATTTTGAAATAATTCTTATTATAAATTTTAAAAATTTATTATAATTATTATTTATGTTATTATTATAATAATCTTCAGTTTTATTTATTCCCTTAAAAAAATTATACTTTATACTTTAGAAATTGCTTTTGTTTATGGACTATTATTATTTACGAGTACTTTAATAATAATAATAATATTTTTTATGACTATAATATTAGTAATTTTGATATACCATTATTATCATTTTCTTATAATTATTAAATAATATCTCTAATTATTATTATAGTAAATATTATTATTATCATAATTATTAAATATTATTTATTTTGGAATAATTATTTGTTATTGATATAAATTATTATTAATAAGTATTTTTATACTTTGTTCTTTTATATATAAATATTTTATTTTTTAATAATTTTTACTATTATATTGAAGTATTAACATGATATAATAATATTATTTGGTATTCATTATTATATTTATTATTGTTTCTGTTATTATTATTATCATGGCATATATATTTTTGTTTTTATTTATATATTTTTATATTAATTTATAATATTTTGTTATTATTATCACTATTATTATTTTTTTTATTATTATATTTATGATGAAGAAATTTTTATTGTTATTTATTATTTACTATGAATAAATTTTTTACTAATATTATATTAAAAATATTATTTATTTGTTATATTTATTATATTATTTATATCTTCCTTAATTTTTTGTTATTAATATATTTATTACAGCTATTATTATTTCTTATATTTAATATGAATATTTTTTATAATTCTTTGTATATATTTAATATATTAGTTGGCATTTTCAATAACTATATATTAATATATTTATTATAGTTATTCTTTCGACTATTATGATATTATTCTTATTATAATTATCTATATTATGAATATCGTTATAACGATTTTCCTTTAAAAATGTATATTAGTAATTTTTAATAATATTTATTATTAATTTTACATTACGATTATTATATTTTTGATTATTATGATACTATAAATGTTTTTATTACTCTTTTTATTCTTATATTCAACTATATTCTAACTTTAATAATTACTTTATATTACTATATTTCTTGTTGTTATTGTTGTTGTTACGTTTATTATTTTTATAATTATTATTTAGTATAAATATCTTTATTGTATTTGTATATATATATTACTTATATGTTCAATGATTACTCACTATTAATATATTTATTAGAGTTATTATTAATAATATTACTTTTATCAATTTCCTTTTTCTACTCATTTTATTTATATTCATTATTATTTCTGAAGCTCAACCCGATGGACAGCCGCCATATCATGCCTATAATAACACCTGCCTACCCTTCTATTAACTCTACGCATAACGTGATGGAGTCTACTCTCAGCGTGATCAAAGAAGAGTTTAACAGGTTATATATTTGTTTTTGATTGGTTGCTTTTTAAAACGCACGAATGATAATAAAGGGCTCTTGGTATTACACTAAAAATTGAGAATAATCAAAGCACGTGGAAGGAATTGTTTGAAAAAAGCGATTTTTTTTATGTACATAAAAATTTTATTCAAGTGGATGCCTTTTCTGGTATTATTACTACTGTTACTAATTTTATTATTATTATTCTTATTATATTTATTTTACATTACTAATATTTTCATTATCATTATTTCTGTTACTATCATCCTTATTGTTAGAGCAAATAATTATTTTTTTTCCTATTTATATAGAAAATGAAGAGGATCATCGAGCATGGTACGCTCTAGTCGAAGTAATTCTTAATATTTTTATTATTCCTTATTGTAATATATATAATTTTAAAACTATTTATCTATAAAAGGCTCGAATTCGTTTTTTAGTATTGCAGTTTGAGAGGACTCAAAACGTTCGGCCTTGTCCTTTCCCGAAGGTGTTATTATGTACTTATGATATTAATAAATATTAATAATAGTATTACTAATAGATCAGGATAATATTTATAATAATAAAAGTAAATATTAAAAATTTATATAAACAGAATTTACAGAAAACTTACAGAACTTTTTTTTAGTAAGCAATAAATATAAAATATATTAAAATTTTACATGGACAGTAGAAAAAATATTATAAAATGTACGAAAACTAAGAAAATAAATAATACTGTACAATATAGAAAATGCATATAATATTGATTTTGTAATGAATAATTTTTAAAGTTTTATTATAAATATTATTATTATCACTATTGCTATTTTTATTTTCTATAGGCGTATCACATCCGGCCTGAGGAGAATCTTTTTCAAACAACCTTTTTTATTGGCTTAACTTTTCCTCCCAAGTCACCCGGTTATATTATTATAATTATTATAATTATTACTATCATTTTCATTATTTCCTTATTATTATAATCACTATTTTTTGTTTTTCTATACCATAATATAATGAATTTTTTTAGACGCTGTTTCTACTGGTGGGAAAAGGCGTGTTGAGCTAACTCCCGCCGTTCGGGAATTTATGCGTAAAGTTCAAACTTGGCAAGCTCATAAAGAGTCAATGCAGCTAAAAGTTCACCACGTGAAAAGGTATTTTTTTTTGTTAAATATATATGTAGTCATTAAAAAATATATGTAATTTTTTAATCTAATTTGTTATTTATTTGGTTTTCTATTGGTCTATTTTTTTCATTTTGTTTATTAATACTCTTTTATTTTGTATTTTATTTTCTACTTTATTGGGCTGTCGGGTTTTGCCTTAAAGTCTCTATTATTGTTTTTTGTTTTTGCATTACAAATAAAGTTCATTATTTTATATATTTATTTCTTTATATATTATCTATAATATTTATTAAAACTTTTGTAAAACTTTTATTTACGTTATATCTTAATTTCTTTGCTTTTTTTTTTCTTTGTTATATTTAAATATTAATATTTAGAGTAGGTAATAACTAATTTTATTTTTTACTAAAATATCTAATCTTTTATATAATAAACAACTTTTATATTTATTATTTATCTATTTATAGCCTTTTTTTTCTAAACTGTATTTTTATTATTTTCCTTATTAAAAAAACTTACTTTTGTAGTTCATTATTAAAAACTTTTTCCTTAAAAAGTTATTTTTATGCATTATTGTATTTATATTATTATTTATAATTTACATAAATATTATCTACTTTTACTTGTGCGTAAAAATAGGTTTAAAACTTTATGAATATTTTATTATTTATTTCTTCACTTATTGAGCTAAATTGATTTTTTTTAAGGTTTTTGATTAGCTAATACTTTTTTTTACAAATTTCAAGCGGTTGATTATAATATTAATTTTTACTTACCGTTTTATCCGTTATTTTATTGGTCAGATCTGAACTTCCGGACTTTATTTACGAGGACGGCGAGAAACCCGCGCGAAAAAAAAGGTCCGCCAAAGTTGAGCAGCAGCCAATTATTTTGGAAAATAATGATAAACGTCGACGAACTCATGAATTTTTATGTGATTTTTTTATTATTATATTTATGTAATCCGGTTTCAATTATTATTTTTTTATGTAGATTTTTTGTAATTTTATATTTTCTCACCATTTTGTTTAGCTTTTATTACTGTAACTATATTTACTTGGTCGTATGTTTGCTATCTATATTTATTTATTGTTATTAAATTTTTTAGGCATATTAGAATTATTATTATTTCCATTTAATCAATATCTATATATTATTATTTTAATTTAGTTATATTAATAAATAATATTTCTTATTTAATATTTATATATTTGTTTTTATTTTTTTTTATATAGTTTTTATTATTTCTATTCTTTATTATTATTTTTATTTATTCATATTTATAATTATTTATTTATTATTCTATTTACTCATATTTTTACTATTTATATATTTTTTAACATTAATTTATTTACTATCGTATATTATATATATTTGATTATTATTACTATCTTTATTATATATATGTGCGTATTTATTATTAATTTAATTTAGTTATATTTTATGATTTACATTTCTTTATTATTTTTAATATAATTTAGTCACATTTTTGTAATTTCCTTTTTTTATTTGTTATCAATTTATTTATTATTTATTTTATTGTTATATTTAATACTTATTTATTATTAGTACTATTTATCATTATTTTACAATCCTTTTATTATATACATTTTTTATTGTTATTTTTTTTCATTTGTCATTTTAATATTTGATATTATTATATTTAAATATTTTTGACATACTGTTTTTGATTATATTACTTAATTTTTTTACTAATATTTATAATTATTATTTAGTATTATTTTTATTATTTTATTATATTTATTATTTTTTATTACTATTTTTCTTGTTTATACATTTAATACTTTTTTTTATATTTACATTTTTATTTATTACTATTGTTACTTTATTTATTCTTTTTGCATATGTTACTATTTTTATTTAGTTTTATTATATTAATAATAATATATATACATTTATTATTTACTATTATTTTATGTTTATTATACATATTCTTTTTTAATATTTATAGTTATTATTATTTCTTGGTCATTTTTATTTCTACATTTTATTATTTTTATTTAGTTTTCTTGTTTATAGTTTTTTTAATATTATGTTTTATTTATCTTCGTATTTACTATCTTTGAAATTTATTACTTTTATTTTATTGATTTATTATTTTTTCCTTTTTAATATTATTATTATTTTATTTATTTTAGAATTATTTATAATTATTGACTTTTTAGTAATTAATTAGCGCTTTATATTTCCTTTTTTTTTTATTTATATTTATTTTTATTAACTTGTTAAATACTTATTATTATTATTATTATATTAATTTTTCCTTTTTTCATTTATATTTGTATGTATTAATTCTTTGTTCTTGTTAGTACCAATGTATTTTTAAATTTTTATTTTATTATCTATTTATTTTGATAAACTTTTATAAATTATTAATTTCATATTTATTTTTCTTTTTTATTATATAAATTATTATTACTTATATAATCAATAATTATTCTCTTACTTTTTATATATTATTGTTATTTTTTATTCATACTCATTCACTTTTTAATAATAATTATAATTTTTCATTATTTTTATATTTTATTAATTTTTATTAATACCATTGTTACTTATTATTTATTATTTTTATTCATATTCGTAATTATTATAATTTTTCCAATTATATATTAGTAATTTTATATTTATATTTATTAACTTTTTACTTGTTACCATTATAAATTTATTTTATATTCATAATTATTATCATATTATTTTTAAAAATCAATATTTATTATTATTCATTTATACTTTATAATATATATATTATATATTAATATCTATACTTCATTTATATTTTTGTATATAATATACTTACTTATTTACTAATTACTATACGTTTTTACTATACTTCATTTTTATAATATTTTATAGTATTATTTAAACTATTATTTTTTTATATTATTTTTATTTATGTATATAAATTTTTATTTTATTTATAGTTGTTCTTTTTTTATTTATGTTTTTTATTCACTATAGTTATTGCTAATAATCATTATAGCAACAGCCACGGTCGCTACCAGTGATCCACTGGAGGACAATTTTTCTAGTGAACTAGCGGAACCCATGCAAGCGGCTCCCCTGCCACCCCCGAGTTCCTCTTTTGACCAGTCAGTACCAACGTCTAGCCCGTGCCAGTCGGACATTAGTGGGTTTTCTAGTTCCTTTGATGCTACTGCTACTCCGGACTGTGTTGAGGAACTTACCTATGAAAACACGCCCGGGATTGTTTATGCCTCTAACCACGTGGCTTCTGTCCACAAGCGACCGCTTATTAACTTAAGGATGGCCAATGGGAAGAGTGGCTGAAGAGAAAAACCTTTTTTATGTTTTTTTAGTTTATTCGTTTTGATGTTATTATTATTATTTTGATTTCAGAATTTTGTAAAAGTTCATTTCAGTGAATTACATTTTATAAAAATTAATAAAAGATTTTAGATTATTTTTACTTTTTTTATATGTTTTTAAAAAAAAGGTACATTCTTTTTCTGATAAAAATTTTTAATTTCTTAAAAAAGTAGGGGGGAAATCTTTAATTGTTTTGATATTATTGTTATCTATTTATTTTCAACTTTTTAAGAAAGATTCATAAAATTTTTAAAAAAACAAAAATTAAAAGTTTATAAAACTGTAGAAGTAAAAATTAAAAAAAAAATTGTTTACGTGAGTAAATATATATTAAATTATATTTAATTTAGTTTGAGAATATTTTTAGTTACTTATGAAACTTAATGGTAAAATTGACAAAAAAATATTTATGAAAAAATTAAATTAACAAGTTAGAAAAGACAAAAAAAAGAATTTATAAAGTTTGAAACAAATATATTTATAGGATTTATTAAAATTTAAAAATATTCGTGGTCGTCCTTACTAATCTTGAAAAACTAAAATAAAATTTCAAAAAATTTTTATTCAAGAACTTAAATTTACGTTATAAAAAATCGAAAAGTTTTTTAAAATTTTGAGAAATTTAAAATATATAAATACGAAATTGAATTTTTAAAATTATTTTTTCAATTGCTAACAATAAAATAAAAATAAGTTTCCTAAGGAGAATACATATTCGTCATGAAAAAATTTACCAATTATTTTACTTTTGTTCTAGATAGTCTTCAAGTATTTTTTAATTGCTAACAATAAGAGTAAAAAATAAAAGTTATAGATTTTAAATTACATTAGGAAAACAAAAGATTTATATGGGAAGTTATGAAAAATTTAAAAATTATAACTGAGATTAAAAAATAAGTTATTTTTTTCCTTCGAAAGTCAATTATTTAAAAAACTATGTGAAAGATAAAGAAAAGCACTTAGAAGTTTAATTTACAAGTTATAAAAAAAGTTTATGAAATTTTAAAAAATTATTTAGGATATGTATAATATATCTCATTGCTAACATTGAAAGATAGTAAAATTTAATAACAGAAAATTAAATTTACGAGTATAATAAAATGAATGAAAAATAAGTAACTAAATTATGTAATACATTACAGTACCAAGATTTAAAATTTAAAATATTATTCGAGGTGGCTTTTATTATTAAAACAACTAAAATAACAAAGAAAAAAAGTTTTAATATAGAAATTTTATTAACAAGCTATTAAATAGTAAATAATGAATTAAAAAAAGTTATTAATTTCATTTAATTATTTTTACAAATTTTAAAAAATTTTTAAGGAATCTTCACTATTTTTTCCATGCTAACAATAAAAGTTAAAAAATAATTTATTAAAGAAATTATAATAATTTAAAAATAGAAAAATTAAAGATGTTTATTTGGTTTGAGGCAGCCTTTTATTATTTTATAAATCTAAAACTAAAAATATTAAAAAGGTTTTAATAAAAAAAATTAAATTTTTAAGTTAAAAGAAAATAATGATATTTTTAAAATTTACAAAAATTTTTACCATTTTTAAGTAAATTATGTTTATCAGTAATATAAGAATTAGAAGTGTGTTTAATTTAGAAAAATTATTTTATAGTATATATATAATAACTATCTTAAAAAAAGAAAAAGAACGTAAAATTTTTAGAATAATAATACTTCATAAAACTTTTATAAAATAAATAAAAAAAAATAATTATTATAAAAATTGTGAAATCTTTTTAATTTATAAAAAGAGGTGTTAATGCTTGTAAGAAAATAAAAATTAAATTAATATATATAAAAAGTCTATAAAAAATAAATATGTGCATTGTAAAAAAAAAAAAAAAAAACTATATTTTCTTTTAAAGGAGTATTTAATTTATATAGATGCCAACAATGAAAACAAATAGAATTGGCATTTTTGAAGAATTTAATTAATCAAAATACCAAATAATGAAAATTTATTTTAAACATTTTTATAAAAAATTAAAAAAAAAATTATTCCTAAAAAGTTTAAATTTTTTTTAAGGCGTTAGATCTATATTAACGCCAACAATAAAAGAATTAAAACGTCTTTTTTGAATTATTTAAACAAAATACTAAAGTATAAGGCAAAATTTAAATAGCCTTTAAGAAAAAGTATAAAAAAATAATCAATATTTTTATGTTTTCATATTTTTCTCAAGTACGTTAAATTTATAAAGACCCACATTATTAGAAGTAAAAATATGTTTTTTTTTAAAATTAATTAAACAAAATATTATTATACATACAATATTAAAAGGCTATTCTAAAGAACTCTGAAAAAAAAAAATTAATTAAATATAATATTTTTCCGGAGAGTTAAATTTATAAAAAGGCCAAAAATAAAAGATTTAAGACTGACTTCAGAGAAATATAATATAATAAAAACTTAAAGTATAAAGATTTAAAAGCCTTTAAGAAAATTTTTTTAAAAATTAAGTAATATTTTTTGTCTTCATATTATTCTCAAGTAGTGTTAAATGATATAAAGACCAACAATAAAAAATAAATGTCTTAAAAAAAATAATAACAAATATTAAAGTATAATGGATAAATCATGAAGCATTAAAAAATTAAAAAAAAAATAAGTAATATCATTATAAAGTTTTTATATTATCCTCAAGTTGTGTCAAATTATATATAAAGGCCAACCTTAAAAAGAATTAAAACGACTTTTTTAAAAAATAATTAAGAAAGATATTAAATTGAAAAAAATACTTTAAAAACCTTTTTAAATTAATTTTAAAAAAATTAATCGCTTAGTCCGGAATTTTTCTCAAAAATTTATAAAATTTTTATAAATTCAAAAATTAAATTAAAAAAAGACAAATTATAAAGAGATATTATAAAAGCACGAATAATACTTTTCTAAAGTAAAAACTTTATAAATCTTTTAGCATTGCCATTTTTATCAAAACTAAATTATATATATTATAGGTAACTTTATTTATATTATTAATTTATTTTATATATTTCAAATATATTAAAATGAAGACTATAAAGAAATAGGAAAGTAGAAAGTAATAATTTTAAAAAAGTTAATTGAAGTTATAATAAATTTTAGGCAACTGCTAAAAAAAATTTACAAGTTATAATTTTTATATAAGTTAAGTATTAACAAATTTTTAGCATTCCTGTTAATTTTTTCATATTTATAAAATTATTTTATATTGATAAATAAAATTTAAATCTCACCGTAACCTGGAAGGCTGATTCTTGCAGAAAGTCAAATAATTATTTAGTTGTCGCCTCTCTTCTGACCGTTATAAAGAACAGTTTAAGCGAATGGATATGTTGACAGTACGAATTCAACTTTAAAGCATTTTCTTAGCCAATACTTTCCTTTTTTCCAAGAGAAAGTTATATTTTTTTAGTACAATCAATATTTTTAACGCATTCTGAGTTTAACGTTGCATTAGTCAGTCTCTGGGTTTGCCAATCCGTTTAAAAATTAGACATCTAATATTACTTTCAAATAGGGTTTTCTAGAGAACATTAACTACTCTGCTAAAGGTAAGGTTGACCATAAATATCTTAGAAGCATTAATTAAGATAATATACGAGGGTAGGTATGGAAAATTTACCAAGTACAGCAGGATGGAATATTGACTTAAATAATTGCTCTTAGCTTTGGTTAAAATTTCTTGTTCAAAACAAGTCCTGTGGGTGTTATGTACCACACGACATTACCCCACCCTTCAAACAATAAAATTCTTTGACTAACTTTGCTCGGTATATTTTCACTTGACCAATGGAAAGAGTAATTTTATATTTCCCTCACTTTCTACTTAAACAATTTAAGTATAAATACTCGACTTTCTCTTAAGGGACCTTCACTTACCTGGTGCGGTCAGTTCGTGATCAGTGAGGCGAGCTGGCTATACGGTGGCGTGCCATTGCACTAGGGCGTGCGCTGTGTATCATCCCCTAAAGGGGGACTGGAGCACATAATTTATGTTAGTTGGGAGCTTCGCGTTCGCGCGGGTTCCCGTTTTATATCTTTAAGACAAGAGGAAAACGTTTGTGTGGGTGATGTTAAGTTGTTTGCTCAAGGCCTGCTTAGGTTGTTGGTACAAAACCCTACTTACTTACTTTTGCTAGGGGCGCTTGGTGGGGGTTGTTGGGGTCTTCTTCTTTTAACCCTTTCGATGTAACATGATATAATCATACGTATATAAAAAAAATACTTACGGGGGGGGCCCCGGCGGAGTTGTGCTTCTTCCGCATCTTGTTGGACGTTTATTCTTAAATCTCTCTAAGGCTTTTTTTTGGTGCCCTGCCTTTAGCGGGTTTAAAATTGAGAAAATGCTCTGCTTCGCCTCAAAATGTTCAGCCAGTGCTGTGCTGCTCTACGGGCGAGGTGTTATTATAGTTAAGTGCATCTTCTTTGCCTTCTAAATTAATTTATTTAGTGTTTTCCATTTTTACGTCGGAGTATTTTTTTTGCTTTGTGCTTTTCTATTAATAATTCCTCAGCGGCAATTATTATTAATAAAAGTTTAATTTAACTATTACTAAAAGTTTGATATTAATAGTAGTAAATCGTCTAAACCTTAAGTACAGTCAGCTAATTGAAGGCATCATTCCAAAAGGCGCCAATATATAGTTATTAGAGGTTACCACATAAGTAATTATTATTATTAGCGAAACTTGATGTAAGCTACTGCAAAAGTTCTGGTCCTGGAGGACAGCACGTAAATAAAGGTCATATAAATAATAATAATTGTTCTTCAGTCTTTACTAAAATACTTATAACTATTAATTAATTTTGTTCTGTTTTTGCTGCTACTATTGGTCTTGATTAATTACGTTATATGATTTTCTAATAATTTCTATGGAATTTTTTTTGAAGATTTTTTTTAGAGTACTATTTATCTATATTTTTATAAATTTTGTATTATATATTTATTTTGAATTGTATAATTTTATTGGTGGCGCTAAAAATACTACACTGTTAACAATAATTGCAAAGTTCACTTTAGTTTTAGTTAAGTATTTTACATATCCTTTGCTTTATAAATATACTATAAGATTCGTTTCTTTCTTCTATCTTTACTCCTTGTAGCTTATTTATTATTCAAATTGTTTTAAAGTTGTAACTAAGTTTTGTAAACTACTACTGAGAATTTTGAAAAATAACAACTAAGTAATTATTTTTTACTATTTTCATGTAGTATATTATTTAATATCTTTATCACAGTTTTTTAATATTCAAAACCTTTTAAGAAAAGAAGTTAGTAACGCTGTTTTATAATTTAAGTTACACTATAGCTAATTATGACTTAAATCTTATAAAAGTTATTAAGTTCGCTTTTTTATTTATTTATATAATTTTTATATTTAGTGAATTCCAAAGTTCAAATTCGCTTTGATTTGAAAAATGCCGATTGGCTGGATGAGTATACCAAAAATAGAATTTTCCAAATGGTATGTTCAGACATTTTAAATTTTCTGTACGCCGCAGTTTAAAAATTATATATAAATTCAACTTTAACAAAAAAATTGTGTAGATGAGTTTTACCTTTCAAGCAGTTAACTAACTGAAATTTTTCCCTTCAATAGGAAAAGTCTAGGATAAATAAAGAAGGATTTTTTTTCATTTACTCACAAGAAACCAGGTGTGCTAGTGAAAACTACGATAACGCCATAGCTAAAATTTTACAAGTATAAGCGTTGACACGTTTTTATTATTGGTAGGAAGTATATTTTTGTTTAGATCGTTAAAAAGGCAGCTGAAAGACCTAAAGAAACTAGCGAGGAAAAAAAGAAAATTATAAGGATGCAGTTAAGTATATTTACCTACTAACAAGTTTTAAGCAAAATCACAATTAGATCAATAAATAGCCAAAAAAAATTTGATGAGAAAAGATTAGAAGAAAAAAGACGCAGAAAACCTAAATTTAAACGAAATGACGACTGGTGCTAACTAATTACAAAGTGGGAGGCTACTTAGAGAAATTTAACTAACTGACTCGCATTATGATTATAAACCAACTTGAACTCGACAATAAAGATATGTAACATATTGCTAACTTCCTCAGCAGTCATAAGTTAGCTATCTTGTGAAAACCGCAATAAATTTTGTTTTAATAGTTTTATTCTACAACAATAATATAAGTTCTATCTACTACTTCACGGCACTTCAAAGCTATTACCTTATTACTTTTTTTACGTGCAAATAGTGGCTTCACTGCGAATTCTAATAGGAAATGTTTAATAGTTAAATGGTTGAGTCAAATTTAGCTAGGTAGTATTTAAAAACATAAAGGCTAAAATACAGCAAAGAGCTGAGGAATTAGAGAGAAAAACGTGAATTTAATAGAAAAAGGTTTTACTTTTAACGGATCTTTTATTCTATAAAACAAGACAACTAGAAGAAGAATATAGTAACTTCAACACTAAGCACCATACGAAGAGCAACAAAGCTATCTACTTCTCTCTTCCAACTCGCTGTGTACGTATAAAAACTTCCAGTTTGATTAAGTGGTGGTTCACAGCAATGACTTTTACAATAAGTTTGCAGCCCTTTTGAACGTTTTGTAAATGTTATTTCCTTTAATAGTTTTAACACTATATAATAAGTGATTTATGTAAGTATAATAAATACTATTTAGCACTAAGACATTTTATATATATTATTTATTAAACTATCCCGTATATTAGTACACACAAGATAGACCCCCTCCGTGCCCTGCGGGCAACCTAAAACAACGAGAGAAGAGGATTATAGAAAGCATAGTATTTCATGCGACTTTGTTATATTTAACCTAACCCTTAACCCTCACTCCCCTATAGTTACAAAATATACAATTTTATGGTCACTCTTGGAATATATATTTTTTTTAATGTGTTGTAAAATATGAAAGGGATATGCATTTGTGTTAGTAAAAACCATAACACCTTCAGAATGGCCACAGTGATTTTGTTAAAATCGAATTTTTCCTTATCGCGTCAAGCTAACATGGTTTAGTTAGTATGTCTATACTTAAATTACTGTCAAGACATACCTTACGTTATTTACTTTTCTTTAAATTTATGTTGGTCATAAATTTTAATTTTTTTGTTTATATAATGCTATCTAGAATGTACTATATTCTGTTGACAGAAAAGTTACATATATAATTTAATTTTTATTAAAAAAGCCTCGGAAGTTGATTACTAGAAAATGGCTAGATGCTTGTACATCTGGTAAATCTAAGACAACTACTGAAGACAACCGAGAAGATTCTCATACGATTAAACTGAAAAATGAAAAAGCTTATTCTCGGGCTAGTAAAGTAATTGAGAGTATTAAGAACAGCAGTGATTCTCGTTCAGATGTTATCACGAAACCTAAATTTTCTCAGGTTTAATTTTTTTTTAGTCTTTTGTAGTAATAGTATTTTCTAAAAGCTATTATACTATTGTTATATCTTTTTAATTTCGTTTTTAATTGTTTATATTTCTCTAAAGAAAATTATTACTGAAAGGTTTGTGATTATCTTTATTAACTGTTCAAAAAAGCTCCTTAAATTGCCTTACTAACTATATTTAATGGATGTTAGTATTAAGAAGACTTTTAAGTAGATTGAGATAGGTGGATAGAGGATCTTAGAATAATGAAAAACGTTTTACTTTTAAGTAATTTTTTGTCGTAATTTAAATAAAATTAGGACTTTCTTCCCGTGGTAGAGTCTTCTACTAAGGAAAATAGCGTAGGAACTGGTATTATGAAGGATGCATTTTTCAATAGCGACTACTTTACAGTAAACTTTTTACTGTGAGGTTTATACATTGATGAAGACTTGGAAGGCTTGAACCCGCAAGAAAGAAAGGGGCTGGAAGATTTTAGAAAAGAGGTTAGTCTAAGCAACATCGAAATTATTTATTGTACTAAAGTGTAAATCTTTTTAAATCAATTTTTATAAATTCATCTCCACTCAGAATATTGAATATAATAACCCTTTTAAAAAATCAGTATAGGCCTTATAAGTTTGTAGTGGTGGTTTTACTAGACGTGCTTAATAAACATATGAGGGGTTTAGCTAAATTCCTTAAAGCAGTTTGATGAGTTTTTTAGTCAATATGTTTGTTCTGTATACCATTGGCTCCACTTTTTACTATAATAGCGTACCTCACCTACAAAATGTTAGCACTTTTTATGTAGTACTAATTTTGCATTACACTAGATCAAAGCATCTTTAACTCCAACGAAGAGCGAAGTATATCGTAACCTGCTCAGCACTGTAAAAGCTAGTAACTTTACAGAGTTAGGTGTTAGGAAAGTTTATTTTATTATTATTATACATTATTTTTACTTGCGCTATTCTCTGCTTCTTATAGTTCCTCTTATGAAAAGTTATTTAAAAATCTTCGACCAGAAATATCTGTCCCTACTCCCGTGCAGAATGCCGTATGGTCCCGAAATTTTTTTCTTCATGTTTTCAACGACCACTTTTATTAGGCCATTCCTCCCATCGGCGCGGGTTTGGACGTTTTTATTCAAGCGCAATCCGGTACTGGAAAGACTCTTGCTTATTTGGTAGCCCGGAGTGACTCTAGTAGGGCTATATTGGTTACCTTTGCCTTTGTTAGTTGCCGCTCGTCCAGAATATCCGCCGAAACGGGAACCCTCTCTCAGGCATTATTTTTGTGCCCCTGCAAGAGTTGGCTTATCAAGTTTGTGCCGGTATGATTATTATTTATTATTATAATTACTATGAAAACGCTTGTTTACTTAGTAATTATAACTAATCACTAAGATTTTTTCAAAGTTTTTGAAATAACATTGAATTTTAAATTAAAAAAGTTTGCAGGTAAGAATGAAGTTATGTAAAAATAAAAAATATTGAATGTATATTCAGTAAAGAGAGCAATTCTGTTATAGACCGTAAGCGGTACATTTTGTCCGCATTTAGTTAGTATTACTCCATTAATATTAACAACATCAATAATAATATTTAACTATTATTAAACACAGAAATCAAATTTTTAAATAAATCGAGCGATTTTGTTGGTTTAGCGATTTCCAGCAGAGACGATATTGTCGGTCTCATATTATTTTTATTATTATTTGTTATTGAATATTATTAAGCAGCTTTCCATTGAAGAGGACGCAGAACTTGATAAAAAGAGACTTCCTAGCATATTAGTAGCGACGCCAACTTATTTTCTGAAGCTTTTAACTATTAAAAAAAGGTTTCCACACTTTCGGAATATTCGTCACGTGGTTGTAGACGAGGTTATTGGACCATTGCCCCCGTCTTTAGCACTTTGGCATAGTGTTACTATTTTTTCTGTATGCAAGGCGGATCTGCAGTTTCCTTTTAGAAAGTCGTATGATACACAAAAACAAAGAGAAAAACGTCTTAAGCATCTCAAGCCCATCACACAAATTTTCGACACTTTTAAAAAAGGTTGCTATCGGTTTGATATACACTATTGCGTACACCTTACGAAATACGAAGCAGTGTAACTTATAATTTATTTATAAATTGAGTTGGTTTATGTACGCTGATATCACCTTTATGCCGCTACTTAATGAAACATTTTTATAAATTTATTATAACTTTCTCTATATCCTGTAGCCTCTCTTCAGTTTCAATGTATTATTGTTTCTGCTGCACTCAACTCGTCATTGCGTTATGATTTGCTGAAACAAGAAGTTGTTAAAAACCCATTGGTTAAAGTTTTTTACTTAACAGGCTTGTAATGTTTATTTCTTACTCACTATAGTGTTATTATGTTTTTCCATAATCTTATACACTTTTATTACACTTTTTTTATTTTTTTTCTATTATTCAGATTATACGCGATAGTAAATTTAAGATTCCCGAAGAGATTATACATGAATATGCAAGTTGCGCGGAGGAGGATAAACTCAAAGAACTTTCGAAAATTATTAAGAGCAGAAAAGCAGAAGTATATCGCTCAAACTATTAAACTTTTAGCGACGCAACTTATTAACATAAACGTTTTTTGTGAACATAATAGTATAATTTATTATAATTTATAGTGATTACCAAAATTATATTAATAATAATAATTGATATAATTTGCAGATATGATTATTGCAGTTACTCTATTATTTTTTCTTTAAAGAATGCAGTATATACTATATATGCTATTATCTTTAAGGAATGTGAGTGTGGAGCTCTTTAGGGGTTAAAGATAGTTAGTAACTAGTTAATGATTTAAATGCAAAAAAGCAGTTGGTACTTAAAAAGCATTATCATTTTATTATTATTTAAGAAAGGCCTTATTATACTCCATGACGAGGCAAGTCTTCAACAGTTCTCCTCAATGCTTTATAAAGAAACCGGCGTGGACTGCTGTTTGCTTCACGAACTTATTATAAAGTATTTAAATATAACTTTATTGATTGAAGCACAATTTTCGAAGTGTTTCCTTCTTTGCGTAGTTAATACAAATAACTGATAGCATTCTACTCGTCTTTCAGGCGCGGACTATCTGGGCTTGACTTTATGAGCAACGTTGTCGAGGATGCGAGATTTTATGTGGCCCGGGAGAGGGCTGCTTATGGATTGGATATAAGAAGCTTAAAAGAAGTTTATATAATGAACCTACCCGAGAAGCCTTCGGGTATCTTTTACAATTCACGTTATATAATAATATTGTTAATAGAGGAATTTAACTGTTATAATACATTAACTAGTCATTCTTTATTTTTAGTTTTATTTGCTATTGAACTCAAACTTTTTATTACAAATTTTTTTATTGAAGTGGATGTTTCTTTATTTTACAATAGGCTATATGCACATATGTGGGCGTGCGGGGACGGTAGGGCAAAAAGGCCGTGTGACATCTATTCTTACAGGTCGGGAAACTTATCATCTGCACAAGTATTCGAAATATCTCAACTTCCACTCTCCGCGTCCGTGGACCAATGAGCCGATCGAATGCAGTCCGGAAGTTCGTCAGATAAATTGATTTCTTATATATATAGTTTTTAAAGAATAATAAATATAGCAGTAACACCCGCTTTCTCGGCCACCAAACCGCTTATATCTGTTTTTTGCTATTTGTGGGTTATATGGGAAACTCTTTATGAACTCCATCGAAAACCAAGCACGCATAAATAATTATATCATTTAGTCATGGCTCGTAACCCTGTTAGAACAGTCTAGAATACCAATCAAAAACGCCCTTTCTAAGAATGTTTCCTGTCGAAGAGGGCCATGCTTTACCTCATCGCTCTTTCATTTTTAACAGTGCTGCTACTTTTTGTATTATAGAAGTTCCAAGGGGCGCTCACGGTTTTCAATTTCTAAATAATAATTACTTTGATGCTTTACACTTACCTGCGCTTAGTATAAGGAAAAACTCTTTAAGTAATTTTTATTTATGTAAAAGGCAGCAGTCATATGTACTTGTATAAGTAATACGACAACTTAATATTGACGCTGTCTGCAATTTTCATTGCGTCCTTCTCGTATATGTTACAACGATACTTAATGGGCGCGAGTCTGTAAGAAGTTACACAAACTTTGTTAGAATTATTTGAAGTCAACGGAAACAATGAATAAACATTATTTTTACCAGTAAAAAAACATACAGATATACATACACTTCTGGCCGAGAAACACGTGTAAGAAGTCCTATTTTGGCCAATGACTCGATCTTCAGTGTACATTGTGTATTAAAAATAATGCAGCAGTACATGCGAGGCCGCACTAACCTGTAAGCTTATAAGTGACGACTCAGGCACGTGGTCTTCCGAGAGCTTATAAAATATGGCCAGCATCCTTCCTAAAGAAAAGGACTTCGGACCGGAAAAAGAGTGCTTCTGAAATTAATATGAAAGCAGGATAAAGTTAGAAAAAAGTAGCAAAGTTAAAAGTAATATTTGCACTTATAATATTTAATTTGTGTCAACTATTAAATAAAAAAAAAACTTTTATTATAGTTTAAACAAACCAGCAACAAACATTTTACACAAAGAAAGGAGTTTAATATGTTCAGTAGACATAAAAATATATCGATAATGGAAAAACCGAAATGGAAGTGATTTTTTTATGAGTTTTTCTCCGAGAAGAAGAAAAAATGGAGAAAATAGAGCGATCGGCTTTGAAAGGGTTATGAGAGGCCAAGTAACTTGCGCAAAGAAGAACTTTCCCAAAGTAAGGAAGCATAAGTTGATACCGATTTTCAACTTTATTACACATCAATAATATTAAGAGTTATTAAGAGATCGAAAAAGTAAAAAAAGACTTTTTTATATTTTAAAAAAATATATATAAAGTTAAAAAAGAGGAAGTTTGTTTCAGTCAGTCATAGGAAACTGACAGCGTTCCAACACCATTATAATGAAGCGAATAAAAAAATTGTAGTAATAACGTGATTACAAAATGACAATTCCATGTTTATTATTAAAATTATTATTAAAAAAAAGTCAACGCACTTATGCTCACTTCATATATTATAATAAGACCTATAATGGCGGTCAAATATATTAATAGCATAAAAGTAGCGTTTCCTCTATAACATGTTCATCAAAAATAATAAAATATAAGATGTACTTCTAATAAAGTATTATTATATTAAATATATTAACAGTAAAGCATAAATATAAGAAAATAAAACACAAAATATGTCACTGTCTACATATTATCTTTATATTTTGAAAGATGTACTTTTCTCTTTTATGAAAACAGTTATAATTAATAGTTTACATAAAAATACATATAGACGTCTCTGAATGAAAGTTTTTTTTTATAAATTTAAAACTTCTTACACTTCATGCAAAGTTCTTGAACAATCGCTTTACTATAATATCTCCCGTCCGTTTTTTTTGTTGTACTTAACTTTGAATAAAGTTCTAAAAGGTATATAAACAACTCATAAAAAAGTCATGATTTAAATAGACGAACTTTACGTACATACAATGATAAAATAATTTAATATTAATAAAAAGAAAATACAGTCTTATAAAATACTATAAAACTGTTGAAAAAAGTTCTCGTTATAACAAGTAAATGTGTTCAAATTTTTAATAAAAAAAAAAGATTTAAAACAATAAAAAGTTGAGAAATTAAGTTTGTAAATAAAATATATTTAAAGCCCGATAACGATAGAAATATATATGATGTACTCAAAATGAGATAGTAGATTATTGAAATATAACAAAAATAAAGTTACTGAAACATATTTGGAAAGAAAACAATCTAAAATAAAACATAGATTATGAAAAAAAAATTTAGTCATTCTTTTTATCATATTACTTCAAAGAAAAATGATGTATCTGGTAAAGTATATTCTTTCAAAAATATTATATTCACTAATAAAAGAAAAGAGGCTTAAAAAAAAAGAGAGCTAGAAAGGAAAAACGTCCTATATACGCAGTAATTTTGTTATATAAAGTTAAGGGTAAAGTATATCATTTAATACTTACAGGTCTTGACGAGAAAGTAAGGAAAACAGCAAAATGGAGACAAACTTGTATAAATATTGCAACTAAAAATATTAAAAAATTATAGAAATAAGCATAAATAATGATAATTATGAATGTCCCGTAAAAAGTAGAGACAAATAAATTTGAAAGTAGGTAGTATACTAAAAAAAATTAAGAATTAGCAAGAAAATGCTTGTGAAGTAACTAATGAGAATATATTTATATTATAATGCCATATTATTAATAACTTTACGAAAACGATTTTTAATGCCTTCTTCATTATAAATTAATACTCGTTAATGGTCTTAACCTTTTAAGCTGGAAATAATTAACTTGTTTCCGAATAAAAATTAAGTAATTTTGCTTACAAGCGAAGAAACAAAGCTCTCTTAATTAGAAATGTTATAATTTATGATTATTTACTATAAAAGCGTAAAACCACAATGGTGATAAAGAGATTCATGATGAAGTAAAAACCATTGGTTGTTTTTATCCATTCCGAAGAGGATATGTCTCGCATGTAAATCTGTGAAAGCAAAGAAGATTTAAAGTACGGCTCAATTCTTCTCCAAAGTTTTGTATAATCCGTGGGGGCAGCTGTAGAGGTTTTTTAATGGTATTATCAGTTGTGTCATGAAATCTAGTAACTCAAGTAACATTTTTCCGTATTAACAAAAAGTTTATAACATTCCGTTCAAAGCGGTTGTAAGCCACTTTACCTTCTCCTCGCTCCACTGGAATCCTGTAGATCGGGTAAAGCAAGGAAACAAGATGCCTTATTTCGTTTAAGTCTCGAGAAATTTGAAAAAATACGCTCCTTTACTTGATTCAATATACAATTTATTTAGACAAAATAAAAAAAGAATTAATAAAAAAATAACTTCAACCTATAAATTAGTAAAAGGGCTCTCACAATAATAGAATGTACTATGTTAAAAAAAAAACGACTCCTTCACAGGAGTTAACAGCGCAGCTCAACTAGAAGCTGGCAAACAACTGCTGTGCGGAGTGAGACCAGGCCAATCAGAGTAGTTTATTGTAAAAGTACAGCCTTAACAAGCAATTCGTCGGAATAAAGTGTGGCATCAAAGATGAAAACCACTGTAAATTCCCCGAAGCAATCATTAAAATATATATATATATATAGAAACAATTTCTTTCTGGTATACTAACAAAATATAAAATGGAGTTGGAGCACTATTAACGGGCTATTAGAAAAATATATACCAAACAAGGTCAATAAAGACAGAAAGCGAAGGAACGTGCTCTTCAAGAAGGCATTTTGATAAGATAATAGCTTTGATTTCTTCTATATTATATAGCAAAATATTAGAAAAAATGAAGAAAATTACTGAAGTAATTACTAAAACTTAAACGTATAAACGTAAAGGAGAATAATAATGATAAGGAACTCATAAATTGATAGTAGTAATAAAAAAAAATTTCAAAAAGCACACAAGGCAAAGTTATCTCTTTTTATTAAAATTAATATCAAATGTTGATAAGTTTTAATATAACAATTTAACTTTTTACGATTTTGATATTAGAGGTCAAACTAAACACTATAGACAGTAAAGCGATATACATATTATGACTTTCAACACAAATATAATATTTTATAAGTAAAGCCAAAAACTTTCGGCACTGCAATAATTTATATAACTAGTTAAAACTCCACAAGGAGAACATACACATTACTAGAAATAAAGAATATAAAAAAAACTTGCAGGGCGCGTGCCACCGATATAGAGCGCTAAACTCCGTAACACTTAGCAAACACAAAACTTTGGCACGTAGGGAAGGGGAAAGTCTTAGAGGAGTGCTAGGCTTTTTCGAGAGACCCAAGAACTTCCCCACCTCGTAAAGCGTTACGGCTCCGTTTTTTTTTTAAATGTGGTAGCGTGTATCCTCCTTATACTCAACACCTACATCTACTTTCAAGCAAAAGAAAACTTCGTCCAACGACATGCGTACAGGAAATCAACCCGAAAAGTAAACAGCTCCCCAGTATTCTGAGCGCCTGCCCATCCTGTACGCGGCTTAAAACTTACACTATTGATAAAACTTCATAACCAAACTAATTTCCAAAACAGAAACTTTTTTTTATATAATTCGTAATTTATGGTGTAGTGCATATCTGTAATGAGGTATATTTGACAGAAATGATGATTACAATATACAATAAGTTTAAAAGAATAATTGATGGAATGAAGTTTATAAACCTAAAAGTTACAAGTTAAAAAAATAAAATTATAATTTTTTAAAAATATTCAAGAAATTTTTCTATATTACAACAAACTATAAAGATTTACAAGAATAACATGATATAAGCAACATTAAGCAGAAAACTATTAATAAAATATAGAGAAACACCTTTATTATAAGAACGAAAGAATATCTTGATGGGCGTAAAATAAACGTGTGGACACAGAAAGTTTTCAAAAGGGAGGTGGCTAGTCATGAGTATGCAGATGTTGCGGTGGCTCTAGTAATAATAGTTTAATACCGCACGTATCATTATAAGTAAAATAATACTATAAAAGCTGTAGTACTTTAACGAGTAAAAAAATATATTTATAAACGATATGTTTATGAAGAATTTGGGTAAACCCCCAAAACGTTTAACTTGAAAAAACAAGTGTGTAAATAACGTTTATAGAGATAATAACAAACATAGAAGCTTAAGTTTAACAAAACTTCCAAACAGTCAGTAATCTTCTTTTCTTTTAATTTTTCGGGTTTCTCAAGAACCTTAGTTAATAAGTCATAAAATTAGAAAATATGTTTTAGAAAAAGATTTTCATAAATTTTTCTGAATTACTATATATAAAAGCTTGGACAAAAAGTATATCTTCACAGTTCATAAAATAATATTACAATTCAAGTTAAACGGATAAAATTGATAATACAATAAGAAAAGGTTTCTCCTTGTTATTTTGAAAAACTGTTTTCACTTCTGAAACAAAAAAGTTTTCAGTTATGTGCGAGACCGAAACTTGGCCTTTCGAGAAATAAACATATTTATTGACTTGGAAAAAATTATAACAAAGTACATAATACTTGTCATAAAAAAATTAATTGTAAATTACTAATATAATGAGCAGTACAACTAAAAAAAATTGTGTTGGTAAGATTTTGATAAGTAAATTTAAAAAAATAATAAAAAGAGATTAGTAGGAAAAACACCATTAAGTTGTTTAAGGATGGAACGGAATAAGGAAGAAGCGCTCGAATGTAAGGAGCAATCGCAGAAAGCAGAGGTCAAGTTTAATTTCTGGATTAATAAATTCACCTGTAAATTTTAATAATAAAGTAAAAACACGAAAATATATGTAGACCTTTTTAAGTTACAAAGTTTAAAAAACAGTATTTAATGCACTAACTATAATTTTTGTTTAACAGTATACAAAGGTAATTACAACAAAAGTTTTTCCAGTGGCAGGTGGGCCCCATACATAAATGTGGGGGGGAAGATCAATAAAGAAATTTGGACCCTAGACTTATAAATATTATTAATTTGCTTTTCTGGAAGTAAAAAAGAGAACTTGTTCTAATAAATAGTATAAATTTGAAAATTCTTCCTCACGGCATAGAAGAGAAGAGAACAACTCTTTAGTTATTCCTATTGAATCTGAAGCCATTTAAAAGTTTCTAAATTTTTTAAAAAAAAGACAGTGCATAACACTTTAGGTTGTAAAAGTATAATAAGAGAATATTATTGAAACAGCGAAAATGTACTGGATAATAGAAAGGTTACTAAACACAAACTATGTTAAATGAAGTTCACTAAGGCAGCACCGAACCTTTCTACAACTTTCTGTATATTATGTGCTCATCACGTTACGACAAGGGGGGACCTAACAAAAGAAAAAACTACTCAAGGGCAACACTACACTAGTTTTCGGTGATGGGGTTCCTTTTGTAACCATTTTTCGCTAACCTCGACTCTACTTCACTACTTAGCATAAATTAAAAGGTAGATAACAAAAGATCAAAAGCACTCCAAATTAAAAAGTTATGAAAAAGATTTTGGACTTTTATTTTTTTACCAAAAGTAAGCTTTAAGGGCAAGTGTAATAAGATTAAGTGGAATAATATAGATATACGTGGTACGGTTCATTAAATTTCCGGTTACAAAACTTCTACTAAATTCATTAACCAAAAGTGTGACTCAGCAGCGCATTGTCGGGCAATCCCAAGGTCGCGGATCCGATTCGGTCGGCGCCTCCAGTATATCCCTGGTTTGGTGGTTACCTGTAGAACTTACCTATAAACAAAGTCTAACACCCGGCCACCCCTATTTAGTATTAATGCGCTAAATTATTTTTTAACTATAATGACATTTATATCTGTAGACTGTGAAAAAATTTTCCTCCATTTATCTGTTTAAACGTCAAAGTAATGTTAATTAAATGGCGTCGTTTAAAAATTCTTGCAAAGATTAGTAATAAAATTTTTGCTAAAGAGGGCGCTAATTCTACCGAAAAAAAAACAACGTTTGGATAATGTTTATGGCAAATCTTCGCCATCATTCATACAGTAAAATAGTCAAAGTTTATAAGTTTGGTAAGAAAATTTTATTTATGATTCACGTCAAGATCGTCCAGCAGAAGTGATCACCAGTAAATATAAACTTTGTTAAAGAAGTTATGTTAAGTGATTATACCTTGTACATAATTTGGCAGGCTCGAGTACTTTTGTTGTTCGAATGGGTTTATTGCAACCTCCTTTCTGATGGGAGGATTATAGGTTTTGTTATATTCCTTATAATAAAGCGCTTTGTCATTATTGTTCTTAACTGTTCTGTTAGCTATTGTGCTTAACTTAGTTGTTTTTTTTTGTTCTTGTAGTTTTATTTTAATATAATTGCTCTTTTCTTATTTTCTGCCTATCCTTATTTTGGGTTTTAATTTGCTTTATTATTTCATCAAGTTTTTAAATTTCTATTACTCTAACTGCTGTTACTTTAGCGATTTTTATCTCTATAGAATATTATGATCTTTACTTTGGTTGTAACATTATGGGGTTTACAAAATTTAATGTGCCGATATGTTAGCAGTATGTTCCCGAATGTTCATAATTTAACTTTATCATGTGCCATAATTTAAGGTTTAAATAGCTTCTGTAGAGGGCCCACAGGGACCCTTTTTCTTTTGTGCATTGAAACTTGCGGGATGGGTTGTGCTTTGTGGTAGCTGGTTCAGTGAGTGTCGCTTGTCTATCTGGCGGGCGACGCAATAAAACTGTCGAAATATAATTCTTGTTATTCTTCGTTACCTTTTTAGGAACTATAGTTAGCACTACGCTAGAGGAGTGAGAGTTTAAGTCAAACAGACATAAAAATATAAAAATTAATGAAACTTTTTTTTTAATTAATGTCGTTTCTAACATTCTTAGGCTGGAAACTTATGGAACGTGCCATGTGTATATAAGTATAAAAAATTAAGTGGAAATAAAGGATAGAAAAGGAGTTAGTTAAACAAAATTTGCTAACTTAATCTTACAACTATTGATAGAATTGAGACATATGCTCAATAGCCAATGACACAAAGCATTTATGTTAGAAATTATTACGGTTTTGTCATCATGTTTATTCTAGCTCCCCCTTCCCGTAGTCAAAGTTAAACTGTGGCGCCTATAACTAGGATGTTTTGTAAGAGAGGAAAATAGGTTTATTGAATTGCTTTACACACACCTAAAAATATGTTGGGAGTGAATTTAAAACTTAAAGCAACGCCACGCAGACTATAAATAGTATAATGTGTGCTTCTAAGCTTCACTAAACCTTTTAAAGGGCTAAGTAGCATTCGAAAAAAGTGAGAACTCCAAGTAAACAAAAACAATACCTTTTCTCATCTTAATAAAGTGACCCCGTTCTTTTGTTTCTATTGAGGGTTTTGTTTCAACTTCCCCTAATAAGCCGCTAACTAAATTATTCCAAGTATACTTAGAAGCAATTTTAAATAACAGAAAGTTTATGACAAACTCTTTTTACTTATCGTTATGTATAACAGTTTTACTTATTTTTGTCTTTAAGTGCCTGCTAAAACACGAGTTTTTAACTTCGCAAAATATTTATAAAAACGTGACTAAAGTTTACAAACTCATTTTTGTACTATTTAATAAAGTGAATATACTCGAGCCAATAGCTATTTATATCAAGCTTTAATTTTTATAGTGTGTAAACAAGAAAATTATTGATCTTATAGTAGGTATTAATAGCTGTACATAGTGTATCCATTTTTTTTATGTACTATCGTAATTTATACCTTTAATTTAGCGACGGGCATTAGCTTAAAAAGACCACATAATAAGCATTAACTAGTCAACCCAACAGAGTTATATAGGATATGCCAGTGTATACTTACAAAAATTTATCTAAAATATTAAAAAATGAGTATAAATATATTGCAGGAAAAGCTTTTTTTAATTGATTTTTAAGCTGTAAATTTTTTTTTTTAGAAAATTATCTTTTTAATTTGTATTCTAGTATAGTTTAATTACTCCCCTACATGGTTTGCTGTGATTAACCATAATAGTTTTTCATTTTTTATAATTCTTAACTGTTTGATTTACTTTCGGATCATGTTTTATTGAGGAAGTTTTGTGTTTTGCATTTTGATCTTTCTTGCTGTTTTATTTAAGGGCGATATTGTGTTTTCTTTTTCTTGTTCTTTTATAGTTGTTTTACCTTTTCTTTATATACTAGCTACACTTTTTATAACAGCAAAGTTAAAGGAACAAACACTAATAAAACCATTCACGAAAACATCCTTTAACAGAGGCCCCAGTACCGTAGTCAACTTAATGAAAAACCAAACGGGGTGAAAGTACACTACCTTTTCTCTTAATAATTTTTATTTAGCTCCACTACGGCCAGTCATTCATTAATTTATCAATACATCCGTTATACTTTTACAAAAAAAAGTTGACACAAAGATGTTACCAGTATCCCTACCCTGGAGAGTGTATCTTAATTATATTTGCTTGCGATATACGAACTAAACTGTTGGAAAAGAAGACATCACTACGAGTTTTTAAACTTCGATCTAGAGTTATTTCTTCGTTGCTACCATTTTAACTTCCTTTGGCTTGAAAATGAGGCGACTAGCTAGTAATTTCGCGGTCTAAAGGCGACAATGTACAGACACACCTGAAAAGTAGAGGTTCAGTAGGTAGTTTAATTGGCTAAATATTATGCCCCTGATAATAAACCTTTATAAATTTAATTTATACTGCATTAGGGGTATTTTTTTATTTGCATATTTTAAATTTTTTCTTAGCTCAAAATATTTAGTCTAAGCTTATAAAAAAAAGTCCTCTTCTTTATATTATTTGAACTGGTAAGGTTATTATAGGCTTAACTAAATGTTGTAGACCGGAAAATTCCACCAACCTTTTTTTGTTGACGAACAATTCTTATTTACCAGTTGTTATGAAATTAAACCATAGCCCTTTTTCTTCAGGCGAGTAGCGAACTTGAACCTTTTTTTCAGTGACTAGACTGTTTAGTTCGTCTTCGCAGTTGTTATTTTATGGTAAATGGGGGCTCGATGAAAGAACGGAGAAAAAGTCGCGGGCTGAGCTCATTCTAACCTCGTAAAGTAGTGGGCGTCAGCCAGGTTTATCTGTTGTAAAGTTGCTAAAAGGCTAAAGCAAGATGAAGGGTTTTTTAAAAGGAACAACTTCAGTGAAGTTACCGCAAAGCTTATATGTTGAATCTACTGAAGATTTTGATTTAATTTCAGCGAAAAAAGCTAAACCCATTCCCTTATACCATTTTTCTTCTTCAGGTTTACCTATAAATTTTACGTGGTTGTTTTTATCTTTTTGTAAAAGCAAGGCCCTAATTTTTTAACTTATTTAATATTTCAGACAAAGGCTGGCCTACTGCGGATGACCTAGTTCTCCAAGATGAACACTTTTTTGTTAAAAAAAACAAAAGCGACCACCAAGGCAACTCGGCTCACTTTCTTAGTTTTTATTTAATAATTCTAAGTGGTTGGGTAAACCCTGTAAATCTACTTAAGAATCTACGAGATAAATGTGTAAGCCAATTTATAAACTTTTTGATAAATACACATTATAAAGGGCTAACTACTACCAGGAGGAACTATATGTGCACAGCAGCTTGTGGTTTTGGGAAAATATTACCGATAGCTACTTCAGGTAAAAAAAGCTTTTTAGCGCTAGTTGGTGATGGGGATCTGGGAACACCTATCCTCGGTGTCCATTTTTCGGAGCTTACAAAGTTTTTTAGCGCAAAAAGTTTCCTGTGCAGGGTGTGAAATATAGTGAGAAGCTGCTTCAGCTTGTTTTATTTTTTTTCAAAGAAAATTTCTTTATTTTTAGTTTTCTGTTCTACTTTCTATAAAAAATTTCAAGGAATAAGCACATTATTATCCCAAATTTAACAAAAATTTTTAATAAAACTAAAAATAAAGCTATAACTTAATATTTGAAGGTATACCATTGTTATAACCTTAAATATGCTGTTACTCTATATTATTTACGCCGAAATAAACGCACGCGATCCGTTCAAGGTTTTATTTATTTTATTAGATGTACTGTTTGATTTTAATTTTATCATTTCTTTGACTTTCGGGAGGTTGATTTTTTGCTTTGTAAATCGGCAGTCAGTTTTTTATATTAATATTATTTGGCAATTAGCCCTAAAAATTTATGTTTTACGCGCAGACTCTCGTGTTTAGTGAAATACCCCTCCGCTTAATAAAAGAAACTAATTATTTTTCATAGGCTATTTTGCTTGGTATCAGCTGTTTGAACGGATTTTACTACTTTGCGAGCTTCAGGGCCGTTTATTTGACTCATCTGGACAAGGTGGGAAAAGAACTTGGTAAACCCGTCTCACCATCCCGTAACTAATTTGATTTTCAATTAGAGCGTAGCAAGTCAATATCTGTCGCCCAACTTGAGGAAAACAAGGCCAAACGAAGAATTTGAAGGTATTAGCCTGCCCCTTTATTATAGCGAATTTACGTTGGTTTGACAGCACTAATTGGTAACTGCATTTTATCTGATTGGGTTTTCAATGTAGTTTTCAGTATTTGGTAGTGTTATTATAAGTTTATAATTAAGGCAAATATATATACATAGCGATAAGAAAGGAGGATGCTTTTTTAGTGAATGTGTGGTCTCCGGATCCCTTTCTCTCCACCCTCTGGAAGTACGTGCCTTATTTTGTAAAGCACTCCTAGCGCCCGAGTCTATCGAACATGCATGCTTAATAGATATTTTTCTCCTCCGCAAGTACTTGTACTGGTCTCGGCTGATCCCCAAGCTTTCCTGACGACTTTAACCTGCGCTGCTCTAATATGTGCTTCGCTCGTTACCGTGGAGACGTAATACTCTACACATGTTGTCCGTTTAAAGAGCTTCATACTGCACGGTAGATTTAGCAGAGACAGACTACTCGTGGAAAAGATTCTGCTTGCTCAGGAGCAAGTCTGCCAGCGCGCTTTTGCTCGGCCCAAGGTTGTAGCATAACTTTTTAAGTACGCTTAAAGCTAACTTGTTTTATTAGACCACAAGCGTCTTCTGTACTCCCGGCAGTAGTGGTGGACGCCCGCTACAAAGGTTGCATAGTAGTCGGCGGGATAAGTAAAGCAGAAGACGACGACATTAAACAAAATTTGCTTTTTTTGGTTAGCTTGCTTGGTGTGGCTAATAGGTGGACCCCGGTGAGCCGGCCTCCATCCATGCGTTATAATATTGACTTAGTTTTTGAAAGAGCAGTCTCGCGAGATCTTCGTGTATCCTTCCTTCAATCTGGGGTCAAGGAGCCACTTAAAAGGCGTGTTCAAACTGCTTTGATCGCAATATAACTTACCCTGTCCGGATGGCAGAGGAGACATGCTTTTCTGTATGCGCGTTTTACGCCGGAAGCTTCCAAAACGTCTGCCATTGTGACTCTCCAATCGCATTCCTTAATATATAACCCCGAAGGTCAGAGGAAGAAAGGGTAAAAGGGAGTCGCCACACCTCCCAAAGGACTTCTTGAAGAGAGACAAGCATCGATCTAATGTTGTACCCCTTTGCTTTTACCCATGCGTCTATCTATAGGAGGGGGAGGGGTTTAGAGTCCATCTAAATTAGGAGCTCCTCGCCGGCTACCTTTAGCTGCAGGCATTCTGCATCATCTGGCTCACTTATATTCTGCAAGCCTTTCTGTAGGGAGGCTAGTGTCTGTCCCTGTTACATATAACAGATTGTCAGCGACACCCGCGTTTCGGATCCACAAGAAGCGACCCTTACTTTAGTTTTTGTCTTAAAATTGAATCCTTCACTCGCCAGGAGCTCCTCGAATCCTGTAGGGCATTGACTTTATAAATTTATTTGGAAGTACTTATTAAACCTAAGTTTCCTGGAAGATCTTTATCAACTTTGGCGTATGAGGCAGGACTAGCCTGATATAAAGTAAGTACATGAAGGCAAATTTTGAGGAAAACAAGGCATACCACCTTCTGGTCCCGTGGCGACAGAGGAGATCGCGGCTTAGGCGGCCTTAAAAATGACTCGAGTTTACCATTGTACGACGTATGCTATAATAAAGGGGGGCCAGACCGTTTACTTTCGCACAGAAAGTCTGTGAGAGGGTTCATGTGACCGTTTTTAGAGAATCCTTCTGGGGCGACAGTCAACGACCCCTGTATTTAATATAAGAATGGTGTAAGTGACGTTGCCACTGACAAACACATTTTAAAGCACGACTCCCGTTTTGCAATTAGGGATAGATGCTTTACATATTTCGTACGATACATAAGTAGCACAAAGGTTGCCCTGCTTACTAGTACTTTGTTAAAAATCGGTTCACAAAGGGATCTGTCCGTTTGCCTAGAGAAATTTAAGTCGAAAAAGTAGATGAGGCAAATAAAGAAGTAAAATCATTCAACCAGAACTAAAGTTAATAAAAATTTAAATAACCGTTCTACTTGAGGTTTATAAAAAGGGTACTCGGTAAGTGAAGGTGGCAAACTTGCATTCTCCACCTCCGTGAATTCTTCAAAGATCTTAGTTTTCACCGTAGCCGATAGTGTGCATATGAAACTATGTTTGTTCTAAGAAGTGAATGTAATACGCTTAAATATTGAAGAGTGCTTAAAGTTTCGTCAAGAAAGAAGGCTGTCGCGTGGTTTACACTAAAAAACATGAAAAGTAAAAAAAAGCAGCATCTAAAACAAGACGAATGAACACTAAGTCTACCTTGAAAGGGTAGCATCCTCGGCAGGCGGAATACTTGAGACTACAGAGTTGTCACTTACAAAAAAAGACTCTAACTCTGGTCCTTGATAGTTATTGCAAAAACATTTGCAGAAAGTAACGAGTGCACAACTAAAAGATCATAAGGCGCCAAAACCATTCAACATTGACGCTTCTTTCAGATCCGAAACACCAATGACGCCGAGGTCCTTGCTATTAAGCGAAAGTAGGGAGTATTAATGAAGATTGATAAGCCTACTTTAAAAGGTCATTAAAGCCCAGCAAGTCTGTACACACTGCTTGGTCTCTGTCTTCAACGGCATTCGCTGCACACTAAAAGGAAATAAATCAGTTAATTGCTCGGCACACAACCAGGCTAAAATTTCAAGGAAGTTCAAACTCCGTGCCTCTACATGTCTATTATAAAGTTTATAGAGCCCCTTTATCTGCAAGTAGCTGTACATTTTTTTTATTGAAGGTAGTATAAATAATAAATCTTATATAAAAATGGTGCTGTTTTGTCTCCTCGCTATTGTTATTCTCTAGAGTTTAAATCAAAAGCCTCATAACGTATCTAACACCATTATTTGATAAAAGGGTCGCATCAAAATAATAAGAGAACTACACACTCACTTTCTACGGGAACAGAAAAGTTGATGATAAAATACGTTAACATCAAACTTAGGCTGCACGTGAAGTAATAAACGCGCTTGCTCAAGCCAATTATAAGAACTCCACGGACTATAATTTTCCCGGTAAACATTGTAACACTGCTAGTGCAGTTAATTATAGTGCATATTTGTCAACTTAAGAGAAGCCATTTCGCATACTAGGCATTCACAAAGGATTGTCTGGAAGGAAGCCCCCAAATAGAAAAAGTGTTATCAGTCACCTTGAATAATAAAGTGGTTCTTCAAAAAACACGAACTCCAAACTCACAATCAATTGCCAGTAGAAACGTATTTAAAAAATAAGTGGACGCTACAAAAAAAAAAGTTTAAATATGTGGCGCTGTAAGCTCAGTATCCGTAATATATAACAAAAATGAACTTCGGAGAGTCATTATAACTATATATATGTATATACAGTTGATTATAACTATATATATATATATATATACTGTTGAAAATCTTATTATAATACTAAAGAGGCTTCTCATGAACAACTAACGCAAGTAATCCTTCACATCATTAAGAGACAAGTAATATAATAACACGGCGAATACCCCGCTGATCAGCGTAATAGAATTTAAAGGGCAAAAAGGGGTTACTACGTTTGTGTCCGCGTGGTGGGCGGAGGACATTTCGGCAGTTGGAGAAGTAAATTGGGCGGTAATATAAAAAGTATCCGGAATATAAAGTGGGAGCTGTGCAAAATGTCACTATAGAGAGGTGAGAAGATGGACGATGCCAACCTTGTCCATTGCATCAGCTATGAACTGATGATTGCCTTCCCTGACAAAGTCTGAGTGAGCATAGAACTGGGCGTGGTTGGTTTAAAACTTCATATAGCTAAAGGCTTTTTTGTAGTAAATATGCATAGCGTGCCTCTAAGAGAGTACGTCTTCTCTCATTGTGAGTCATCACCAAACGGATTAAAAAATCGCCCGTCACTTCAAAAGCGCACGAAAAATGAACTTCATTATTTCTAAACAAAAAAGATAAAAGATTTATATAGAAAGGTGGTATATAAACTAAACTTTACGGTAAAAGGAATACTTTCAGTCGAATATAAAAAGTCGGGCATAACCAAGAGAAAATATATATAAGAGCTAAAGCGGCGCAGCTCATTTATAAGTGTATAAGATAGGCGGCTGCAAAGGTGGTTTTTGTATGAAGTCAACAAGCAATTAAGTGATTGGCTGGATTACGTCACTAGAATAAAGCTCCGGTGAGCAGGCAGGCCTGTTGTTCGTATGGCTTTTACATAACTGAGTTTTCTGCAACAAAAGAGTTATAGGGCGCAAACATATTTAAATTAAATTATAAACTACCGCACTAAAGAAGGTTTTATGTGAATATGTCGGCTAAGCTTCGAGGAGACGAGCTTTAAAGCGATAGAAGGATCGGCGCACAAACCGCAGTAAAGAAGATACGAGGAAGCAAGCAAAAAGCACTGGTCAAGAGTGCTTTCCTTCATAGAAGCATGCAGTGTAATAAGTTATGTTATGATAGTTGAGAACAGCGAACGTGACAGTAAAGGAAAACGATGTTGCTTTTCTCGGATAAAAGCCACGCGTCCAAGCATCCGCATATCTCATAGAGCTCGCTTAACCCTAATGAACCTGTTCAAAGTACCAAGAAGGATGAGAACACTGAGCCTTCGGGGCTCCAATACAGCAATAAACGAGCAGTCACCCTCCAGGGAGAGCTTAACATCCCGCACAAAAACGCCGAAATTAGTCTCAGCAAGAGGAGCACCAACGTTAACATGAAAGCAGCTCTTCTGTCTGCAGAAGCAAAGTGTGAAAATCGTTAAAGTGCAACAAAATGTTTAAAAAGTACAATGGACGAAAACATCAAGCAGTTGGTAAATGAAAAAACAGATTAATAAAAAAAAGAGAAGAGAAACTTGTAGTTATTCCGCAATGCAGCACATAAAGCGCCAAACTTGCTCCCTGTGCACGCAACCGCAACTACATATTATTAAGGATTATTAAAGCAGCCAAAATAAGGAAGTTACACATGGAACATGTGATCTACTAATACTCGCTTTGTCGGGCGTGCTAAACAAATGAGTTTTCTAAAAAGTTATACAAAGAACGACACCGAGCATCCTGGGAATGAGCTCGTGTGGAGTAAGAATAGGATCAGTTACTGCCTGCGAAGCTTTTATCTGCAATCTGTGAACAGAGTTAATAAAAAGCGATATAAAGTAGAAGCAGGAAAGCATACGCATAGTCCTTAAGCGTATGATAGGCGCTTAAAACTTTGCTCGAGCATTTTCTTTGAAACAGAGCAAGTTTCGAGCGCACCCGCATATCAACTGAAGCGGGGATAAGAGATGCCAGCTCCTCCTATTCGTTGCGTGGGGCTAAAAGGCTTCTTTTGTATGTTACTAATAATTCTAGTTGCAACCTTGGTAGGCTCGCCGACTGTTTCTTTAATAGTTAACAGCTCAGCCAGGATGGCGGGACAGTCAGGCCGCCTGTCCGGCTCCTTAGAAAGCAATTTCGCTTAAGGATGTAAAACAGTACATGAAGAACTCCTTGTAAAATATATAAACACAACCTATCAAATCATGAAAAATCACGTGTGCACGTCCATCTTTAGGTAAACTAAGTTTAGCGTTCAAAACTGAGAGCTTCTGACCTAAAAGAAACGATAAGAGAAAAAAAGATTTATACAGAACTTTTTTTTCGATTAAATTTTATTTTAAGTTTTAAATTTGAAAAATGTTAAATAAAAAAGCAGGACGTATTCGGCTTTGAAAGGAGTATATGAACTCGAAAGATGTACGGCTAATCACCAACACAATATATAAAGTTATAAATTAATAACGGCGGGCAAAGAGACAGGGCACAATGAAGGCTGCAAACAAGCTCTAACACGCGTTGTTGGGAAGCAACCGATCTTAAAATAGATACACTACGCAGTTATTATCAAAAGAGGAGACCATCGCCAAAAGGAGAATTAACATAGCACAGCTTGTATAATATACAGCCTAAGGCCTATTAAATATGAACTACAATAATAAAAATCTTTAAAACGAATATTACACACTCACCCACAAGTCACTCTTGTAATCGACTGAATTGCCACCGAGAAGATCCCACATTTCGGGAGATCTTTGTAATATATATATAGTAAAAATCATAAACAAAATCTTTAGAAGAACCTATATTGTGGAGTAGTATACTTCTGAATTTCCTCTTCAGCACGTTTAACTTCACTGATTTTATTAGGAAAAAGCACCTGAGAAGTTGCACTACCAAAATCGCACAAAGCAATACGGCCATCTTTTTTAATAAGCAGATTTTCAATCTGAGTAAGAGTGATTTCACTAAAAATTAAAATTATAAACAAGTGTGTAACCTTTAAATCTCTGTGAATTATTGGTGGCCTCTGAGAGTGAAGAAATTCTACAGCCTCGACAATCTGGCGGAACAAATGCAACACTAAAGAAGGGGAAAAGCCTACTTTGGTTTCTTTAAGAAGATCAAAGAGCCTTCCAGCTAAAACAAGAAGAAAAGTATAAGACAACTCCAAAAAAAACCTTAAAAATAATAATAGTGGCTTTACGACAAAATTCCAAGATGAGGTGCGCTTCTGAGCTACCGTGGAGATCTTTACTTGAAGAAAGTAGTTTAGCATCAATATACTTCACAATCCCTTGATGTTTCCTGCATAATTTCTATTGGAAAGATATTACAACAGTAATAAAGTTGAGACAAAAAATTATAGGTTTGGATTTATAAATTTGGTACCATATATTTTATCTCTTTCTTAACAATGCGTAATGTGGTTTCATCAGGTATAATAAGTCGTTTCAGAGCATAAAGTTGCTTATCATAATTATTTACAACTAAAAATACCAAAGCAGAACCACCTTTTATAAATATAAATATTGTGTTAAAATAAGGTAGTTTTAAAAAGAAGCTAATATTATGACAATAACTTTATAAAAACATATAGAAGCTTGCGTCTAATATAATAACGTAAAAAGAAAAAACAACGAATTTACCTCCAGCTATAACTTCTAAAACGGTATAAGAAAAATCTTTGTAGTCCAACGTTTGGCCAATAAAACTGTCATTATAAGTAAAACGTTCTTCAATTTTGGATAGTAAACTAGTAGCCGAGTTCCAAAAAGTGGACATAGAAGTAAGGTAACCGTTGTAGACAACGACTGCTCCTATCCCAGAGGGGTGGAGGGTAGCACGTATGAGAGCCCTTAGTGGTTGTGTAACCTATGTAGCCTTAAAGATGCCCCACAAACCACCAAGTAAAGTTCATATTTTACCTTATACTCAGTTGTTAGTTTCAGTTTCATTCATCTGTAGAGAAGTATTCTATCCTTAAGAGGGCAAGTGGAGATAACAAAGGTTCATGGGTTGACCTCTTACCTATATTAATGCCTTTAAAAATGTAACATAATTATTGCATTGCTGGCCTTGCTCTGTAATGATAGGTATAGACTTAAGAAGTTAGTTGAAGAAATGTGACGACATTTAAGTTTGCATACAAAATACTTTAGACTTAAAATATTTGTTTACAAGGGAAATATAATTTCCACTTGTAACGTTAAATAACTATTTCACGCATTACTTAAACTATATACTATTAAATAAACAATGTTTAATTTTAACATACATACTAAGTAACAACACTATTTAGTACCATGCCCCTTACCGGAGAGTAGTTAATTCCCTAGCAAAGAGCACGTTGCTAAATTGTCAGGAATCCTAACCCGATCCCTATCGACTGAGCTATTATCTCAAATATAAAAGGATATATCACACCAGTGCACAGCTGGTTGGTAGGATAACCTACTATAGGCATTTGAAAAGGCAATAGTGCTATAATCATCACTCTATCTAGGAACTCGGAATACTCTTTGCTTTCTCTTCGCTACTTGCATGAAAGATACCGTAAGACGTAGTGCTTAGTCAATTTTTTACCTAGGACGTTACTCCTAGGCTCAGAAGGACCTTCCTCATTTACTTATCAGAATAAATAACATCGAAAGACGATGCCCAGTAGTACACTTCACGCCAGCGTCGTCGGATCAAAGATGAAGGTTAATAAGCTTCTTCGATTCAATAGTCTAAACGCTACAAAAGTCAGTTCAGTCAGCGTGTCGGATTCTAGTCTTGCTATTCACCTTAACGGGCCTCATTAGACAGATAAAGTAGAACCTGTCACAGGACTTTAGTAAACATAGAGTTTTTACCATTTTAGGAGGAAGTCTTTCGAACTGAGGACGGAAACACACCTCATTATCCTCTCCACGATACATGTTAACACTGAGGTAGAGCTTTACAAAGATAGGTACCATAGTCACGCGTCCCCGGCTTGTAATGTTAAAAGATGTTTCAAGTAATAAGTAGGACACTAGTTAACACAAGCTGAAGAAAGCAAATTAAACCTAAGGAGAGCCACCCCTGATGCGTCAGAAGAGTAGAGGGTGGCATAACCTAAGTTAAGGTGACCTACATTCAACATGGCGCCCTCTTAGCAACCTAGATCGAAACACACAGGAAGAAACAGGTATTACATTTATGTTTGGCATGTATTTAACATAGGAACGATCTTTTTTGACTGCTTCCCGAGATTAACCTAGAGTCAAAAAGCAATATTTACTTTAATTAAGAGATTAGGAGTGTACTTCATTGAACGAAGACTAACAAGTTGCTAGCCCACAGTTAAATGCATCCAATACTGCGTAGTGCTCCCACTACGGACCCAGCCAGCATAGCTGAAGCCATAGAGCTTAACTTCGAACCATGTCAAAAACAAAAAACCAGCCAAGATCGCTGTGATCAAAGCTCAATGTAGGTTGCCTACGCATGTCCCCGCTAAAATGGTAAGAAAAAGATAGAAAGATTCAAAGTATAGTGAGAATACAGGGGCAGGCATAAGCAACAAGGTAAGAGTTATCCCTTATCTATTATACGGGTTTTTCACGCCTTAATTAATCAAAACCCCCCTGTTTTTGGAAGTTAAAAATGGTAGCATTACCACTCAATATCTGTTAATGGTTCATTTCAAGGTTAAATTAATCGGAAAGCCCTCGAACTGAGGTAGCTATATTGGGGTACCTTCCGAAGTCAAGCTCGTTATTTCAAATAAAACTCGATTTTCTGGATTTCATCAAGCTTCCAACCAACCTAGGATAACTCATTGGGGAGTTAGAGTGACTCTCGATTACAAAATAAAATCCAAGTCTAAACTTAGGTTTACTTTATATTTTCAATTTGAAAAAAGAGCTTCATTTTAGCTTTGAGCTCGTTATAGTTCCTCTATCGACGAACCATGGAGGATCGTTGGTAAGAACCTTTAGTAAGTACACTAATGTTCTTTTGTACTGACTAACTTCCTTTGTGTAAGGCAGATCACGCCACGCACGGTCCTCAACTAACTAAATAACTAAGATAGAGCACTCACGGCTTAACTGAACACAATCCTGTGGGACCCAAATTTAATAAGCAACCTCTAAGGTCAGCCTTTATTTACGTTTAAGTAATTTAACCAAAGAGAGTCTTCCTTCATTTTTAACTAACCTGGGAGATGTTGCACTAGTATGCAGGTTAATGTAATTATTTCTGAATTTTAAATTGTTATTGCATGTCTTGATCTGAAAGTTAACTCTGCCCCTTTAATTTTCAGTACCCAAGTTATCTTCTTTCAATTATCATGTAGATACCCAGTAGATTGCTTTCTAATCTTGTTTTTACGGCTATTGCACCTTGATTGTTCATTTGAGCTTAACTAGATTTAATTCGGTATTTATTATTTTCAAAGGTATAGCCTATATTAGATTATATTTACTTTTATTTTTTCACTCTTAAGGTGATGTAAAGACACTAACATACAATACATGATATAAAATTTCTATTTTACAAAAAAGTGCTTTTACTATATACAATTAAACACGCGATTGATGCGTTATAAGAGATGTGAGCTAATTAACTCTCATTTAGTTGCGTACTTTCTCTCGTACGTTTATCTACTTTATCGGCATACGAGCTTGTATCGTAATCTTTACTTAACAGTGACTGCAGCTATCAGTCCATTGGCTAAAATAGTTGATGTCTTTGGCTTCTGCATAGGTTGTATACTTGATGGGTATACTCGCTGTTGGAGCACGCTGCTCCGTGGCGCATTAGACTGTTGTGCAAGGTAGTGATCGGGACCTATCGGCCCTCGTTAAGTAAGGCACATCCTTTGACTGTAAACTATCGGCCAAACCACTGGTCTAAATATCAGTTATCGAAGAGGTGACCAAAAAAGATTGGTCCATGTAGTACGCTCTCGCTGCGTGTGTTAGTCCTTGCGTCTTTCGGTACGTGTTTACCACGGAATTTAGACAATAGGGTGCCATCCACAGATGGATTGCAGCGTTGAAAATAGACTCATAGAAATGACGTGGTGTTAAATAACCCTCTACTCTGATTGGGTCCATCGACTTTAGGCGAAACTAGTAGTACCCGAACCTCTTTGGATTCTTTACCAAACAATTAGCGTGAATATGGTTGTCCTGCTTAAATGTAAGTGAGTTGAGGCTCGACCTGCACTGTGGAGAGTCAGCAGGCTTAATCCTACGTTTGGAAACAAATGCTCTTATAACAGGTAAAAACTGCGTAGCGAACAAGTCTATAAGCAGGTGCTACCTTCCCTGTATCAGCGGGAGGATTACTACTGTTCCGAATCAGACTGGGGCTATTCAGTTTGATACTACCATCGACGGTACGGGCTTAGCCTAATCTAGCTTGGCTGATGACTTGTGTTCAAAAAGTAAATTACTGAACGAGCGATGTATACTACGTTGCCATCCGGCGACAATCCACAGTGAAAAGCAATGGATGTTACGTGCAACCCTTTGTGTGTTTACTTTTAGCATGCTTTGGAACACGTATAAGCTTACTTTGTACTCGGTTCTTCAGGCACTAACTGCGTGTGAAGCCTTTTGTAACTAATAGCTTTGTAAGTGAGCAACAGAGAGGCACTTCCCTCGTCTAGGGGACTGCGGTCTAGTCCAGGCTTCGGCTATCGACTATTGATCGGTTTATAGTGCTGTTATCATATATGCCTATTTTGGCTGTGTGCTAGCTGTACTGTTGACCCTTCATGACCGAGTTTAAGCTAAGTGTACTGTCTTCTCTGACTTATGCTTGGCTGAGGCTCGGTTCGACCTCAGATCTGACTGTGCCTGTTCCTATATAGGCTCGTCCTATAGTATGGTATAGGTACTGTTAGAGAATAGTGTCTCTTAGTAGTATATATACTACATTGAGTGCGTGTTGCTTAGTTAAGTAAAAGGCTGAAATACTAAAGGGATAGCCAGAGAGGCCCACTAATCTAATAAAAGGCCATTGTAATAAGAACGAAGAGCCAGTAGTTGCGAACGGGTGCTATAATAAGACTAAAAACCGAGGAGAAGGAAATACTTCATTCAATGATAACTTAACCTGCGCAACTTAAAGGAATCTATAATCTTACACAGGTTTATTACTTGCCAGATGGTTTTCCAAGTTAAAGACCAACTGTTTACAACAGTGGGTCACCCGAATAACCTTGGTATTAAAACAGGGGACCATGTCCGTCAACTGTTATTGAACATAATTCCATTGTAGTATAGCTTATTTGGTTTCAGCTAAATACTAGGATCCAGAGACATATTCATTCAGTTACTATATAGAACGTGTAACTCACCCCGAACGGTAATGCGACTTAATCTTAACCGTGTCAATCTACAACAAACTCAAACATCGTGGAAAACACGCAAGCAGGTCCATTTAATTTAGCTCTAAGACAGTCTAGTAGACAGGGTAGCAGCCAATTCTGCGCTTGGCCATCTTGTTGAATCAAATTGAACTAGGTCCAGATCTTTCACCCAATTATAACTTGTCAACTCTAGCACCAAGAGATTGATACAAATAACACTTTCACTTCACTCGTCGCTATGTCTGTATCATGTAAGGGCAATGGAGGCCTACGGCAGTTAGCATTATTTAACACTAACCCATTGAAGGTATCTAGATATGTATCAAGACCTCCGCAATAAACTAATCACCCATGCAACTCATTTAGCAGTTGATTACTACAAGGCGGTATCAGAGTCTAGATTCGAAGTATGGTTCTAAAATTTATAAATAAACTTAGTTAAAGTACACCCGTTTAGCTCACTTGAACAAGATCCCCGCATTCCTTCCTAGTTTCATAGAGAGTTAGATAAATAGTTACTGGTTCTACAGATGATTACTAGTTTCTACCAGCTGGAATTCAGTTGTTACACCTTAGAAAAGTTCTACCTTAGTAGAACAAAATAACACCCTAACACTTTAGAAATATTGGCTAATTGAAATGTTATACCAAAGTAGAACTTAAAATATAGTAGAAACAAGGTATGTTTTATCCCTGTCTAGCTTTGTAGTAGAGGTTGCTTAAATCTAGTGTAAACTTCTAAAGAACCATTCCGGCAGAGCCAGACACTATACCCGAGTCCTCCTGAGGATAATCTCTGACCTCGCAGCTCCCCCCCCCCCACCCCCTACTTCTCCACTTTTAATTCGAAGGAGAAAGCCGGTTTATCGCGAAAAATATATCATATATATATATATATATAAGAACTGATAGTTCTAAGATTACTAAAATATTTCATTGATTAAGTTTAATTATGAACTCGAAATGCATATTTTATAGTTAGATCTATAACAAAACTAACTAGAATTAAAAGATATTAATTTTTAGCCTCTCCTTGACTGGTGTAAGGGCTATTCTACTACCGTTACTTAAAATTTTATCTTCCTTGGGAAGTTAAGTTTCTGTTGGCTTGTCTGCGGAATATTTTTAAAGTAGGTTTTACTTTTATCAATGAAATTTGCCTACTAAATATTGGGACTTCAAATAGGTCGTTCAAAATTATTTAACTAGCCAGTGCTGTTAGCATGCATGATGTAATGAGAGTGAGGCTTTTAAAAGAAGGTCAGTAGTTAAATAACTAGATGTAAACTATTGATAATATTAGCATCCTAGGTCATGAGGACGTTGAATGTATAATCGCTGTAGGGATGGATTCCTTTTTCTTAAAAACTTTTTCTGGCCGATTACTACTCTACAAACTTTCACAGGAAGGTGGTGGATCCACCGCTCTCTATAAACTGTGTTTCTCTAAGTGCGCTCGGTGTTAAGGCCTTTATAATAATGAATTATTTTTTAAAACCCCGCACAGTTAAAGTTGAGTATATGGCCGTCTAAAGACTATAAATAATTACAAATAAAATCATAAGAGCGAGTATAGACATTCTTTTTTTGCTTATTTCAATACTTTTTTTAATCAAAAAGGCTGAAATTTTTTCTTCCAGAGTTTTAACAATAACTTATTATTATCCAGGTGCTCGGCAATTATTTATTTTGCAACAGGAAAGACGCTTCACACCTCGAGTGTTTAAGCAAATTACTACCGTTGAACCTTGTGACTTACTTCTTTGTCTCATTGAATCTTTTATACATGTCTACAGTCTCTCGTCGTTTTCATTGATGTTTATTGTACAACAAAGTAGAGGCAAGAGTTTAATAATTACGTTTTACGTCTTTAAACTAATATAATAGGAACTTCGATGTTTACTACCGATTTCTCTTTGTATCCAGAAGTTCAACCTTGTATGAGCGCTAATACTATATCTGCAGAGTTTGCACAGGGTAAAAGAAAACTTACACTTTGCTGCGTTCTTAAAAATCGTCTTACAACCTTTTTTTGGCTGAACAATACTTTCCAGAAAGGACAAGTTAAATCTATTTACTTATTTATCTAAGAAAAAATATTAAAGTTGTCAGGCGTTTATATAGAATTATAAATAATATATAATTAAAAGGCCGGCAAAGTACTATAGTGGACAAGTTATTAATTCCTGCTCTACTTTTATAGTTACTCTTCTTTCAGTAATTTGGGTTCCCCTTTCTCCTTACTTAACAGACCTACAATCTTAAAAGCAAACCCAAAAGAATTCTTCTTCACAAAAACTTTGTTGTATGCGCTTTTGAGAAGGGGTACCGCCTTTTGAACTTATCTACCTCTGTTGTTCGCAAACTACTCCATGCGGGCCCCATCGGGGTTTTTTTTCTTCTCCGCTGTTGAGTTAATGGTATCATCGTTTTTTTAACAGGAGCCTTTTATTCTTGTGTATGGAAATGAGCTTATTCTAAACAGAAAGAGTTTGTATATAATGTCTTCTTCCTTAAGATTCTCTTAACTATTAAGTGGAGTAGATGTTTCTTACTTTGTCAACTTCTCGGGCAATCTCACTCGAAAGAACGGGATATCTTGGGATGAGGAAGTTTCTTACTTGGGTTTTTAGTGCGCTTTTATTTTCTTTCCCCTTTACTTAATATTTTTTTTTGAAACCACCTTACTCAGAAATCATGTCTGAATACTGCGTCGGAGTTCTTTTGACTAGCGTAAAGATAGTTTCATGTGAAACTCAACTTCTCCTGCAAACTTTGGACCTCAGGCACTAGCCAACTATATTATGTTAAAACTGCTTTTCACTACTTCTCCGTGTATGCAGGGCCATATACTCCATAAGTCTTTGCCGGTGGGCTAACCCTCCTCTTCTTTATTTTGCGGCTGCTGGTTTTTTGGGCCGCGTGGAACTGATACCAATAGCTGAACAAGTTTTCTATAATTATTTGTTTATTTTAGCCAATTTTTTCTGTTATACTTTAAGATCTTTTATAAAAAATTCGGGCTTCTTTTTACTTCTAGTAACTTTTAATTTTAGATTGAAGAGCTGGTTAAAGCTTCGAATTTCCAAGAGGCACTTCAGTTACTTAACTCTGTCGGCATCAAAGATGTTTGTTTACTAGTTGCATATTTTCTAAATATTGCTTGTTTAATTTTTTAAAAGGTGGAGCAGAGCAGATACCTAAAAAAGTCATATGCCCATCAACTTATAGAACAAAAAGAATTTAGTGAGGGCCTCCAGATCTTAAAAGAAAGCAATGCAGGTGTCAACTCGCCCATTATTTATCCACTACGCCAGAAATAGTTTTCTGTTGAATCTTCTTTTGCGTTTAACTCCGCTCACAGGATTTGTATTATAAAAGATCCGTTGGAGGTCATTTCGTTGTTTACAGCTGTGCTTCCAGAGAGGTTTAAAAGCTACTGCATTGAGGAAGATAACTGCAGTACTCTGTATTTTTTTTATCGTAATATGTTTTTCTATAGTATGCTACTTTGTAGCTTTAAGCGGACTATCCGAGCTTGAGATGCGCGCCGCCTTAAATGCTCTACTCGATTATCTGAATGACCTAAAAAACCACTTTGCTGGTTTCTCGTTATATACTACTGCACCTTTGGTCCGTATTTATAACTTTTACGCCCACTCGAAGCTTGTTATGACCAGCGAAGCAGAATGGTCGATTCGACTCTGTTTGTGGTGCTGTTGTTGCTGTCTTCTGCGGAACTAAAGCTGTTTCTGTCTACGAAGAACTTCTGTGACTTTGAGTTTGTTGTTGAAACACTGGTGAAAAATGAGGTATAAAAATCGCTGTAGGCGACTGGGCGCTGTATCCTTATCCGCTCCTCTATTTGTACTTAAGCTTTATGAGGAATTGGTGCTTTTTCTCATTAATAGTGGTGAGCCTGAAAAGGGGCTTCCTTTCATAATTGGGTATAAAGTACATACACTTTTTTCATTTTACTTACGAAATTAATTATTATTATAAAGCAATATAAAGGAGATCGATAGAAAGCTTTTTATACAATATGTGAAACATTTGTATCCCGGACATCTTAAGTTAGTTTTTGAGTGCACGGCTACGCTTTTAATAGCCGAGGATTTTAACGATTGGTTTCAGGTTGTAGTGCCAATACTTAATTTTTTATTGCTCACTCGCTTCTTGGTAGATTTTTGTGGCTGAAAATGTTCTTGCATCAAAAATTTTGCCCTTAGCACAGGACGAGAGAGATCGGGTTATTTTATAAAGTTTATTTATTTTTTTCGTTCAAATTAGTTTTAGATTCACTCTCAAACACTTGCATTCGCCGAGTTGCATGCTCACTCGTTAGTATTACCTTTATTGGAGCACATGGTTGCCGTGGAGAACGCAGCGGTCAGCTTGCTCTTTTTTATGGTTTCGATGCCCGCTCCTTATAATTTAATAAGCTGGCCTTGAATACCTGCGAAATCAGCGGCGAATCCTTAAAACATCTGCAATGGCTTGAATTACTTCACACTAGACTCGCTGAAAAGTACATAAGCACTGTTAGCGCGCTTTCCATTGATCGTGCGTTCTTACTGCTCGCCAACGCTTGCTATTGCAAACGCTTTTCTTTAGTAGAAGAGGCAGAAAGTCTGCGTGGCAAATTTAGAAACTTTTTAAGAAGTTCAAATCATTATGCAGTGGATAAGCTACTTTCCATCGAGGCTATGAACAGCAGTAACTTCATAAAAATTATTTAGAGGATTTTTTAGTTTCAAGTGCATATTCGCTCCAGTTTTTTTGGAGGAAAAGGCCATTATTCTGGAGAAAAGCGGCCGCCATAAAGCCGTAATTGATCTCTATATTAATAAACTTCGGCGGGTGGACCTTGCATTGGAGTATTGCAATTCGGTGTCAGCCACCACCGCGAACCCCGATCTTTTTCTCGATGTGCTCTGCATGTAACTCTCCTCTTATTTTTTAGTTTACCGGACTAAGAAAAAAGTTTGAGAAACCTGTTTAGACCGAATAAGAATAAGTACACTTTATATTATTAGGCTACTTGATTCGAGATCGCCAGATCTCGGCCCCTTTTTAGAGGTTTTGACACGCAGCCGCTTATCGTTGGATCCTTTGTACGGGCGGACCTGCTCTATTTAAGTACACTGTTTAATAAATTTATTCTCTAGGAAAGTGCTCGAACTCCTTCCAGAATGGGTGACTGTTGAATCTGTATATCCTTATATAAGCCAATTGCTTCAGGAAACGATTACAAAAACCAGAGAGCAACAAGTTTTAAAAAGTTTGAACAAAGCTAAAAGACTGAAGGTTTGTTTTAGCCTGTCTGATAAGAACTCCGCTAATTTTTAAATAACTGTAAGCCTTTTTTTTTAAAGTTTTGCTGCTGTTAATCTAAACAGGCAGAAGAAGCTCTTTTAAACCTTCAGAGGCGTTCAGTTTTTCTCTCTTGTGATTCACCTTGCTATCTTTGTAATAAACGTTTAGGAAACAGGTTACCGTCTCTGAAAGATAATGCCGGGACCCGTAATAGTTTTCATGATATGATAGTGTTCTGATTTTAAAGACGGACTTTAACGTAGTCCACTACGGGTGTTACCACAATGTACCGCTTGATGAATAAACACGAAAGCTCGAAGGAAGCCTTTACATGAGCCCCTACGAGACGCCCGATGTTCCTATATTTCATACCAGGGCATCAAGCTATTTAGTTACCGGCTTTAAATATATTAATCAGTTAGACTAGAACTTTCTAATTTGCATCAATTTTTTAAAAAAAAGTTTAATTCTTAACAACTTTCGTTTGCGGTATCATTTTATTTATATTCTCTCTCCCTCTTCGAGATGAATAGCTAAGCAAAAGGATGGCTTTAAGTGACTTGTTATAAAGTATTCCTTTTTTCTTAGACGAACAATCAATATTACTGAATTAGCAGTAAAATTACTTTTATATAGTGTAAAACTGATAACATTCTGCTCTACTTCTGCAAATAGAATAAGAGCATTGGTGAACATAATTAACAACGTCTAAAGTGGAAATACTTTAGTATTGCTTTAAGTTATGCAGGGTGAAATATTTCTTAATGTATTTTATTTATATTAGCATGACAGGCATACCAGCAAAAAAAAAAAAGACAACCACCAGCTTTTAATTATATAAGCACTGATTTTGTTTTCTTCTGCCTTGGTGTTATAAAAAATCACTATAGCAATAAATGTTACAAGTTGTTTCCAAAGCAGTCATAGTAATAAAGGTAGCCACCTTTTCTGTGTACCCAAGAACAATCCTACGAGCCCGTCCGAACATTGCAACTTTAAATATAAATTAAGGCAAGCGACAGTTCCCTATCAAAAATCTCCAAACCCTGGTTTGTAAAGGAGGGAAGCTATAAAATAATACTATGCCTAAGGAAATATTAATTAAAAGGTCAGCTACTGATATAAAGGGAACTAACCATCTCAAAAAAAAACCAAAGTTGTCAAAACCTATTAAACTTTCCCCTTTTTATCCAGGCGGTTGCCAACAATACTTTAAATTATAAGCCCAGGCTTTTTAGTTACTGATAACAAAAATAGTTCAAAATTTAAGTCAACTCAACATGTTTAAAAGAGATGTTTATAGCCTTTTACTTAAAATAAAGTAAGTGAAAAGTCGACTTGCCAGATAAAACATTAAAATAGACTTTATTATAGCATAAGTAGCTATCCAAGAAGGGCTACGAGTTACCCTTTAATCATTTTTTGACCTTTTCTTTGCTCTGCGTAAAGGGCGCGCCGACGTCTTTACCCCGTAACTTGACGCCTAACAAAAAAAAAATTCAGACACTAGAGAAGCAAACATAATAACGAGTGACCTAAAGCTTTCTCAAGCTTAGCTAATATTTGTTGATCAGGAATAGCCTTGCCACTTTCATATTCGGTTATCACAGTAGGTTTCTCGTTAACTTTGGTGGCTAAGTCCTTGTAGAGGAGCCATAAAAATTAATATACTAAATAACGACAATTTTTCAACTTTTTGAGTTAAGCCCTTAGCGGCTCTAGCTTGAGCAATGGCTTTAGCTGCAGCGACAGATACCCTCTTAACAGCTAAGTTCTCAGATTGTTCAATTTGTACGGGATTAACACCAGCAGATCGCTGCTTGTTACTCATTGCGGGAGCTAAAATAAATTACAATAAAATTAACCAAAAAAAGGAAAGGAATATGTAAGTAAAAAGGGTATTTGTATAAACTTAAGCATACTTTTTTTAAGGGTGTGCCCGGAAGAATCCTTCTGTGATGGCGGCTTAGAAGATTGGGGATTTTTAGGTGTTTCATTAAAAATTATAACCCTGTCATCTATCCAGTTGTTGTTGTAAGGGGCCATGGGTCTAAAATTAAGTTATGTAAGCAATCGAGAAAAACTCGAGAAGTTATACCTAAAAAGGGGCATTGTAAAAAGGTTAAGGATGATATTAAAATATAAATCAGTAAATGTAATGGGAGCTCAGAAGCCAGCCACGTGCAAAGTGCTAGGTTTCCGCCACGCCAGAAACGGAATCGCAATCTTATAAATCTTTGGTGGATTATTAACAGAATAGAAAACGGGCTACTCCCTTTTGGATAAGGGGCACCTAGTTGGGGAGGTCTGGTTGGCAGTGTCGCTGGCCAGTGTCTCCAAGTGGCCTCAGGTCTTGTGCCTGAAACTGCCTCTATCGACGGTGGTTTTAGCAGGTTTCCACCACACTAGGCCTAATGGTGGAAGCCCGGGCCGGATATCTCCACTTTTCCAGTCTTCAAGAGAGTAATTATAGCTCTATGAAGTGCGTACACTGGTGGGCACTCGTGTCCCAAAGCAGCTTAAGGTCTCTTATGAAGGCCGACCGTAATATGCCAATACAAAAAAAAGGCATAACATAAACTTGACCTCTCAAAAAGATGAACCAAAAACTATTGGTCTTCTGACAAATGGCTATATGAAGTACGTATTAAAAGTAATGCGAATTAAAGATAATAACTGGTACTGAAACTCAGATAATTTTATAGTAGTCAATAGTATTGTTATTTAAATTTTTTTTGAAACTTTAAGTTGCCTTTTAACTATTGTAAATATGATTAAACCATTTAAAAACATCTAAAAAAATAATTTAAAAGCTTTTTCTACGAGGTAACTTTTACAAAGTAGTGACTTGGATATTATTTAAGTTCATGGTTCCGAGTTAGATATATAACATAATTTGGTGATATACCGCTAGGCTCGTATTATATAAAAATAAATTTTTTATATTGTTTAGTCAGTTAAGTGTGACAAATTATTTTTAATGTGAAGGTATAAATTGTTCACATATCCCAACCTTTTGTTTGGAGTACTTTTTTTCTTGCTTACTTAAACAACTTCATCTTGTGTATATATGTGAACAAATAAGTTCATGTTAAGTAGTAATTCTCTGGTTAGCCTTTCCATCGCTTTGCTAAATACTATATTTTTGCTAACACGAGGGTAAAGAGGGCTGGCGAGCAGCAACGCTGGTCGGTGCGTCCAGAGCCCCATACCTTGTATTTGAAGCTCCTTCCTGGTGGTTTTTAGTGGTTTTCTTCAACCCTAAGCAAAATGACGGGAATCCAAGCCCGATACTCATCTTTCGGGGGATGTATGAGCACCCCTTTGCACTTAAATTAAGATAAAGCGATCTGCGCTCGACTTAATAAGCATTCGCAAAAGTTAGTTATAAAATCTTGGAAGTCAACAATATTTTCGCTTCACTCCGTCAGGATTCAGCGCTTTTATTGTCGTAGCCTAACATTGGTTTAAAGGGCTAAAGTTATTGTGTAAATGAGAGTTTTAGTCTAGAGGAGGGAGTAGTATGGTAAACTAATATAGACTGGGCAATAGCACTCTTTGAAAGAAAAATATTGATTACCCAATCCTTACTTAAGGGATAAAGAAAGATACGTTTTAAACCACTGAGCACACAGGCAAGCCCTCATCAAACAATGGTCATATCTCAAGTAAGTTCCACTAAATAGTAATATTTAAGCCTAGACCTTTAATTATACCCCCGTAAGAAGGCAGTTATGTTACGAGGCTTATAATCTCCATCCATTTCTACACACCTTTTACATCGACCTTGAAATACCACGTTGATTTTACAGACTGAATAACTTTAAGAACTAATATATTAGAAACAAATGAGTGTAATAAATTATATTATTTTACAAAGAAATATTATATAAAGTTAGTTTAATATCAAGAAAAGCTGTAATAATTTATTACTACTTTCGAGTCTACTGAACTATATAACGCTCGTCACCTAACTAATACTAACAGCATCAACGCCAAAAAAAAAAAAACGAAAAAGCGCGACATTTACAACATCTCTCAAATGTTTATTCAGGATTGCGCCCTTAGACGGCAACCTCAAATCCCTTTATCCCCTCACCTCCTTCACTCTCAACTATGTCATAGATATTGTTGAAACTCAACCAAGTCTTAGCTTAACGAGCATCTTGTCAAGAAATTTAATGTTCTACGTTCACTATGTATAATTATAATTATGTACTTAGGTGTATATTTGTTATAATATTACCTTGTTGATATTAGTTGTTATATTGATGCAAAGCAATACAATAACATAATATTGATTCTACTTTCTTCTTTTCTACTGGTTAGTTAAGAGGTGAGTTTAAACAAAGGAAACCGAGCATTTAAAGATAACAGTTGTATCATTTGTTGATTTACAGGCAGGGAGTCCTCGAGAAAAATACAAAACAATACGTTATCTAATATAATGAGGATATACTATAGACTTTAACGTAATATAATTATGTAATCGAAGAACTGGGAGCACTAAAAATTTATATGATAATTTTAAACACTCTAGGAGCACCAAACCAACCTTAGAGAAAATAACTAGAGAGTAAAAATTATTGTTGCAACGCGTGCAGCTCTCAGTTCTTATACTATAGACACATTTTAAAAGTATTTGGTCATGGCTCAATAAGCCTTTTCTGATCTCTTGTACGAAATTTATATTTTACTGGAATTTAATTACACTTGTAAAGGTTATACGTAAACAATTATATCGGGCGTTTAGGGATGTCATAAACAAGCGATTTTGAGCATTAACGTACGTGCAAAATAAAAATTATGGATTCTATTCGTCACTGATAGGTTCTCTTCTTCGATATTTTAACCGCTGGAGTGTTCACATAAATTCTGTTACGAAGTCCTAGTGGCATGTCATAACTTTCTTTTTGGTAGAATTGAATATATTCACGGCTTGCGAAATTTCTTTTCGAGAGTCGTGCTAATTCTTCAGCCCCTATAAAGCTTCTTTTGTTCGAAAAGTAAAAAGTAAGTTGTTTGCTTTCTCTTGTTTAATCAGTTCCCGTTAACTTTGCTTTAGTTGATCTTTCATGAGGTAAAACTAGTGTAATAGAATGAAACAATGAAACAAGAATAGGGGTTGACCTTATTTCTCTTTTTACTGGCATGCTACGGCCGGTCTTCTTGAGACCTTAAGTCCCTTAATCAGAATTTCCCCCTCTTTTGCCGCGATTGGAACATGAGTGTCCACCAGTATACGCTCTTTAGAGAGCTATAGTAATAACTGTCTGGAAGGACTGAAAAAACGGAAAATATCGTGCCCGGGCCCCCGCCATTCGGCCTGGTAAAGTGGTGAACAGCTAAGACAACCACCGGGAGAGGTAGGCCTTAGGCACAAAAACCGAGGAAACCTGGAGACACCGGTCAGCACCACACCCAGGCAGGCCTCCCCGACTATGAGCTCCTCACCAGAAAGGATAAGTTTGAAAGAGACTTCATTTTAGGTTTATATCGCTTTTAAACATAAAATTTACGAATTACGGTAAAATTAAAAATGCTCGAGAGTATTCTCAATTACAAATTATTTGGAGATTTTGGTAGCTGGTAGTCTATTATAGCGTATATGTGTATATATCTGTTTTTTTTTATTCTTTTTAAAAAAGGCAGTGGAACTACTGCTGAGATTAGGTTTAACAAAATGGTTCTATGTTTTCTCTATATTTTCTTATTTGGGCATTTTTTGTTTATACAATCTAAAGAATCCGCATCTATGTAATCTAAAAAGAATATATATTAGGCAAATACTAACTTTTAATAAATAATCCACTAAACTGTCAGTTGTTCGAAGTAAGAGAGTTAAATATATTGGAGCTATGCTTGACAACTAACTAAGCTGGACGAACCAAAGAAACCATAGCCGTTTTATCTTATACTACGCAGAAAAAAAAATTAGCTTCTCTTAAACAAATCGGTGACACCCTGCTGATGGTCTATGCCTCTATTGCCAGGGCTTCTTCCTTAAGCGAATATATTCATCCTCTCCAATTAAAAAAAATGCGTTCTGAGAATGGTATTCGACTTCCCTTAGTTTGAACGCAAAAGCCAAGTACACGGAGAGTGTAACCTCGAGGTTTTTCAGGGATATCTTAATAAAATTTTACGGATCTGATTTACTAGAGCCGGTAATCACCATAGCATACTGATTAGACCAAGTTCTTGACTATGACTCTCGTTATTATAACAATCACCTGCGGCCCAAACAATTTTTAAAAGAAAATATGGCTAATATTATAGTCTATTTTATTAATTTATTAATTTATATTAATATATAAAGGTTCTAGAACTTAACAATTCCATTTCGTGCAATGTTTTTTTATTTTTTTTTATTTTTTTATGCTATTAAGTCTTTATTGATAAAGTCTACTTTGCTAGTATGACAAAGCTCAAACGTCTTAGTTAATGGAGTTACGATTTGTTAAAACCGCACCCTCATTTAATAAAGGGAAATTAGACAGTAGCATTTGATAATGAATCACTCCTGTAGTAAGCTAATGCTATCATAACTAATTAATTAATTAGTAATCTTTTTTTTTCTTTTCTTGTTCTTGTTTGTATATACAGTATATATATCTTTCTTATTAATTACTTTTAAAAATTTAATATTTTGACATCTACTGTCTCTAAAGACATGACAATCAAGGTCCTAAAAGTAATGTTATAGGAAATGAGAATGAAGTTATGTAATGTTAATATCATATTCTTAAGAAAAACCCGTGCAGTGATTCTGTTTTTCTATTGTTTTTTGTTTAAGACAAAATCTCTAGGTCGTTGATGAAAAGACTAGTATAAATAATCCCAGAACTTCAGTTTTTTATTAAAGATAAGAGTTTTCTTCTAAGGGAGGCCTCCAATTATAGTTTTTGGGTTTTCATATTTTTTGCTTTGTTGAGCATAAAACATGTTATGGCTAGTTATAAAATCATTTCTTTTTTTTTTTATTTGAAGTCGGTTACATTACGTTTAAATTGACATGTTTTTGTATTCTGTGTTTTGATTAAATATATTTTAAAATGTTAAATTTAACGTGAATATAAAAACTTGTGATAGATACAAAATGTGTAAAGATAACTAAAAATGAAATAACCGGAGCTAAGTATTATGGTACCGATCAAGCTTTCTGTTAATCACATTAATTTAAATGCAATAAATTCTTAACAAAATTACTTTTTATAGTATATTTCTTGTTTTTGGCCAATTTTATAAACGAAGTTCTACAGTTCCATTATTGACTGAATTGCATTTCTGTAATCTATATTTGTTCTGTATATACCACGTACCCTATTAATTCTTTGTTTGGATCCTGTACTCCTTTTTTAGAGCTGTGTTATTTTAGAGTTAAATTCAAGGTTTATAATTTTCATGACTAGAAGATCGCAAGGTTCTTTGAAGATACAAATATACTTTTTAAGAGCTAAGGATAGCTATAAATAAAAAAAAAAGATAAAACTAAATAAAGTTTATAACATGAAAGAGGTTTAGGCATATAAAGTCATATCTATCTACAGGCGAGAATAGAACTTATAACCAAGAGCTTAATTATCTGTGGGGCTTAGCAATTAGTATTCGTGGAATACGAAACTAAGAATTTAAAAGAGTCAAGCGGAAGGCGCTCTAACTAAGAAGGTAACAAAACCAGCCCTTATATTTATTTTTTCCTTATTTGGTTAACGGTACGCACCCAACATATAAATTGTTTAAATGCTCATCTCAAGTTACCCAATCAGATTAGCTTTCATATTGCTATTTAATTTAGTAGCATTATTTTATTCACGCGAGAGCGCGTCTTGGTCTAGGACGGATAATCCCCTATTCCATATCTAGTTGAAGATCTCACCAAAGGGTGGACATGTTTATTACACCTGTTAAAGGTAGTTATGGACAACGCTTTAATGTACTCTTTCAAGGGTTCAATATTCATATCCCGACTACCACAAGGTATTAGTGAATCCGCAACAGCTTACTTGATACTTTAAAATATTGCTCGATAAGTTTATAAGAGCAGTAACCCCATGCAAGGGAACTTTATATAATAATTCCTTGTTTATTTAATTAAATACATTCATATGTTTAAGGAAAAAATATCCACAGTCAGCCTTTTTGCTTTGTATAGTATGTAATCTATATATTTCGCCCATGTTAGTTTGTTGTCCACTATCACTCCAAGATATTTTGCCTCAGAACACCAAGCAAGCTCAGCACCACGTAGAAACAAAATTTCTAGGCAATTTTTTGGGTTTAGTTATGAAAGGCATTTAGGCTTTTTTATGTTAATTTTTAATTTCCAACTATCGTACCACTCGTAGATCTTATGGACTAAAGTATTTAGGAGGGCGCAAAGTAAGGAAGGAAACTTAGAAATGGAAAATAAGGCCACATTATCGGTAAAAAACCCAATGCTTCTGTCTTTGATGGCTGGAAGGTCTGCCATATATATAAAAAAAAGTAAAGGAGACAGTAAGGTGCCTTGACGCGCTCCTTTATTCGTTGCATGTACACTAGTTAGGGGAATTGGTAAAAAAGTTGGGCCTGCTCCTTTTTTTTAATTAAAGCCTTTATTAATTTTTTTTTTTCAACTATCCGTAGTATTTGGAGTGTCGTAGAATGTTTGTTTATAAAGCCATGCTGCGCAAGAGGTGGCACATATCTTTGAAGTACAAATTCTTTGAGTGTAAGCGAAATAATTTTTTCATATATTTTTCCGATGGAAACAGGCTAATGGGGCGATACTCACTATATTCATGTGATGAAGGAGTACACTTGGGAAGCAGTACTACCACGGCCAAATAATTATATTGGTGATTCGCACAAAACAAGATCTTTTTAATAGTTTTAAAGCTTTGTTTAATATGTTCTCTCATCCTGCAGCTTTCCTGTTTAAAGGTTTTTTAAAATGTCTTCCATTTATTAATGGTTACGAAACTTAGAGTTTATGCTCCTCTTAAATAAACTCTTCGACAAATTTTGACATTTTCAGTCCTTTGCGTTTTCTGCCAGTAAAGGTTAATACAGTTATGCTTTTTATTTAGCAATTGCAATTGCTTTCGCTTTGTTTCAGATATCATATAGTCTCAAGCCGTCAAGATGGCAATGAATATCCTTTATTTTTTCAAAATTAATTGTTGTTGTCACAGAGTTAAATTTTGTCCTAAATAGAACCATAAAAATCTCCTAGTGCTTTAGTAAAGGGTCAAGTAAGTGAAAGGTGTTTTTAATCTTGTGAATTGAAAATTCTATTATATTTCCTTTTTTTGAATTCGCCTCTTCAAAATCAGCACTTTTATATCAAAAGGAACATTTATTTTGTTGAGTGTAATTTGGGTGCCCTTTTTTATTAGACTGCTCTAGGGCATCGTTTGTAGCGTTCTTTAAATTAAGGATGCTGCTGTCCTTTTCTTCTACTTAATTAAAATGACTCTTTTTATTTATAATACTCTCGTAATCGCCTCAATGTAATCTGGAAAATCGTTTTGATTGCATCGAAACCGTAAAAAAATTCTAAAACCACCGGGTTATGATTTAACGGTAATTCATACTGCTCTATCTAATACGTCCGATCAGTATCTACTTGAATAATGTTTAGGTTCCAACTAAAGCTAAGTATTACCTAAACGCATACTTTCTTAAAAAACATCCATTGACTTCTGTCTTTTTGATATTCTGAGCAGGATGAGTTGAGGAAAAGATCCTAGTTCATAAGTTTTAATGCAAATTACCATTTTTAGGCAATTTTATGATTATTATTGATTATTTCATTGCTTTGTTGTTAGTATATAATGAAGGTTCACGAATAATAAACGGGCAACCGTGTTAATTTTTTTTTAGTGCTTTTTTTGTTTAATCACATCTGTACATCTATATATATATACATTCGTTTTACAATTAATTTTATAGGTCGTAAAGGTTTAGATACCAGTTAGTAAAGGTCTAAACACCTAACAGGATGTTTTAATTTGAAATCCCTGCTGCAATAGCTGAGGTAGTATTTTCAAATATCATAGTAAGTGATGTACCTGCAGTTATGTCAGTTTTCCCGGTGCAACGATGTATGTAGATTCGCCAACATCTTCAATGATGTCATCCTAAAAGTTATAGTTTAGATCAGTGTGAGGGACCAGTGGTAAGGCTTAGATATCTGTTTGAGCTCTAAAAACGCAAATACGATTATGGGCGATTTTGAAAATGCATTCAAATACTAAAATTATTGTGCCCAAAAATATACAAGCATTTAGGCACAAGCTAGATCATAGAAGTAACCAGTGTTAGTTTGACTTCACGGACCACTACTCTGAGATTGCGCGACAATGCTCTAACCACTTGAGCTAAGGTGACATATCACATTTTCGGTCGAAATATTACATAATTCGTTAAACCAAGTTTGCGGTTGGTCAATCTGGAACATTTGAAGTCGTTCTTGCTCAATTAGTGCTAAAATATATTGACCAAAAAGCTCGTAATAGACTAGCGTGCCATTATAAGCAATAAAAATCTCACTAACAAATAATTCGTAAAATCCGGTAAGGATACATACTCTCTCATATCTCAAGGGGGTATGAAACACATTTTAAGAAAAGTTTAATGTTCTAACTAAAAGCGTCTTCTTAGCGCTGGAAGAATAACTTGCGAATATAAGCAGGGTATTAGAGATATGAGATTCTTAATTAATAAATGTCTTCTATGTACACGAATCGAGTATTAAGATCCATAAGCGAATATAAGTAATGAAACTGTTAAGATTTCCGGAAGCTTTACCAATTAATAGCACGTGACTTATTTCAAAATAAATTACGCAGTTACATATTTGTAACTTTGTTTATTTGGCTTATCAATTATTGTATTATAACATTAGAACGTTTCTATTAAAGCTAATAATCTGATCTTTTTTTAACCAAAATTTAGAACTAGTAACTCCGCCTACGTCAAAAACTTTGTTGAGCTTATGTTTTATACGCACTCCGTATTTTGAATTAAGAAAGGAGAGTAAAAATAATGGCAGTTACTTCAGGAAGATATAGGATGGCGTTTTTGCTTGCCTGTAACAGTAATAAACGAAATGCTCGAAAAATATTCGTTTCTAATTTATTTTAAAAAAGATCTCTGAAGTATGATTTAAAAAATGTTTATAACAATGGCATGGTATCATTATTTTTAAAATGCATATTATATTCTAACAAATGGGTTAAGAGACAACGAAATAAACGTTTTAACAGTAGCGCTGGACTGAACCACTGGTCTACCACGGTCATCAGATTTAGAAGGTTCGAATCTACTAAAAAGAGATTTTAAAACGCAGAGCACACAAAAAGTAAAAAAAAAATAAGACAATACTTGCTCTTAAAGAAATCAGTATAAAGTAACCAATATGATTCCCAATTCCTTCATTCTCACTGCAACTCTATTGAGCCTTTTCTAGAAAATTCTTTATTTTTGTACGAAATGTGCGAAACTTTCAACTGTTAACTGAAAAAAGGGCGGTCATCTTCAGGGAAGCTTCACGCCCGCCAGTAAAATTTTATTTTTAATTCTTAAACGAAAAGATTAGGATTTTAGTAAGCTTTTCAGAAGAATTGAAAGGCTGATTGGTTTACTGTTAGACCTTAACTTGCCAACCTTCGCTTTTTTTCCCCTAAAGTATATTAAAGTATTATTCTATATATAACTTGTTATACTTTCTTATGCCCTTTACAATTCAAAGATGGAAATTTATGGGCGTTTACAGCGTTGAGATTTCTTGTCTAATTTTATTGTAAAACTGTATAAAATTTCCTTTAATTGATAATCAGTGGTCTCATAATTACACATCAGTGTAGAAGATATAATATTTGTAGCTAAGCGGTTAGGGATAATAGAGATTGGTAATTGGTAATCGATAAAAAAATTTAAAGTAAATAGTGTAGTCCCGCACGAATTTCAATAATTTAGTTAAAAATAATTAATTTCTATTCTTTTATCTCATTCTCCTTTACCCTTTAAAAAACTAAGCAAGCATGTAAAACTGGCCTTCGTCTAATTGAGTTTCATACGTTTAGACGCTGAAGTGTTACAACGCTTCATTCAAGCAATTTTCCTTAAAGCGGGAATGGAGTATAACTTTGAATTCTTTTTAGATAAAAACTGTGCAGTAGGATTTTGATTAAGTTGAAAGCTTCACGAAAACCCAAGAGTTCAATTTTTTTAAAAAATATTCTAAAATCCACAAGACTTTACTGCGATAGCACTACAGTTGAAACAAAAAGGCTTCTTGCCTGATAAGCAAAAAAATCCGTGAGCAGAATGTGAAGGCAAACCCCAAAAAAAATCAATTATAAATGTTCTACAGTAACTTAGTAGGTATTTAACAAATAATAATAAGTAAAAAAAAATCGAACAATTTGAAGGATGGCCACCGCAAGGGAATAATTCCTCAGTTAATTCCTCAATATTTGAAGATTGCTTAGCAGAGATTTCAGATAAAATTGGTGCACCCACATCAACTTCTTCCCCTTCTTCTTCGCTATAATCGTTCCTGCCTAATTGTAGTCAAATATGAGCAAATAGATTGACGTAACACCCATATATGCCAAATAAACCAAAACCTATAAAGTAAAAGTCCTCAAAAGCAAGGTGACGCCAAATGTTATCTGAGTAAGACGGGTACGATGCCAAAGTTCCTTTATCCTCTATAATTTCCAAATTCCTTAAGTCTATTACATCACTTTCATCAACTTTATTATACTAAAACAAAATCTTATAAAACAAAGAAGTTTTATAAAAACTAGATAAAAATACCTTAATACAAATCTCATAAAACTTAGAATTTAAGCGTCTTTTAATTTCATCCCTGCTTGCCTCCATTTAAGTTTATATTTCGCAAAGACTCTTCTTATAAAAATAAAAATGCTTTATACTATTACTTAAAACAATAATTAGATGTTGTATATAACCAAAATCCTCTAATAAAGCTTTTTTTTTTTTAATGATTTTTGCAGTTCTCGGTAAGTCGAGCGCAGATCGCTTAGACTTAATTCGGGCCAAATAACCGCCCGTACCTCCCCAGGAGGAGTATTATGAATGTTCTGATTTGCTGTGGGGAAAGTTAGTGGTGGGTGGTTAGCCTCCCAGTCACCCTCCGCAGGCCAACCAAGGTCCTGGAGGTTTAACTTCTCAGATCGTACGGGTTAAAGCGCTTTTCGCCGATGCACTCCCCCCTAAATAAAGCTTATAGGCCTATATTTATTTTTAACGTGTTTGTATTGAAACTATATAAACCAGTGAGGACACACCCTTTCGTGTATATTCCACGATGAAAACAGCATATATATTCTCTACGTTAAAGTGGTGCAAAGCTTTATTAAAAAAGGATCATAGAGCGAAAAAAATAAATATTTAAAACACCTTAATTAAGCTTTTAAAAAAAGTATTATTAAACGAAAGTAATTATTAAAATAAGTAAAAATTTTATTACCGCCTAAACAAACCAACTCTATAAATGAAATACAAAAATTTATTACATTCTATAAGTTTGCTATAAACATTATAAAAAAAATCTGATCTACAGCAATTACTTTATAAGAAAATACTGCATTAATATTAAACAAAACAACTATTAAAAACTGAAGTCGTTTATTAGGAATTCTCAGCCTTGATGCTTGCATGAAATACTTCAAGTTGTTGAACCGCAACAAAAATAAACTTAACATTTTTAAACTTTATTTTTCCTGATTCTTTTCTAATGCTGGATACTTCATTCTAAAATCGCATAAGGCTACATATTAACAGGGCCCATGGCCAGTTAATTAATTTCAGATCGAATAAATAATTTTGTTGTTTAGATAAACTTACTGAGATTATTTCCTGGTACTATACTAATCATAATGTGGTTTTTAAAGAAAATCTATGAAGCAATTTTTTATAAAAGGGCTTTTGGACAGGGAGGTTTAAAAATTACACACACGCCTAAACAAATTAAACACACAGACATATCAATTAAAGATAAATTAATTAAAAATAGCATTAACTAAAGTTTTAAATAAATGCGATTTTAAACAATTTGGCAGGAACTGTGCTATACAAATATGGTAATTATTATTAAACCTGAAGTATCTTATTAAGAAATTATATTATACTATAAAATTTAACCTAAACAAATGTGCATTTTAGCTTTTGTAAAGGTGTATAAATGGCTTGATTGCCAATAACAAAATAAATTTTAAAAAGCTGTGCTTCTGTCACTTTTATCTGCAATTTATGTGAGCGATGTGCCATTGCCGTTAAATCCACACCCACGAAATACCTACCCCGATTGTACGACCGTTTACTCTTCGCTGAAGTCTCCCGCCTTGCTATGCAAGCATCTATAGCGCTACCTTGACCCCCTTGCTGCTTGGCGCCGTAATTAAGAAGTTTCTATAAATGCGATGAAGAGAAGACGCTTTTAATTACTAAGAAACGCATCCCTTTGTTGGCATGAAGACTCCGTGGTGTTCTCAAACGAAATACTTAGAAGTCATCATTGACAACAAAATTTCCTGGTAGCCACATGTGGTCTATGCAATGGCGAAGGTCAAAGCAACTTAGGCGCTGTACCCTTTACTATGCGGTAAGAGCATGATTTCTCTGCGAAACGAACGACAACTGTATAGGTCTTAAACCCAGTCAATAATGACATATGCTACTCCACTGCAATAGAGACGGCACATCAAGTGCGACAGAACAAATTGCTGCGTGGGTTTGTGCGAAATGAAGCTCCTCACCAGATCCTGCAGCTGAACCTTTTAGAAGTATTCCTCCAACGTTATGCCAGTGCCCTTTACGACAGGTTAGCCAGGCACACTAATTGCCTGTTGGTGAGTGAACTTATTTACGAACAATGGGAGGGGCGCGTTATCACCGCCCAAGTGCCGCACGTAAGCGCTAGTTTTTATTTGTTAATATCAAAAAATTACACCTTTTAGTTTGAAAGCTACTTTGTAATAAGTCTGCATCAAAAAAAAAAAATCTGTGTAAATGTGTATGAAAAAAGTATGTTAAAGCGAGGATTGACCTATTGACCTGTCTCGGTTTGTATTTGTACCTTTACAAAAGGTCAAAATTTACAATAAATTTAATTAAACCAGATAAAAATTTACTTTGTTTAGTTTGTATCCAATTAATAAGGTGGGTCTAATTAAATTTTTAGCGCTGAAATATTAGTTTCTCTTTTCTTGTATTATTATTGGTTGTTTCTCAGGTTTCTGATTGGATTAATCACGGATCGTTTTTCCGGTGAAAAAATCTAGAGGGTTTAGAGTTTTGTATGTTTCTGTTTATGTTTACGTTTTTAATGGTTGTGTACTTTATACTTAAAGTATTATACAATATATTGTAATCTATATTTATTTTTTTTCTTCAAGTTGTGTTTTGTGTTTTTGTATCTTGTGTATCTTGTGTTTTAAATTATGTCTTAGGTTTTGTGTATACTGTGTTCTTGTATCAGTCTGCGATTACTCCTGACTGGGAGCTCGAGTATTCGAAGTTTTTTGACTCGATCGAGCACCAGCAACTTTCATTTAAAACAAAATAAATAAATAACAAAATATCTACGAGAAAATAGAGTAGGCCTCTCCCCCCTTGTATGGTGGTCAAGCTATCAGCAACCATCGAAGAACTAACAACAAAAATAGATTTTGTAAACAAAGAGATTTCCGGACTGAAAGTAAATTAAACAACTCCGGTTTTAATGCTTCAAAAAAGCGAAAGGACGGATCTTTAGCTCAGAAAATCCTAATTCTAATAAGTTTTAACAGTGACGATTGTAATAAGAATGATAATATTAACTATAGTGGTGAGGGCGATAGTAATAATAATAACCAGTTATATTCTTATTACTAAGAGCAGTAACAGTAGTGGTGACACTTTTGAAAATAACAACTTCACCTCAAGGGATACCCGAAATGGCAACAAAATTTTCCACTCAAGTTCCGACGACTTTCGGAGAGCCACAATGCTTTTCACCAAAAAAAAATTATTTTTTACTCCTCTCAACTACCTGAAGAGCGAGTAGTTAAATAATACACTTTTCACTATTGTTAGCCACGTGCGTCTATCTATATATAATTTGTCTAATAAATTTGTTTATACATTTACCCCCACCTTGAGTATACATATTTACGTTTTTAAAGCTACTACCCGCGTTAGTGCCATTCTAGGAATAACAATTAGGCACCTATATCCATAACTTATTTTAAAAACCTTAATCCCAAAAAAAAATTATTTTTTTTTAATTCTTGAATCTTCTGAGTATGGAGGATATATGGGACAAAGTTAACGAATTAAGCATAAGAGCAACCTTGGGTATACACATATCTAAGCTTTTATGGCCACAACCCACGATAGTGCTATGTTAAGGATAACACTATAGTCAAATTGCTTATTGAGCTTCTCAAATCATTATGATTCTCCTGCAAAACGCATTGAAGTTCATTCGTTTTCATTTTAGAAGGCCAATGTTCTGCTATCAAAAGAGAGGATTTGAAGGTGTGTCTTATAAAAAAAAGTTCGATATAGTTCTTTTAAACTAAACGCACCTAGAGCTCGGTTATAACTTTAAATTACTTAACCACATAGTATATCGTTAAAACAGAATTGATTCTCGAAAAGAGATGTAGCAGAAATTTTATTTAATTAGTTAACTTTCATTTGGGCAATTGCAATTAAAATAAATCTTTATCAGCAAGGCGATGTAGCAATTGTCTCTATATAAAACCTCCGGGAAAGCCCTCTTGCATATAACGAACTGGACCTCGTTCCCTAGTTCTATGTGCGATTTGAACTGCAAAAATTTACTATGGAATAGCAATAGGGGAGACCTAATGGAGAAATTCTCAACAAATACGTCGAAGATCAGGGGTTAATTGTTTTGTGTTAACCAAGCCAACACGCTTTCCTAAGCGAGGTGCTGCTGAAGTATCAGACATTGCAGTTATAAAAAATATTCATCTCGAAGTTAGACAGACGATTTTACATGAGTTCTCTTTAAATCACCTACCTGTAGTTCTTGAAATAGGCCCCCCAGTAGTCGGCTCCCTTCCTTTATTTTTACGGAAATTCACCGACTGGACACTCCATAAAGAATCTTTTAAAAGAAAACTTAAAGACAACCCTCTTAAGATCTATTTCTTTCTTGCTTCTCAATGAATCAGTAGCTAACTTTGACGGCACGGTTACTCATTCATACCAAAGGCCTCTACCACTATTAAATAATCGTTAAAACCTCGTCTACCGGCGGAAATTGAAGTTCTTCTTCAATCCAATAAAAAGCAAAGACGAAATTTTCGTCAACTCAGTCCCCTGAAAATAATCCATTACTAAACATCCTTGACAAGAGGTTAAAGAAAGACTTCTCACATTTTACAACCGAGAATGAGAGAATAAGCTTTCTAATCTATAAAATAAAGATAGCCCTTGTCCCTATTGGCAATTCAATAAATCTGTAAAGTCTAACAAAAACATTACAGCTCCCCATCAAAGTCGAAAAAACCGGGACTGTTTACGACGACAAAGAGAAAGCGGGAGTCTTTGCTTAGTGTCTCCTATCCCAAAGCCCACCTCTAATAATCCCTTCAGGTAGGACAGTTCCTTACACAACTCTAATCCTTTTCTAGGAAGCAAGCACCGCTGAAGGAACACACAAACTTCGAAATGAAATCAATTATTAACATCTTCTCAACTAAAAAGTTACCAGGACTTAAGGGTATAGCAAACCTAAAGCACTTACCTGAGTAGTCCATTAAAACTCTTACTCTTATAATTAACGCCACTCTTGGTCTTTCACTATTTTTGGATAGGTGGGAAGGGCCACTGTTATTTACCTGCAAATTTTTTTTAAAAACCCTTCCTTAAACCCCGCGGACTATCGCCCAGTAAGTCTATTATCCTGTGCTGACAAAGTAGAGGCAGTTATGCCGAGGCGAATACAGAATATGTAAAGCAAAACAAACAAAATCATTGAAAACCAATTTGGATTAAGGAGGGTCAACTGAGCAATTCTTGAGGCTCACCGAGAACGTGACGAAGGGATTTGACTATTTAACTATAACAAGTTCACACATGCTGTTCTCAGATATTGAAAAGGCTTTTGATAGAGTTTGGCATGCGGTCTCATAACTGAAATTATCAATCTGAAAATACAAGTTACCTCTTCTATCTTATTAAATTATTTCTGGGCTGTAACAAAGCTCTTTACTAATATTGGAAAAAGATACTCAGGGAAGGTGTACCAAAAGGCCCCTTACCTTCATCCATCCTCTTTTCAATTTACACGTGAACATACCCAGGCCTTCCAAGGCCTCAACATTTTTATCACAATTCGCTGATGACATAACAATATTTGCTATTTCTAAGTTAATTCCTCTAGCAGTAAAACATGTGCAAGCATACATTGAAAGAATCGAACTCTGGTTCGTCTAGTGGCGCCCTACTATAATCCTTCTAAGAGCGCAGCCGTAATCATTACTAAAAGATGTAAAAGACTAAATGTTCATCCGGTTGTCATTAATGGTACGCCAGTTCCCTAACGCTCTAACATAAACTATCATGGCGTCATCGTAGGGCTACAGGCTCACTTAGCGCAACCAAATTGAACAAGTCACGAAAAAGGCTAAACTAGAGATCAAACTGAAGTAACCACTTACCCGCCAGAAAAATCGTCTCTTTAAACAACAAACTTCAACTTTATCTCACCACTATCAGTCTAAAGGTGGCCTACGCGTATGTAGCGTGGTCATACTGCCTCCATGTCCTTATTCGGTCCACTTCAGGTTATACAAAACTCTATACTGAGAATTATTTTATTTTCACCATGGTTTGTTCCAAGTTTTATCCTTCAGCTGACTTAAATATTGAAATACCACCACTATTTTTTAAAAATGCAGGCAAAACCGCTATTTTTTCAAGGAATAATTTACGATACAAGTTTATACAAGAAATTTAGGAGACCTCGAAACCAGTTTTATTGCATCTAATGCTCCTGTGCCCACCTAATTAACTTGTCTACCCTATCATCCGATGTACACCACAACAAAATTAGATTAAGAAATATTAGAGATCTTATAGAAAGAGAGGCCTGGTTGTAGCATGTCAGAGTTAAAGATAATAAGTAAATAACAAAATAACCACGTCCTCTGCCGCGGCAATCAGCCGGAAAGCTTATCACCCTGGCCGTCTATCGGATTATTTGACGAGTCTTTTTCGTCAATGCCATACGCCTGGCCGCTGCCACACAAAACCCCGACAACAAACTAATTCTAAACCGTCTTCACGACACATTAAAAAGGAGCCGACCGCCTTTCACAATAATCGCTGGGAGGCGAAACTGCAGGAAACGTCTATAGCGGCCGAGGAAGTACGGCCTTCTTTTTGACGCTTCGTCAAACGTATTAAAAACCCTTGCCACACACCACCGCCACTAATAATGTCGTGATAATGGCAAAAAGCGACAAATACAAGGCGACGCTCTTTGCCGATTATCTAGCTGCTCAGTGCATATCCAACTTGGGCAACCTTTAGGAAGGAAGCAAGGCACCGCTGGTGCCCCCGATTATTGTTGACGAACTTTTTAACTCGAGTTCACCTAATAAAGTCAAAGATATAGTTTCTGCACTTTCACGACGGTAAACACCCAGCCTCGACGGAATTACTAAATGGTTAAAAAGATGCCGTCGGTGGCGATTAACCACCTTACCACAGTTGCAATGTGGTTTAGCTCCTTCCCAATGCGATGGAAAATGACCAATGTCGTGGTGTTACCTAAGACTCGCGGACTTCAGTGAACCCCAGCAAATATCGCCCCATTAGCCTTCTTTCAGCGGTGGACAAAACCGTGGAGGCGGTTCTACTACACAGACTGGAAGATTTGGTAAAAACACGCTAAGTGTTTCCAGAATTTCAATTAGAATTCTGAAGAGGCCACTCGACGACACAGCAACTTTGCGCTTTGTTAAGTGGATAAATTGGGACTTCAACTTTAAGAAATCCACGGGCGTGGTATGTCTTGATGCTGAAAAGGTATTTGACTGCGTATGGCACGAGGGTCTTCCTAGGCAAACTACGCAAATTAGGTACCCCGTTAGCCCTCTACAGCATACGCGTCGTTTCTAGGCGGACGCCTTTCGAGTGAGAGTTGGGCTGCGCTGTCGCAATATCGTCTTCTGACGGCTGGGCGTTCCGCAAGGCCCTCGCCCGTACTCTTCGCGCTATACATGGGAGATATTCCGCCTCCCTGGGAACCCTCACACCAACGTTGCACTCTATGCCGAGGACACTGCAGTTTATGCGCGTCCTCTAAAAGCCCCTCATTATTACGACTACATTTGCCAACTAGTGTAGGCAATGGGGAGTAAACATTAGTGGAACGAAAAGCAAAGCAATCCTCATCAAAAAGATGATGAAAACGCAACCCCCGCCTCCAACCCTCGAAGGCCTTAAGATCCCATCCCAGTGGGCCCGCAGGCCAAATAGTTGAGTCATCATCAATAAGCGACTAACTTGGAGGCAACACGTAGGCTTCTTTATTACTAAGGTCACCGCAGCAATTCACGCACTATACCCGTTGCTGTGTGCTGAAAGCCTATGCCCCTGAGCAAAAAATGAACTGCGTCATTATAAAGTATGCATGCGCCTATTATGGCCTGCGCGTCTGTTGCTTGGTCATAGATAAACCGTTGAGGATTGCACCCCTCCAGATGCAGCTAAAGAAGCTCTGCAAATTGTGGCCGCGCACCTTATTTCGTGCGGAACGGTACGTTAGATGACGATCTGGGTTTGGAATGACTTAAAGTCTTTTTCGACATGCAACTTCATTTTCTTGAACGCGTTATTAGGCACTCAAACCACCAGAGGGTTCAGGAACTTTCGTAACGAACCCTTGAAAGGTTCACGCTCTCGAAGGCCCCGCGATGCGCTTTATGCTCACAATTACAGTTTTGTTATACCTTTAATACTTATGTAAAAAGTTTATTGTTAGGTGACATGCCGAAATTGAATATAGTTGAACCTAATAATATAAACTACTTGCGAGATTAAGCGGACTTTGCTCAAAATTACCGAGCTACTGCACAATTTTTTAATTAAAAAAAAATCTCACGTTCTTTTTGTTTTCGACTTCCTCCGCTGTTGGTGTTATTAGAGACGTCTGTCGAAAAGGATACTAAATGTAAATTTTTATTAATAGGCACTTTTTATTTAAATATTTTTATTTATTAATAAATAAACTTCAGGCGAATCTTAAACTACTTCAGTTTTTAAGCCTAAAAGACTTGCTCTCTTTACAATTTTTTTTTAAACATGCGTTTTGGAGTATTTTATTTTTGCAACTCTGAGGAGAACACTAGTTTTTTCAGTGATAGTTTTCGAGTTATAAAGTACCTATTACGAAGTTTGGAGCCTTGTTCTAAACCAAGATGTCAATCAATAATACGCCTTAAAGTTTTTGAATAAGATTTTCTATACAGTTTAGTATTATTTTAAATATTAAAATTTTTTCTCACTTAATTACGCTCTCCAGAGGTTCGTTGTTTTTCTCTCTTTCTCATTTATTTTAAATTCCTTGAAATTCCAAGACTGCAAAACCTTTACATACTTAAAATAAGTCATATTTTATATTTCAATAATTCAAACTTACCTCCATTTTTTATTTAAACGCTTTTCTGCCTTTATTTATTCTAGCTTCCAAAATTTAGTTTAGAAAGTTTAATAGTTTTGCAGCTTTTGCTCTACTAATACAATCCTCATAAGAAAGAAAGTTGTTTGGATATTTTTTCCTAAACGGTACGCTTATAAAACGAAATATGTTTTAAAGTGGGTATCTGGAATTGGAATTGTAGATCAAAGTATTGTTAAATTGTAGCCAGATTATGTGCCTTGTAAGCACTCGTTAATAACCTGGTTAGTTTTTAGGTTGTAATTGACTATTTTGTTTAAAGTTATGAAGGCTTCAGCTTTTTAACAGTTGTGGATGAAAATTTCATTATATATTTTTTTAGTAAGGAAAGAAGGTAAAATTGTTAAACTTCTAGAATCTCTAAAGATGCTTTATAGGGAACTAGCAATGTCTAAGATATTCTTTTTTAATTTTTTTAATGTTTAATGTAAATTACTTTAACAGCTAGAGTAAAAGGTGATCATTCGTTTCAAAAAGTCAAAAGCTTGCCACTTCTTCTTTAATGTAGTTGCGTAGGTTATAAGGCAAGCGAAACCATTGGTTAAGAAATTTCTAATTTTATTTAACATAAAAGTTAGGGCAAAAAATATTTACAAAAACTATAATTTTGTTGGTTAGCAGAATCCAAAAAAAGAGGATAAATAGAGTTTACTCCTAACTTGTCTTATTCTTTTTGTTAGAGCTTAGTGCGTTCCGGTTCGAGTCCACCTAAAGTAAAGTCTGTTGTTATATAAAAATTGAACATTTAAGAATAATGGATCAGGATTGAAAACATTGATTAGAAGCTAAAATATAAACTATTAAATAAGACAAGATATGTGTTAGGATTTGATTTCTTAATATTAATTTTCCCTATTCTAAAGGTAGCGCGGTGAAAAACTCAACACCTTTCAGAGCAATACTTATAAATTTTCAATAATTTTTTTTGTGATGTTTAGATATAAGTAGGTTACATATATTTAAGGTATTTTATTTAAATTTTTTGGAGGTCATCACTTTTAATTAAGTCATTTGAGTTTAAATAACTTACTGCTCTAAATTGTTAAAAAAATATTAGATTAATTAGTCCAATGGTATTTAATATTAACCTCTGACTTTACTATCTGGTTTTTTGTCACTATAAAGAAAACATTATTACTAAATAAAGCGAATTTTTCTGTTAAAAAATTTGTTAATAAAAAGTTAGTTATTTTTTCAGTTCTTTTTTTATAACCGCTTTACAAAAAAGGTGGTATTATTTATTGGAATCTTGTCTATGATTGAATGAGAAATCTATTAGTAGGGCCCGTTCTTTCAATACGTGTATTTATATTAAGAAAGAGTTCTCAGTTTATAATTACTACCATAATTAAACAACATCCATAATTATAACTTAAAACATTTTATCCGCTTATTTTGTATTTAAGAATAATTTTTTACAATAAAGCAAGTCGCATTCCTTTTATCTGCGTTTATTTGCTTGTGTCCTTACACGTGCGTTTCGTATTTTCCTGTACTCGTTCAAAAAGCTTAAGGGTTAAAACACCAGATAGTAAATTTTTAATATAGCAGCGTTATAAGGTTCATATGCCTTAACAGTTTGTATTATTTTGTTTTTCTTTCGTAGTTCAAAATTGAATGTAATCCTAAAATAAGTGAAAAGAAATTGTAAATAAATTATCTCTGGTAGAATTTTCTAGTAACTAAAAGGAAAACGACGTGAGTCATCTTCTAAAACTAATAAGTTCGTGGTACTTTAAGAAAAAGTCTAAATTGTTTAAAGACAGCTATGATATCCTGTTGGGAGTATATGCCAGTAGGCATTCATGCCATTTTTCCCTGAAGGAAAGTAGGTTAAACGGTAAAAGACTGATTATAATACAACAAAAAAAATCCTTTTATACACTTAAACGGAATGCTCCTAATCTTTGTGGTAACTCCGCAGGTTAATAGTTTTAAAGACGATCCAGGGCGATATAATTTTTTTATCTCTATCCATCATGATAGCTAACTGAATTTTGCAATCCACAAAACTTCTAAATTTAACACACATTCTCATTTTTGTCAATGAAGAGTTGAATGAGGTTAATGTATATTGACAGTACTTGATGCTGTAAGAAGCGGTTTTTGAGATGAAGAAGCGTAACTGCTGCTTACCCCCCTTAGACTTGTCTTTTTTTAAGATTTTTAAAAGAAAAATAAAAGCGCAGAAGATAACTAAAAAGCTAAGATGCTACTTTAAGATAATCTGCTACAACTGTTTTCCTCTATTATAGCCGCAAGCACAGCGTTATATTATCCATGAACCACTGCGAATATTAAAGGAGGAGAGTTGGTATATGTCCTTCTAGCTGTATGCTGATCAAGATTATTACTTCGCTAGTAATACGACAACGTGGTAGGAAGCTTCAGTTGACAGCGTTATCTAATTATAAAACTCTGCCCACGTGTTTTCTTATATAGATATAAAACTTAAATTGAGGGCAATAGCTTGAATGAATGAATGGAAATTGGATAACCTAAGGGAAGAAAACCGAAGTTTAAACCGCTTACGAAAAAGGGCCGCATCATAAGCAGGTTGAGACAATCCCTTTTATTAATTTTTATGGTTGGACATGGCGGTATTATTGGGATCTAATGGGGACCAGTACAACCTCATTTTAACACATTAAAAAGTTGCGAAACTTTAAAAAAAATTTGAATAGAATTCGACAGTTCTATTTAAATGCTGTGCAAGACTCTTAGAGTCATATAAAATTTATCAATCTTTTGTATTCCTTTAATATACAACTATATAACATTTTTCATCCTCCTAAAATATTAATTCGAGTTTTTAATAAAACTAAACATAATTAAACACTTTTCATTTCATAGTATACAGCTATAGCTATACAAATATTTCTATTAACACAGGAGAGCGGAGGTGCACATGCTTTTGGTTAAATATAGGTTTGGCAAGAGGATCAGTTTATTGGCGTTTTTAGTAGTCTAATTTGCTAATGGCACTTATAGAAAGTAATAAGAGAGAAAGTGGCGAATTTACTTGTCTAACTTGTAAGATTAAGTTTGACAATGTTGTTCATCAGCAGGAGCATTATCGAAGTGACTGGCATAGGTAATAAACTTGGAAAAAAAAAAATTTCTATATCTTTGCACGAAATTATTAGGTACAACTTAAAGCGCAAAATTGTAGGACTGAATTCCTTACCACTTGAAATATACAAAACAAAAATAAAAACTGAAGAAAGTCAAGCAGATAATAATGAGAAAGAATTGAAAGTCAAAAATTTTTGTTGCCTTTGTAGGTAATTTTACATGTTTCTTTCAATTAGAAAAATAAAAAATTACTTTTTAAAAGAAAGTTGTTTAAAAGCAAAAATACTTTTGTTGATCATCTTAAGTCTAGCAAGCACAAAGAAAAGGAACATTTTCTTTCTGTTAACAACGTAAATATAGATGAAGGTTTGGCTTCCTCTTAAATTCGTCTATTTAAATTTATTTTCAATTTATTATAGCTGATTTCCAAAGTGAAGTTTGGGAAGATATTAGCGATTTTGCATGGTCTTCTGAAATTTGTTTGTTTTGCAATTTCAAGAGTGAAACTATGGCTTTAAGTATAAAGCATATGGTAAAATCATATCTTTTCTGAGGCTCCCCATTATTATTTACTTTTTTGTTAAAATTTTTTACTTTTTTTTTTTAGACGGAGAAGCACAGTTTTTTCATTCCTGATTATGACTATATAATTGACGTGGAGGGCTTTATTAATTACCTTGGCGAGAAAATTTATAAAAACTTTACTTGCTTGAAGTGTAATGAAAAAGGTCGAACTTTTTTGAGTGCTGAAGCTGTACAGAAGCACATGCGCGATAAGGTTTATTACTTCTCTCTGGTTTTATAAAATTTAGTTTTTCTAATTTTTATATCCTTTTTTAGATTTTTTGCAAGTTTGCCTTGATTACTCTTTACATTTTATATTTATGGTCTAGATAGCTTCTTGTTTTCTTCTACGTATATATGTATATACTAAAAAATATTGGATTTTTATAAGCAAATTTTTTTTCTGAGTACTTTTATTTATTTTATTTATATATTGTTTCATATTTAAATTTCTGATTTATTTTTTTCAAAAATTTTTAGGTACTTTAGCTTTATAATTATTTTGCTACATATTCTAAAATATTGTTTTATATATTTTTAAGTTCACCATTAAGAAATCTAGTTTCTAACTAGATTTATTGTTACTCTTAACACGTTTGCTTTACTATTTTCTCTTGTATTTTGTGTTTTTTTAAATTTTTTGCATTTTTTAAGTAATCCACATATACTATCAGGGACACAACACTATCTCTTTTGAAAGAGAGGAAACTTTGGAATATAGCGATTACTATGACTACCGGCCTTCCTACCCCGACTACGATCCCGACAATCCTGTTTGTTTTTAATTTAGATTTATCGAACCCTTCATTTTTATTTTAATTGATTAAAAAGAGATAAACTTTATTAATTTATTAATGTTTATTTATATTTTAATGTACAATTTCTAATTTATTTTAGCACATTTTAAAGGTTAGTTCTTGTTATAAATACTGCTTTAAAAATTCAAGTTACTAGATTTTTATTTACGAGTGTTTTATGGTTACTAGTGCTTAAGTTAATTTTGTTTATATCTTTGGTAATATAATCATAAATTAAAGCGTATACACCTCTAAATAGTATTATAAATATATTTAGAGTATTATTTACTTTATTGTGAATATCGTTATTATTGCAATCAGTTATATATAACAGGTATTATAGTTTTTATCAGGCTTTTTTATTATTTTTTTTAATTATATACGAAGATTGACTATTTAAACATTTTATTAAAACAGTTATTTAAAAAGATTTTTATTCTTTTTATAATTGTGTTTTGTCATCTTGAGGAACATAACATGATCCCACAACTCGACTCGCCTCGAATAGACTTCGAGACGGCTGAGCTTGTGGCTCCGGACGGGACACGTGCAGCGCATAGGAGTCTGCTATATTATTATAAACGCTATTCTTTGCGAGATGGCTGTGTGGTTGTTACCACCAAGAAGGTCATTAGTTATGTTAATTTCTTTTTAAATTACTGCCTTTTAATAGTTATTGGCATTTAATTTATAACAGAGTTGCGAAGTTAATTCTTTTGCACCTCCCCAAAGTCGCTTCTTGCGAAACTCTCAACGCTATAAAGCCGAGCTTGATAAGAAGTGGTACACCCGACTCGGCTCGAAGACGAACAGCCTGCAGCGTCGTTACTTTCGGCCTCAAGTCATCTTCTGATCTGGAAGTGCCGTTTTCCCTTGGAAAAGTAATCTTCTAGCACATCTCAAAGAAACCGGCAATGCTAATTTATACGATTAACTTGACCTCTTAACAGTTTACCTGAAAGATTTTCTAACTAATTTTTTTTGGTAATAAACGTGACAAAATATAAATTTAAAGAAATAAGTAGAAAATATATAGCCCATCATTAAATTTAATCAAATTACAACACGCGCCCGTAAAGTATATTCCGATCATATCAACTTCTTAAGTTCAGCAAATAGAAAAGCAAAACATTAAAAAATTAAAGAAAAGTTGTTATAATAATCAATAATAGCTCTTCTATTATTGTAAACTGTTGTATCAGACTAAGCCGGAAGAGTGGTTTTGGATTCAGCAATTTTCATAGCCACGGAATTACTTAGTTCAGATTCCTTTTTCACTCTTTTGGTTTTTCTTTTTTTATCTGTTTATAATAAAAAAATATAATAAAATTAATTTTATAATATCCAATACATTTTATAAATATATAAAAGCACAATTATTAATAACTAACGGCTTCGAATAATCTAAAAATATTTTAAATTAAGCAAATCATTTTTGATTTAAAATAAATTCTAAAAAGTATTGACTATAACAAGCGAGTAAACACCTTTGCTTAAAAAGTTGCGCCATTCAGCGACTCTTGAATCTCTCTGGTCTTCCCAGTTTTTTTCAGCTTCCGCTTTTTTCCTTTTCAATTCCTTTTTCTCTTCCTCCTCCTTTTTTGCGCGGCCTAAATAAAAATTACAAACAATTAAACTATATAAGCTGCCTTTGCAAAGCGAAATGATAAAAAAAGGTTAATCTAAGTAAAAAATAAACTAATAACCTTCTTCTTCTGTCATCCTTCTCTCTAGTTGCCTTTTTCTCCACTGCACAAGTAAATATTAAAACGTACAAGGGCACTTGTATAAAATTAGTAAACAGTACCTCGATATCAGCCAAGATTTTATTAACTTGTTTTCTCAGTTCCAGCTCAAAAGCAGAAGTTTTTAAGTATGGATCTCCTGGCTAAAATAATCTACTAACTGTATTAACATTAATAATATAAAAAAAATTACTTTGAGTTTGCGCTGGTGAATAATCATCGCCTTTGCATCGTTAACGGTAGCCTTTAACACATTTTTACGGCCTTTAAGATTAATGAAAAAGGTGTATATATTAAATAATTATTTGGAAGAGGAAACCTTCCTCTTCTATCTCTTTTTTAGCCGTTGCTAGAAGTTGAAAGGCAATTTTAGCTTGGGGATGCTTGCAGCGATCAGGATGAACTAGAAGAGAACGTTTGCGATATTGTTTGTTTATTTCCTAAAAATAATAATAAATCAGTAAGTAGAGATTAAAGGTATATAATACATTGTTAAATTGCTTACTTCTGTAGAGGCATCAATATCAACTCCAAGCTGTTCCCAAGGATTTAATTTAAAAGCTTTTAAAATACGTTCGACCTCTAGAGCCGCTTCTGTTTCCGAGAACTAGAAGATGTTAGATATGAAGTACTTTAAAAGCGTAAAAAGTCAATTTTAAACATAACTTAGAGACTAACAATAGAAGAATTTATTAGACAAGTAAACACACAGCTAATAAAACATTTATATGAATTAAGTTTAAAGAGGATACGAACTTCTCGAATGGTCTGCGCGACATCTAAATTGTTATCTTCCATTATACTCATCCATGTAATAGCGTCGAAAGTAAAAATAAACTTTTTAAGTGCGTAGTATAACAAAAACAAAATACATCCTAGAGGAGAGGGATGAGGCCCTGTCAATGTGGCTTCAGCTGTTTCGGTAAGGGCTGGTAATTTCTTGGCGTGGTAAAAAAGCTAACTAGCAAGTAGTCAAATAATATGCTTCTCCCTTTTTTCCTTCCGCAAATAATATTGCATTAACGCAGAGCTATGCGTGAAGAGGACACTTTAAAAGTGTGTTCCTAAATCTATTGCGATCTCGATATTTTAACATCGATGAGTTGGGCATGCAAGTCATCAGGCCCCCACGTGTGTCTTAAGTACACATGAAGAGATAAACAACAAAGGACGCGATAAAGATTTACATCCATTTTCGCAAATACATATATTTAAAAGGGACAGATAGGGACGCCTCCTTATGCAAGATTATCAGATGGTAAAAAAGTGACACTTTTGTCGATTCAGTATATGTCATCTGTCCTTTCACGTACTACTGAAGACCTTCTTAAATCGAGCTTTTTATGTCGCCGGCGAGCCTCTCTTTCTGGCTGCAACAAACAGTAGTCTAGAAATCGTTCACTTATTCTTAAGGACATCACCAGGTGCGGTGCAATTTATTATCATTTGACTTGGGGACCCCACGCTTGTTATAATGACTTCGAAGACACGACGGCTGGAAACCTCTTACCAGCTGTTGGCACCCTTCATGTGCTAATAAAAAAAAGCGGACTTAGACGTTCGCGATTGTCGAACGGGTACCTTATAACGGATTAACCTTTTATAGGTTACTGGTTACTATGTTTACCACTTGTCGCCTAGGCTCAATTCGTGATTTTCCAGAAAAAAACAAAATCTATTTTAAGCATAGGGTTTTGCCCGTTAAAAGGTTAATCGCACCCAACTATGGGGGCGTTCTCTTTTGGAGTTGCGGTTAATTTCGACAGCGATTATTAAAAAGTTTAGGTTTAGACGCCGGCGGAGGCACCCTCCCATGGAATCAGCTCGTCTGTCCTACATGTCTTTACTTTTAAGATAGCGACTGCCGTTTTTCTCCGATTTTGAGAGAGCATTAAATGGATTTTGGAAGGAGAGCTTGTTTCACTAGCTGCGAGCCCAGGTGCTTCTCATGTCCTTCACGAATTGCGCAATTTTTACTTTAACCTCCGCGTCTTTCGCAAATGTTAGGATTGGATACCTTTATAAATGATTTCTGCCCCCTTAGGATAAGCGTCCACTTTTTGACGTGGTGGAAAAGCTAACAGCGATTATACGCTGTCATTTTCAGAACACTAGTAGCGGGGGCCTCTCTTCTCCTGCCTTCACTTTTCGCACTCTATGTGAGCAACCTGTCAAGGTTAATAACAATTTACTAGTCGTTGATGTTGACCATGCAAGCGCCTTGCAGTGCTTTGCCGAAAAACGCCGTCAGTAGATAACGTAAAGAACTAGTATTTTTTAATACGTATAAGTGCACTATAATATAATTTGTAAAAGTAAGTAACCAACTTCTAAACTTTGAAGAAGAGAATAGCAGCAGTGTATCAAACCCAAAATTGAGTTTGTGCGTCAATTTTTTAAACCTCTAGGCTACGACGGCAACTCCTTCCCGTGGAGAACCTGTCACAACGCGCAGCAGTTTGTTTCTTGGTTTTTGAAAAAAGCAATCTACTGAACCGTAAGCTTGGGTAACATTTGGCCACCGTCTTGCACTGTAAGCGGGAAGTACATTCTTCTAATTTCTTTATACTTATTTCTAGTTAATTCTTTAAAAATAATAAATTATAGAATTCGGAGTTGCGCTGTAATTATTCCTAAGTAGCAAATATAATATGTTAAGCAAACACCTCTTTGTTATCTTTACATCTACAGGCTTTAGTTTCATAACGAATTTTGGCATCTAAGCGAATGCATCGCGTTAATTAAACTAATAGCCCTCAAGTAGGTAAACTATGACCTGATTTGGAAGGCGCCAGGACTTCAATCACCGATCGGGTTTATAGGAAGCCTCTCACCAGGTGGGAAAAGATTATTTTTTTTAGTTATTTTCTTTTTAATAAAGAGCCACTTTACTTTTTTTTTCATGACTGTTCTGCTTTAGCTCACACTTGTTCTTTATTCGTTCTAATAATCTCCGTTTTTTTTTATAGTCATGAATTTGCTTTTTTTTATTTTTAAACTTCTAGTTTTATTACGCTAATTCGGTTAGTTTTCTTCTCTTTTTTACCTTCACAGAACGTCCTATCCTTTCCTATCCTTTCCTTGGGTTTACTGCAGACTTCAGTCACTATTAAATTACTCCACTTCTCTCCATCATTAGTTCATTCAATGTTTAATTAAATTTCTCTTTTAAATAATATTGATGTACTTCCCTATATTTTTACTTGTTTCTTAACTTAGGCATTGGTATTACTGAACTTTCCACCATTAAGTCCCCAGCGATACTAACTTGTAGTTAAAAATATCATAACCACAATTCCCAAGTAGGGCATTCTAACCTTGGGCCCTAATCTAAACCCTTATTCTTTATTAAGACCAACATAAATTTTTAAAATTAAGAAAAAGTTTGATAAGCTTAACTCTATTATTTACTAAAAGTGTTTGAGGTTAAAAACTCGCTAACAGCCCGGACATATATATTCTGTTTAACTTTTTAATACATAAAATAAAGGACTCTGTTCTTTTCCAAGCTATAAAATAGCGCTTTTTTTACAATATTATAGGAACTACCTACTCGATAGTTATATATAAAGACAAGACTAACTACTGAAGAAAAGGGAAAGAGAAAAGCAAGGCTCGTTAGTTGTTATCGAAACCTCCTTTGATTTTTGGGGCTCATTAATGGGGGCGTTTTTTAATAACAAAATAAGCGTGTCTACCCGAATGGTATTTGGTTCGATTCATTGTTATGTAAAATGTCGACCAAGTAGTTAGTTACACAAGAAATTTAAAAAACTTTTAGCTTGATAGATGATAATTAAAATTCGATCGTATGCATCAAAATAATTGTTGTTCTTTCTATCAATTAGTTTGTCTACAGTTCTCTATATTTTTAAAATTTTTATATACTTAAAAAATATAAATTTTTTTCAAAATTTGTTTAATAAATAGCGACTAAGTATCCATGAAAGAATTAACTTCGGAAGAGTGGTTTAGTTGTATTGAACAAAAAAATCTTATCCGGGTTCGGCAGCTGGCAGTTCACATTCGTGAAGCGAAGAAAAAAAGTAGTTACTACTGATCTGATTGGTTTTTAAGTGTAAAGGACAAGGCACATTTTGTATTATGTTATAATGCTTTTCTTTTTCTTTTTTAGATAAACTAAGAAAGGATAAAAAAAAGAAAAATATAGTAACAGAATTTGGACATTACAACGAGCAAGGCGATGCCGCCATACATATGGCCATTCGCTTGGGATATCTAGTGCTTTTTACCTTTTATATATTTCTACGCTGCTAATAAGAAATTAGATTGTTATTGTTTTATATATATAACTTTAAGGACATTGTAGCACTTTTATTGGTAAATGGGGCTAATATCGAACAAAGAAACTCTAGCCATCACACCCCTTTGATGGTCGCGCTCCTCGAGTTACAACTGACTATCGCTACGTTTCTTATTCAAAGGGTTTTTTAACATCTACTTAGAATTTTGTGTTAGTGTAAGTTAATACTGTCTTCCAGGGTGCTAATCCTTTTCTCTCTGACGGTGATGGTTACTCCATCTTGCATCTTGCTGTAAAAACAGCCAACAAGGATATTGTAAAATCTGCATTAAGTTAACTTTCACCAAATTTATAGATTTTTGATTTTAAAATACTTTTATAATATATTTTAACAGTAATATGATGATAACTACACTATTTCATAATTTATTATGCTTGTAATGATGTTAATTTGTTAGCGTGGGAGATGACCTTAAATGCTAAAGACGTTCAAAACCGCACACCTCTTCATCATGCTTGTTATTAATTTAGTTTTATTTATTAACTTGTTCTGGAAATTAAAAAATTTATAACTATTTTTAACTAGCCTTAAGTGGAAATTTTGAGATTGTAAAGATGCTGGTTGAGGCTGGTGTTAACATATTAGAAAAGGTAAACTTATAAGCTCTTTCTTAATACTATTATTTGCCTTTTTGGTTTTTTTTTCCGGTTTTATTAACTTTATTTTATTTGCGATTTTTTACTTAATGTAAGGTAAGAAATTATTATATACCTTTTTATTATTTCTATAAGCCTCTCTGTCTATAGTGAATATTGCATATACTTTATTACTTAAATTATCTTTTCTTGAAAAATAAATTCATATAGGATCTCTGTGGAAGTAAAGCTTTGCATTTGGCAAGTAATAAAGAAGTGAAAGTAAATTATCAATTCCTTTTTAATTTTTAAGTTTAAGTTTAACTTTTTTTAGGAATATCTGGAAGAAAAAGAAAAGGAACTTAAAGAAAGTTTACCTTTTCTATGCATTTATATACAATACTATTTATCCTGTTATTGTTTTACCAGAAAGAACTTCTTTCAGTGAAGAGACCAGCGCTGATGAGCCGGAAGTTCAGCAAGTAAAACTTTTGCAAATTATTTAAGTTTTATTTTCAACTTATTTAGTACTCCTTTAAAAGTGCTTTAGCTTAATCGTAACTACTTATAAATATAATTTATTACTAATTTTAATTAATTTATTTGTAAAGCGTTATTAACATTGTCCCTTTGTGATTAGGAATCTGCCAAGATCTACGACTCTTCCAAAATTACGGTTGGCCATCCCAATCTTGAGAGCGACAATTACTATGCTATTTTGGGCGTTGATGAAACTTTTGATTCTGGAAGCCTTAAGAAAGTTATTCATTGTTATTTTTTGGTTTAATCCTATTCCTTCATTCTCTGTATCTACTCTGTTAGGCTTTTTTTAAACTTGCCATCCACTACCATCCCGACAAGAATCCCGATGCCGATCAAAATATTTTTAAAAAGATCCATGAAGCGTACACGATTCTTAGTGATTCAGTCCTTCGCGAGGCATACAATCGTCACGGTCTTGCGGGGTAAAGTTTTTTTTGTTAAGCTTCGGCTTGCCGTCTGCTAAGCAACTTAAAACTTCCTCTAGCCTTGAGGAAGTCAAGGCGCGTCGACAGAATGTGCAGCCCGCTTGGAGCAAAGAGGAGCTCTACGATTTTATGGAGGAAAGAATGAAGGGTTTTGAGTCAGCCAACAGGAAGTTTGTAATTCTCCGTCTTCTGTTTTTCTAGCTGGCCTATTGGCTTACGGGGGCGTGTAGAGTTACATTGATGAAGTCTTGGAGAAGATCAACGCGCTTTCTGGCCTCACACAGTCCGGCGAGACCGCAGAGGAGGAGGAGGAGGAGGACAACTACTACCACCAATTCTTTGACACATCCCTCGACGAAGCGTCGCACCCTCAGCAGCACAGAAGCAGGTTTAATCAATGCTTTACTAAATGCTTAATAAATTCCTTTTCTTATTAGTAAATATTTATTGCTTTTTATTAGTATACCGAGCAAAACGTCGAGTGTCTCTGAGAAGACAAAGGAGGATCAACTACCTTCTAAAAACGCTCTTGATCTCTTTAAAGACTTTGACGATAATTTTGATCTGTAGAGACATAAAAGTCTGTTTATTCCTTATTATTCTCTAATTTTTTTTAAGTTTTTTAATACAACTTGTACGTCTGCTTGTACGCACTAATATGCCGTTAAGTTTTTTATAGAATAAAGTAAGTTTCATTATAAGCAATGACTAGCCGTTGACCGCTGGTTTGTAGGATCGTTGCAAGTTTACACTTTGTTGCCTTTACTTCCATCGTTACAACTGCATAGAGTGACAGTTCTTCATAAGGCCTTATAAAAATTGAATTATACTGGACTTCTTTATTTTAATTTTTAACCTGTTGAAAACGAGCGTTAGGGTCTTTAACAACATATAGGAAACTATTACTCTAAAATAAAAAGAAGTTGTTTTTTCATTCAATTATATATTGAATAAGATTGCAACGTTTAAAGTTAGGTCTAAAGTTATTAGACTTGCTTACCTTCTACATGTGAGCGATATACAACTAAAATTATTAATATTAAAGTGATATGTTAAAACGAATAACTGAACAATTAGCTGAAAGCAAATTTAGTAAAAAAAAAATTAGTCAAATTATGTTAAATAACAGTTCTTGTACCAATGAGTTATAAATTTTGAAAGGTATTTTTATCTTGCTCAAGCCTTTCTGTACACCCCCTTACATAAAGGATTACAAAGTGATTGAGAAAAATCTACTAAATTTTGTGTGCAGCTAAAAAGGAGAAACCGTTTTTTACGCATGATTTTTATTTAACTCTTGTTCAGTTACTACCTCTGCCAGCGTATTATAGTACACGTGCTTATTGTCAGATTTTCCTAATTCATTTTTTTGGTTATAACTCCTGTTCATGTTTCCTGAGGATAGCTGTTTCTTTTTTTGTTATATGTGGTTTTTATGGGGATCAACCTACGCGTATGATAATAATAAATTTTTTTCAGTCAGTAAGTAGGGACATGAACACAATATTACTTGCATACTAAGCTTCGTTTAAGAGGGTTCAGAACTTAAGTTTTAACCACCTCTTTAATGGTAGAGCATAGATCACTACGAGAGGTGTCCTCCCGAAGGAGTAGGTTAAAATGAAATCAAACATTTTTCAGGTTTGTATCCTTGCTTGTTTTGCATGGTAGTACTGCATTAGTGCGCTTTTATTGGAGGCAATACACATGTATATTAATCCTAATTATTCAATAAAGTTGTAAGTTTTTTCTTTACATTTGCTGGTCTCTTTTCCTTGTTCTTATATAAATGTCGTTAGACGGTTTTTAGAGTCTGCATGCCGTCAGTCGCTAAGGTCAAACTATTATATTTTAACAGGTTAACATATCAATTTTTTTTAAACAAACGTAGTGTTAAAAGCTTCAATAATGCTCAGAAGATGGCCACCAACGAACGACGGTTTTAGGCTTTCTGGAGGCCTCCAAGAATTATTCCTATTCTGGCGTTCTTTTTTTTTTAAGCACTGCCACTCTAGGGCCGGTCTTCTTGAGACCTTTTAGCCCCTTAATCTGAATTCTATCTTCTGCAGGGGATTGGAGCACGGTGACCCACCAGTTTATGCTCTTTAGAGTGTTATAAAAACTGCACATAAGGGCTGAAAAAGTGGTAAATATCTGACCCGGACTCCCGCCATTCGGCCTAGTGTGGTCAAAGTCGCTAAAAATAACCACCGGGAGAGGTGGTTAGGCACAGGCCCAAGACCACCTGGAGACGCCGGCCAGCACCACTGCCAGCCAGGCCTCCCCGGTTATGCTCCTCGCCAGATAGGAGACACCCTTTGAGGCTTTCTTGTTTAACCATATATATATAATACAGTTCATAAGTTCCCGGCCTAAGGATGTGAGAACAAATCTTTTATTATTTTTCAATAATTTCCTCGCTTTTCAACACCCTTATTATATCGGTAAATTAACTTTTTTAAACCTCCCATAAATATAGTCTGTATTTTTGTCTTTAATAATGTGCATAAACGGCTCATTTTCTTAACTATCTTTGTTAAATCTCCTCCCCATAAATCCAATTTCAGTTTTGCAAGAAGTAAATAGTCGCTGGGGGCCAAGCCTGGATTTTTAAGTGCATGGTTCAGTTTAATAAAGCCACGCTCACGAACTGCAGCTTTAGCAAGAGCACTGTGGTGCAGAGACTCACATCTCGACTAAGTATTCCAAGCTGTTTTCCCTTGTTGACAACAAGCAGTTATGTAATCAACTTGCGTAGTACATCCCATTTACGGTGGTGTTCCTCTCTTTAGAATCCACCATCAGACCATAACTTTTTTTGTGGATAAAAATCTTGCTTTTTTTGGTGGTTTTACTCCTACGACGCCACTTCATTGATTCTCTTCTCGATTAAGGATCATAATAAAGAACCATGACTTCGTCTCCAGTAACTAATGAACTCAATTACATCATTCTCATTATCGTGACAAGCTTTAAAAAATTCGCGACAGCAATACACTCGTTTATGTTTTTGAAGTGGAGTGAGTAGTTTGGGCACCCAATCTGCGCTTACCTTTCTCATTAAAAATGGTTGCGAAGAATTAGAATAACCGTCGTTTTCGAAATATTGGGGTAGATTCTGTCAGTTCTTTGGTATTAAAACGGCGATCACCTAGTACCACTTTTTCTTGGCCGCTTCTGCTGGACGATCTCGACGTGGAACATTTTCGACAGAATCTTCCTAAACGGAAAAGTTTTAACCATTCTTTTACTGTGGAATGATGGCGAAGAATTACTATAAACGTTATCCAAACATTGCTTAATTTCTGTAACGCCCTCTTTAGTGATAAACTTTATCACTGATCTTACTTCAAGCCAAACAATTAGAAAAAATTTTAAACACGACGCCACTTAGTGGACCTTTACTTTGTCGTTTGAACAGATAAACGATTGAAATTTGTTTCACAAGCTATTGAGATATAGTATTTACAAAAATCCTTTCATTTTTTTAAAATAGGGGAAGAATTTATGGACCATACTATCAAAAGGACCAAATACTAGCTTCAGGGCAGAGTTGAACATAATGAGAGATTTTAACTAAAAGCAAGCAAGGAGCTGGTGAATATGTATAGTATTAAACAATACTATTGTTCCTCGATGCACCTGCTGCAAGTCACTCTTTATAATTAGCAAGTTATTAAAAAAATTTAGGTGAAATTAGTATCTGTTCTTAATGACAAGTTTTGACGGAGGGATCCATAATAAGAGAAAGCGAGCTAATTACTTCAAGCTAAGTACTTTACGCTAAAGTAAAACTAGGTACTACCACAGCGCCCACTATTTTGACGTTAATAAGATCTTATGAAAGTGAACCGAGTCAGTTAAATTTCCTTTAATATTTAAGACACTAAAGAAGCCAACCAAGGAAACTATACGAGGACCTAGTCAGTGAGCATAAAAACGCCAGTCCAAAAAACAATTTTTTTAGTAGTCATTATCATAGAAATCCCTATTTTATTATCTAACTAAAGGGACAGCTCCAAAGTCTGTAAGTAGGTCATTACACAGATACTAGAAAGGTACAATAATTGTTTAAAGTGCTACGAAAATTTGGTAAACCCCCATGCGACTGTCTTAACTGCCTTTTGTTAAGATATTACTAGCACCAACAACTTTTAGCTTCCGTGTTTGAACTTAAATTATCTTTAAATAGTGTTCTTTACCAGTATATATAAGTATATCGCGCCGCTCCCTCAATGGATTTGAATAGGAGAAAATACCACTAATCTTCGACTACATATACTCACAGCTTGAGAGAAGTAGATATAAAATATGTATATATATTCTGCATCCAGCTCTTACTATAGCTCTAAAATAAAGGAGCGACAGGCGGACGGCGATACCCTGCGCTCTTCAGGTGCTCGTGGCAGTTTGCTTCCTTAACGGTCCTTGTATGTGCTGGGTTTAACGTTCGTAGAAGGACACGCATCGATAAAAGGTATTATGTGTTTTTAACTGGAAATTATGACTTTCTCAAAGGGCTGTGGAAAGGTAAAAATTTCTAGCCAGGACTCCACAAAATTAATTAAGTGCGACGAAAACCGCTATAATCCTTCAACCTGGTAGTATCCATTTATGAGTGAAATTTTCTCATAGCTTTTTGCTAAAAGTCAGAGCTCCCAAGTTGTCAGCTTTTCAGTAGAGAGAGTGCCCTATTCACCACATTTATTTATTTACAATTGCCATTTAATACAGTTAGTTCCCTAACGTTGAAATGCCTTGAGCTTTTAATGTAAAATTACTAAATTCACTTATAAAGTTCAAAAGTCTCATGACCGTTAAGAAACCTCAAATTTAACTTTATAAAATAAGCTCTTCTAGAGTGAACTAGAACTTAGCTGTTCGGTGCTAAAGGTTAAGAAGTTAAGTTTAGCAAGCTATCTTAAACCCTGTTTTACCATTAAAATGCTTCTAACCTATACTGCTTATTCTTTGAATTCCCCAACCAATGAAGCCAAAGCCCTTTTTCAATCAGTTTGCTTGAATTATAAAGTTTGAATACTTACCAAATTAATTTGGTAAGAGAACTTTACGCAGCAACAACTTTTTCGTGGATAAAACCTTCAATATAAAGGTAATAGGCCCCGTTTTATTTACTATAAGAAAGCGTAGACTGAGTTTAATACGGAAACTTGACCTTACAAACTGCACACCTGGTTTTCTTTTAAATGGCTATGCGATGTGCTTAAATTTATCCATATAACTCCCTGTGCCATTTTACTGTCAAATATTGCTTTAAAAAAAGAGGGCTTACACTTAATTATTACAGCTATAAAAGTGAACTACACCGACAGGTATCAACCCGCGGCATGGGTTTAATGACTCAATGCTCTAACCACTGAGCTATGATTAAAACTCACATTACTCAATAACGAATTACGTATACAGCTTGCGCAAGCGACTTCCCCTAAACGGTATCAACCAGAAAGCACAGTTAGATAAAACTGCATTTATTTGACTATAAGCTGTCAACGACTAGCTTCTGTGAGAACCTACGAGTGAAGATTGACCGACTGGGTCACATAAAATGCGAAGAATAAGAAAATGAAATTAAAAAATGCGGACCGCTTCTAGTAGTCTTTTAAGCGACTGTGTAGAGTTAACATTCGTAGAGCGAGGTATCTTTTGCTGCGTGGAAGCGCGCTTATGCCTTTAAAAGGTGGTTAGCATCGAGAATTATCCACGTGTGTTGAAGCCCCCATGTTCCGAACGAACCTTCCAATATTATGTCCTTGGGGAAGGACTCAGTATATTTTTGCGTAGTCCGGCGTCCGGAGGCTGAACAGTTTTTTGTGGCCTCGGTAGCTCCATGTGGTTTTTTACTTCCTTCTTCCTTAGCTTTTTATATATCCTGCCGTCCTGTTTTGGTCATGATTGCGTAATAACTTTATTTTTACCACGAAATAAAAAATATATAACCAATTTTTTACCTATTAATTTTTTTTAAGACTTTCTGGGATGCGTGGTTATTCGCCTCTTGGACATCATGATAAGCAGGACGATCGCAAAAGGAGATACCTTAGTCGTTCTCCATCTAGGTAGGAAATCGAATTAGAACTTTTCTTCAGGCTGATAAAATAACTTGGAAGCCATTTTCTTGGATTTATTATTTTCTTTTTTGAAAACCCCCCGCAATAAACCCCACCATCTTTTTTATTTTAATTATCTTTATACTATAATTTAACTAAAGGTTAAAATGGAATAAAAAAATTACTTTTTTAGAAGCAAGAATATGTGAAATAAATTAAATTATACAATGTATAGTAGTTAGTTACGTAAGTTCTTTTTGTTTTCCTGGTGGTAATAATCAGGTAATTATTGGCTATTTAACCTTCTTATATTATTAAGTCTTTTAGACGAGTGTTATAATTTTTTATATTATGAACTTTGGCTTTAAAATTACGTTTAATTAATTGGTTAACAACGCGTTTAATTTAGAAGATCCCGATCGAGGGAAAGAAAAACTATAAAAGCACGCTCTCGATCCGTGTCGCGCTCCTGTACACGTTCACGAAGCCGTAGCCCAGTTAAACACAGAGAAAGGTTTCTTTTATATTATATTGTATATAGAAAGGTAAGCGTAATAAATAATATTGTCGTGCTTCCAGACACAAGTACTCACCTTACAGACAAAGTAAAAAGGTAAAAGCCGAGTACGATCCCTTTGGGCGCACTCTTCGTGACTCCAGACGCAAGGATAAAAATGAAAAGGACTATCCCCTTACTTATTCTAGTTACTACGATCACGATGTCTATGGTGATTCGAGACATAAGACTTATAGCCGAAGGGAAAGTTTCGAGGATGAGAGGGATCCCGATCTTCGTTATCGTAGTTTAGGTTATGATAGAGGCTACGGTCGCCATTATAAACATTATCGGTCGAGCGACTTTTGGTATAATGATGCTTACCACCGAGAGGACTTTGAGAATGCCAGACGATACACTGATTTGCACAAAGAGCGACGACCTTCTGGCAGTTTTTTAGATTATGATTATGACGGGGAATTTTACGATGGGAACTCCACAGATGTGCACGCTGGTGGGGGGAGTATGATGACCTTCCAGCAGTTTATTGGAACCCTTAATAACGATGTAGAAGAATCTGCGGCTGCTAAGCGATACACCGAGTATAAAAACAACTTTGCGAAATCGGCTATACTTGAATTTTACGAGGAGCATGCAGAGCAGGATTGGTTAGTCTTCTGCAGAAGCAGCTTTCATGCTGCTCACTTATGTTATGATATTTACTGAAGGTTTAAAGACAAATACGATCCCGAGCAAATTGAGAAGGCCAATGCGGAACTCTCAGCTATGGTTAGTTTTCGCCTTCAGGCACTCCGGGAATTCTTAACCGACGCCTGCGATTTTGAGGAGGATGTGTTAAGTTTAGATAGCCTGAACACCCTCAACGTATTAAAATTCTTGTCAAAAGGTAAATATATAGGATATTTATTTATTTGTACGTTTGTGCTAATATATATGCAGTGAGGAATAGAACTAACGAATTGCTTGAAATCGATGTTCGACTCAAACGCGGGGAAACTATAGAAACCATTCAGCAGTCCATTGAACGCTCGAAGTGCAACCGCGAGGGAAATGCAGTCACATCTGAAGTGAATGTGGTGGAGGAAAGTAGAGAAGAGTCTCATGATACTGTAAAGGAATTAGGAGAAACAGAGGAAGTTCGAGAAGCGGGAGAGGAAGAGGAAAATTCTCAAGGAAAGCCCTCAAAGAAGAAGGGCAACGGAAAGGAATTCTATAACAACGATTTTATTATGAAGCTGTACAACATTCACGAACCCATCGGATTCATAAAGCCCGTTCCTCCCGTTATATCGCCCCATCAAATTCGCGCATGTCTTCTTGAGAACAATATCCCGTTCATCGACTTGTCCTTTTCGGCTCCCCTACCGATTCGCAAGTTTTACCGCATGGTCTGGGTGACGTTCGACTCCACCGTTTCCCACGAGGAAAAGTCTATTCTAGAGGCCTGCAACAGAGTTAACAATCTCGCCATTCCTTTTCCCACTGAAAACTCTGGCAAAAGCCCTGAAGAGGGCAGCAATGCTCTGGAGACTCATTACTTTTTCCTACGCTGCACAATTAACCGCAGGAACAGACTGAACAGGATACGGACTTACTCTCAGCCGGACCTGGAACGTAGTAGGAAAGATCTGAAGCAGCTCTGTTCTCTTTGTGAGCACTTTAACGACTCAAGACAAGTGGATGCAGCAGTTTACAATGGGCTACTGCGCCAGGGACCCGCCGATGAAAACTCTTTGACCGACGTATTAAAGGTTAACAAGATCAAAGATGTAGCCTCCATCAGGTGGATTTAACTTTAACCACCTAACAACAGGCTGTTGACCGTTTGGTTATCTATCTTCGCGCGGTCCACTGTTATTGTTACTTTTCAGGATATGTATGCGACAGCGTGGAAGAGCTGCGCCACCAGTGCGGGGATGTACACGTGAGGCTCTCAGGCAGTCCTGGGCATTATCAGTACCGCACCGGTGCAGAGGATGTCTTAGTTTATATTTATTGCCTCGTCTTATTTGTATGACTGCAGACTGGGAGAAAATAGCGGATGAGGCTTTTGCAAGAATCATGAAACCTAAATTGAGTGTAGAGGAGGCCACGCCTTTGGGTTACAAGGACTGCGAAGAAGAGGAAAAGAACTTCCTAGACTCAAAAATAATGAAGCTGGAAAAAGAAAAATTCAAATGCGCCATTTGTGGAAAATGCTTTAAAGGCTACGAGTATGTGGAGAGGCACATCCCCTATCGGCACAGTTCGGATCTTATCGAGCATCGAAACAAGGTGGGCTGTGCTTTGACTTCGCCTTTCTGTTTTTTACCGTTTTTGCATCAGACTCTGCGCTTCAATAATTTCGTACTGGATCCTTGCCGTCCCTCTAACGTTTTTGCCCCCAAGTACTACTCTGTTTACCCATACGCCCCCTTCATTGCGGGCATGGGCAGTGTGGCGCCACCAGTCAGCTTCTATCCACCATACAGCCCCTTTATGGTTCAGTCCTATGCAGGGCCCTATGGGCGCCTCAAGCAGTACTCAGGACCCGCTTTGGCTGGAGCCCTGCATTACCCCTCGCCTTACTATCCACACCCGGCGAATCGGTTTCAAAGGCCCGTATTCAGCGCCGTTCCCTTTAGTCGAAATCCTTATCGTGGTGGTAAGTACGTCGCCCTGGCGGCCATTTTGTGGGATGCTCGACTGCTAACTGGGTTTCTCAGGCTACCACGGGAGAGAGGCGCATTATGACGCATATGGACAACGAGCCTTTTCCAACCGCCATCGACATGTACGCCTGCCTCCACCAGGGTTCTAGAATCTCATTTTTTTTTGCTTTTTACATATACATCGTTGTAAGAGTTTTTTTTCTATACTGTAGCGTAGTAGAGGATCCCCGCCAGCAAAATATAAAGCGCTATGTTGACTTGGACGCGCCCGTGTCCGATGACGTCGTTGACTACCGCGGGGTTATTAACCAGCCCGAAGAGTAGAATGCTTATGTTACTGGTTGCTTGTAGACTACATCATCGCTGGGCGCACGTAAAAGTCGCCCTTTATTTCAGAAGTTATATATATACTGCATTCGTTAGTTACTTATAATAAAGTTATTATAGAAACTATTAAGTTCTAGTTTTTTAAAATGAGAGAAGCCCGCTAAGATAAGGCAGTAGCTCTGATTTCTGGTATACTGCACTGAATTTGTGTTTGACGAAATCTTGCATCCCTTCGGTGCAAATGCCAAGAGAGTTTAAGTTTGCGACAACCTATAAAAAATTGTTTAACGTAGATCGTTATGTAGTCACGCAATGAGATTCCACCATTAAAACCCCATACAGCGCTCTTAAGTTGCTGGGATTCATTTCCAGTGCCTTAAGAAAGTATTTCTTGGCCAATATAAGCTTTTCCTCAGCTTTTCCGGTATATTCATTGGTTCTTGTCTGGGCGTAGAGGATCTAACAGAGCACGCATGCTTCTTTCTTAGTATAAAGCGCAAGCAAGCGGCACACGGAGCCCACCTCTCCGTAGTAAACGAAGTAGCCATCGTAATAAGGGGCTCCGGCGATGACTTCCTCAAGGCAAAAGGCCGCAAAGTCGAATCTGAGCTGCTGGATATACAGCTGGGCTAATTGCAGCCAGGCCTCGTAGTCCGTCTGGTAAGTATCCAGGTATTCAACCAGTCCTTGAGAAGAAAATATCTAGGCAGAGCGCGCTGTGTTAACACGTGTTAGCACCTTCGACTGCTTTGCAGTTATTGCCTTGTGCTTTATAAATAGCTATTTTTCTTTTTAAAGCTCGCTTATACATAAGAAAAAGGTTTTCAAATACTAACATTAATAAAAGGTATTTTTAATTGTACCTCGTTAGATTCATCATCTTTTAATACTTGATCGTAAAGTTGAATAGCTTCTTCATATTCTCCGAACATCTCAAACTTAAAACCCTTTAATATTAGAACCCTCGAGGAATTGGAAAATTTTTTGTTTAACTCCTCCCAGCAAATCTATATAATTTTAACGTTATACTATGAATAAACTAATAAAAATCAACAATAATCTAATGTTAAAGTATAAATAGAACAACGAACAAACTTAAATCTATTTGTTTATATAATAAAAAACTTTCAATAAAAGTTGAGGCAATTACGGAATACCTTGATAAGTCGTTGATGATTGCAATCAATCGCGGCAATATAAACGTATTCGTAAATTAGCCAAACTAAAAACAGAAAAAACAATATAAAGAAAATTTTCTAAATGTCTTACTACCTTTATTGCCAAAACATTTTGGTATGTTGAGTAAAAGGGGCTCCGCAAGTTCACAGACTTCCTCACTACGTCTAATGTTAAGGCGCATCCATTCGAGTAACAACCGACTGCTCTCTTTCATTGATTTTATCGCAGGCATACTAAATTATCTGCATATGTAATTAACCTATGAGAATGAATGAATGAAAAATGGGCAGTACCAAAGTAAACATTTTTATAAACAAACTTTAGGTCAACGGTAAAGAAGAGCGCAGGCAGACCGCAGGGGTAACGTGGTTGCTAAGTCTGCTAAACCTTGTTTAACCCTTCATTAGTGTGCAAAAAAATAGTGGCACCATTACTGTTATGGGATATGAGAACCCCCCCCCCCCAACTAAAATAAGAAAAATAATAGTTTCTTTATTTTTCAATAATTATCTCTGCCTTTTATAAATAAATTTTCTACCTGTATCAGGGAATAGGGACTTTTACTTTAAAGCTAAAACACTAAATATTTTACACACCGACGTTCTTTCAATTAACAGATTTTTTCCCGTATAAAGAGCGCCCACTGGATTTTAAAAATCGTACAAAATATTTATGTACAGTTTTAAGAAATCTAACTCTATTATATAACAACAGAAATACTAAAAAAGTATAAAAACCGCATTGAAATATGATAAAAAATGTAATACCTATGATTATTCAAAGACAGCAAAACTTCTAAGGTACAAATTTGCATGATCTAGACGTATGGGGCTATGGCACCTACAGATATAAAGGTTTTTGTCTTTTGCACAAAACATTTTAAACCTCTGGAACATGTTTTATATCTCTTAGCCTAAGGTCCTCCGATATCTCGGTGCATGCGGGCGTAAAACGCGACGAATTCGAGGGTTGCTCTGGCTTATTTTTAAAGTCCTATATTCATGACCTATCTAACTATTCACAAATGATTGCCATCCATACCATAATCTTTGGGTTTTTTTTATATATTGTCTGCGCATTGACACATGCTGTGTTAATTAGAAGATAAAAAGGTATCTTTGTCCTCCATTGGCTATTTCTCGCGACATTATAATTCGCAGATAGTTCATCAAGCGTATCCACCCCTCCCTTATGTTATAAAATTTTATATTTCTAAAAGTTGCTTACCTAAACTTTGCAGAATATATTAATCGGTGTGACGTAGCGTAGAAAACAGAATTACCACTATATTTTTCAAGAGCATGAAACAGTCTCATTAAGGTTGAAAATGCAAATAAAAACTATATATTGCTCAATAAATTTCGAGGAATGTGTCTATCTTTTTTATCGTGCATACATGAATAAGATGGTAATCACCTAATAATTCCATCACCAATGGGCAGCAGGTAAATCAGTTTTCAAACGTGATCGTTTTACCACGTTAGAAGGAGAATTACTTCTTTATTAAGGTCCTTTTGGTTGCATTTCTACATAAACCTCCATGTTTTCGCAAAAAGTTTTTGCACTATCAAGAGCAAAAAAACTTTAAGACCATACTTCGACGGTTTGTTGAGAATATACCAAAAATGAAACTCTACCAAAATGCTTCCAATGTTTCCTCTATGTGAGATACTCACTAGGGGTATAAAAGTTCTGACATTATTCAATAAAATTTTTTGTCATAAATGGCTCTAATTACCACAAAATTTTGTTAATTTCAGTCGTAGAGATCTATTATAAATATTATCATACGCATGGGATGTAATAATATATATTTAAACTTTGTTTTGACAAGGTGACTCTACCCCTCTGCCATGCATACACCAAAAATTTACCAGATTCCTGCCTGTTACCTTTATACAATGCAGTTAAATAAAGTATGCCTTGTACTGTTTTCAGTTCTGTTATATTTGTTGGTTTTACCAAATATTGGGTTTGCAGCATTATATGATTGTGATACTGACAGCAGTTTCACGTTTTTATTTTCATATGTTTCAGCATCTCGTCTGTGAAAAATAAAGACCAAGACTCCAGAATCATGCGTAGGTTTTTTTGCAATTTTTCAACCCGGGAAGAGGGATAATTATATTATCTTGAACGTGTTCTTACGTTAAACCATCTGACATTATTTGCGTCTTGTGGATCCCGTTTGTTATTCTGAACAACGGGAGTACCCCTTGCCAACTGATTCCTTATCAGCCTCTTTTGACTCGTCATCAAATACGTACTAAACTGGTCCCATGAAGCCAGCACTCGTTGCTCATCCTGTTCGTAAGACATCCTACAAAAGGCGTAAAGCTTTTAAGTAATCACATTTGTGAAAAGTAATAAGGAATAGTCATGTCTTATCTTCAAAAGCAATTTCATTAAATCAAGAAACAACCAATTGACTGGAAAGAGGCACCGGATAGGCGTTAAGTATTGAGCATGCGGAAAATAAGGGACGTTGTCAATTTTAGTAGGACACTAAGGAACTAAGACTAGGGTATATCATTTCTCATGGTTCTAACGAAAGGTTGAGGGAAGACCGTACATGCAGCCGTCTATGCAAAAAAAAAAAAAGTGAACTGCACTGAAAAGAAATGAAAGACGTCAACGCTCTCTAAGCACCCAGCCACGAAGACAACTCACATAGCTGGCTGTTGAATTCCATATACATCTTTTAGACATTTTTAAGCTGAGTTTTCTGGTGAACGATGGAGTCGACAAACTGCGAATACTCAAGGCAGCTCGTCACGAGGCGTAGCCGTTTGTTTCATTGCACTAGAAGCGAAAAGGCACTTACTACAAGTTGTACGCCAAACAGTGATAGAGTGAGATATAATGGACCAAATGCAATATGCAGGTAGATGATGCAGTGTGAAGGGTATAACCTTAGAAGCGCTGCCTATATTTGGTCCCTACGTTATTCACCACAGCCTAGAGTCAATGATAATTCCTTGGAACACCACGGAGCAAATAAAGCGGGAGCGCTGCCGGTTTTTGGTTGTGCTTAAGTTTGCGCACGCTTTCTTGGCTTACACTAAAGTTGGTAACCTCCTTGAATCTGTGCTATGGAAGTACTAGTTATAGTAACTTAACTTTCTGGTTAGGTTATATTAAAAGCTTGAGTTTCTCTAGCTATCAAAAAGGGACAGAACAACGCACCCCTAGCTTCGTCGTACAACGGTTGACAGTTACTTTATATTATGGAAGTAAGAACTAGCTGCGTCGATTCATTATTCTCTAAGTCGTCGTAAGTCCTCCCACTCTTTTTGAAAGCTTAATTTATTTAATTTTTTTTAATAAAAGGCTATTTCTTTGTCCCTTCATGCTACTGTTATCATATAAATACATATTGAGGACTTACCATCATACCTACATAATCTATTCAATACAAATTAGTACCGAAATAAACCATAACTGTCTTAAACAGTCGTCTCTCTTTAACTATTAGGCCATTCAATAGTCATCTCGGCCATTGCACGATTTTTTATACAAAGGAAAATATTATTCCGCCCTAATTTTAAAGAATATTGCTCGTATTTTTTCGTTTATATAGTTATAAACACGACTACTATTTCTTCTATTAAGGTAAGTTTACAATATAATAGATTTTTTTTAATAACTTGCCTTTATTTCAGGGATTACAACTTAGTTTTGAAACGTTAGTGGTTTCTTTATTATGCGTTCCTTTTGGCGTAACTTTTTTAAGATTCTTTTTTGTGGACCATAAGTTTCCGAGTGAATTTACTTTATTTTCACTGAATCTAGCACTTATTGGGTTATTCGGTTCCTTTATTAATTTATTTGTGATAGTAGAATTTAATATTGCCCTACAGGCTACTTGCAGTACGATCGACACTTTCAGCTGAGAGGCTCCAGTGAATACCTGTGGATCGTCCTATTTTATAGTTCTACTTGCCTCCTAATAGTACTTGGTAACTAATAATAGTGAAAACCTAAAAGTTCCACTATTTATTACTGAGCAGGATGGCGAAAAAACTTTTTTAACCAAGAATTATTATTGCTCCACGTATACTATAATAATGTAGTCTCTACCTTATTCTTTGTTTTATTCATGGTTACAACTGGAGAATTTGAGGAGCTTATACGAAAAGGTTAGGCAATATTTTAATATTCGTGTTGGTAAATTATTTATTGTTTATAGATTATTTAATCTTTCTTTTATTTAATAACACAGTGGGCACTATAAAGCGGAATATTTTTCATAAAGACTTGATAATTGCTCTGCTGTTGTCTCTATACGGAAGAGTTGGGACGGAGTTGCTAATTTTTTATTATCGCAAATTTCTTTCTGCGGCAGCTTATATAATTATCGAGCCTTTAAGTATAGGAGTAGCAGTCGCCCTAAATTGGTTAATCTTTAACGAACGGCAAACACATGGTTCCTTGTTCTGGTTGGTCGTTTGCATAGGGGGGCATATTTTATATACGGCCGGTAATTATTATATATTAAAGGTTGCGGCTTTTATAACTAACACAATTTGAATGTTTGCAGTATACAAAGATAAGGCTGCTGTACACACTAAATAGGAAAGAGAATAAAAGGAAATTTATATAAAGTAGAATTCATTTGAAAGAGTTCTGTGGATCCGTTTCTTATACAAAAGATTCAAGGCCTGTTTAGAAATTGTTAGTAAGCAGTTATTAGGTTTAAATAAAAAACATAGATAAAATATAAAACTATACAAGGGTTGACATAATGAACTGTCTTTCAAGTTATCTTATGCTAAAAGTGGAGGGGGAAAAAACTAAAAGGAATTATGGCAGTCGTTAAGAAGAGGCGTTAAATGCGGACAGCTTTATTATGAACTATAAACTGATACGCAAGCAATTACAGCGCATGTTGCACTGCTCACCAGGATATCAAACGGAATTGTTGTGGCCTCTTCTGTAAAGCAAATGAAATGAAAGGATACCGTTAAGCCCCTTCCGGGTAATGAAGTATTCGCGAAGTTTTTTAAAATTGGCAATTAACTCCTGTAAAGAGTGATGTAACAAGAGACGACGTAACAGAAGTAGCCATACGTTGATCCCTGCTACAGTCGCCTTATTCACTTTTGTCTTCGTCTCAATGACGTTGTTCCATTGAGCGCAAAAGTTATTGGACTAGAAGTACTCATAGTAAAAACAGTTAAGAAAAAAAAATAGTGACTGTCACTTCCACCATATCAAGTAAGCTTTTTAAAATATCCAATGAATTCCTGGAGTTGGGCTTTTATGCACAATTTAAAAAAGTATGTCGGACAAGACTTAAAAATCGCCTTACGCTGTCCACTAAAAAGTCCGCAAAGAGGGAGTTTACTTAGATATTGGGTGTGAGTGTCGTACAACTCCGCGAAACTCAGGCAAGGTGTCAACTCCAAACAACATTGCGCCTGAAGGGGTTAATGAATGCTCTCTCGCAGAACTATACCTACTCAGTGGAGATACCGAGCACGAAATGAAGGCCCAAATACCAATCACAAACTGAAAAAAGGTAGGAGCTCGTAATAAGAAAAAACGCATGTCCGAGGTAAACTTTACGGCTTTGGCTTAGAAAAGATAAAAGTATATGAAGTTTTATAGACGAAAACAAAAAAATTACCTTTTATATAAAGTTGCTCAATAAAAGTTTTTGTGTACTTTACTAAAAAAAGGAATTGGAATATTCGATTATAAACGTCAATAACAGGCCCGTCTATAAGTAGATTACACGGCCACGACGTCTATATTCACAGTCATGAATAAGTATAAGATACTAGCACGATGGGGAGCTGTTACCTCGTAAGAAATGTAGTAGATTGGGGGGATTGTTTTTGTGCGCACTCTTTCCAGAAAGGGAACGCCTCTCTTTCCCAAAACGTCATAGGAAAAGTTGCCCTCTTTCAGAGGAGAGTAGCAAAATATCTCTTGAATTTGCGTTGTGGACGAAACGACCACCCCCTGAGGGCAGGCGAAGTCGGAGGACAACAGGCAGAAGCACTACTCCTATAAAACTTACTTGTTGAAAAAAACTTTCCAATACGCGGTCGTATTTTGGGTTTTCCATAAAGAAAACGGACCTATCGCCGTAAAAATAATTGAGCACAGATGAAAAGCAAATTTACATTGAATATTAAAGGTTAAGGCCACAGGAGACACCTTATAGCCCGCACGTGGAAGTTCAAAAGTTCCTGAATACGAGAAGTAAAGAAGCTTTCAGCTTTCTTCCGCAAGGAAATAAACCAGTGCAGGAGCCAATTAGAAAGTTGCTGTACAAATAAATGTGTGCCGGGATAAATAGTGGGATCGTTGGGGCAAAAAAAAGTTGTTTTATAAAAGTGCTGAAAAGTCGAAGCGAAATTGTTCTCAAATTCTTTTAAAAGAGGGGTAGAGTCCTAATGAGAAGGTTAGGGTAATATTTTTACGAAAGTGCTAGTAAGCACCTCGTTTATAACTTTAGCAATGGAAACAGAGTCCTTGACGTTTACAAAAAACTTCTTATGGCGCAGTAAAAAGTTTGGCAGGTTGTTAAAGCTATAAAAATATAGAGTACACAAAAAATTATGATGAGACATGCACCAACAGATAAGAAGTATCACAATTCTGTGCCATGAAAAATTTTAGTATCAGCAAAGATAATTCTATTCATGGTGATCAGGTAAAGTGCTAACGGAGGATACAACAGTCCAGCAATATCACCATGTGCTTCGCTGTTGCCTATAAATAAGTTTTTTAAAAAAAAATAAAATAAAAAATAAAAAAAAGTTACTTATGGTAATAAAAGAAATCAGCTCATCGATGATACGCACGCTCATGAGAAGTTCAGTATATTTATTTTGTTGGTTATCATTTTTATTGTTACTGTTGCTTATGAAATTCTGAAATGATTCCAACACTTTAAATAAAACTTGCGTGTTTCTCATATGGCGATGTACAACGCGAGTGCGCAAGAAAAAAAAAAGAAAATTCATTTGTTTATTTTGATGCAGTTCGTTAAAAATATCGGTGAGGTGCTTTTTATGTTTAAGTTGGTACCTAACGTTAGATGGTTTGCAAAGTGTATTAGATAACTTACTAAAAGTTTATTTATATACTATTTTAATATATTATGAATAACATTTATAATAGCAAGAAGGAAGTTAAGTCAGTAATAATTTTATTAACTTACTCCAGTAAAAATGCTATTATTATATAACTAACTTCTTTCGAAACAGCAACAACCTTAGTACAGCGTGGGAAAAGGCCTCCAGAAAACTTGTATAAAACACAGAAAAACAAGGCTTTTCAGAGTCATACGAGTATAAACTTTTCATAAAGACGCCAATTTTTTCCATTCGGCACCAAGCCCCAACAACCTCTAAAATCAAAGAAGTTAAGGCACCCCGCACTTAAACCAAAAGTCGCCAGCTTTTTTCGGGGCGTATAAGAGCTGAGTTATAAATTATTAATACTATCTTTATTATTATTATAATATTTCTCACCCGCTGGATGTCTTCTCCAATAATACCACAGGGAGGCCTTCAAGAGCAAGAAGACAGTCGTTAACGATCTAAAACGTATTAAAATAAATAGGAACAGACGTAAGAAAAGTTAAATCCAACCTGATAAGAAGTTAAGCAAAAAATATGACTGAGTGTGACTAAACGGGCACCTTATTTTTGCAAGCAGAATATTCTTAAAAATATAAATTAGTAAAGTGAAGTGAGTAATCGAAACTAATAAGGATAGAGGGTAAGGTTTAATAATATTATGATTATATATAATAACTAACCATTTCCCTCCTTTTTATATAAAAATAAGTAATAAAATAGATAAAGAATGCGGTTCTAGAGAATTTACTCTCTTCAAATTATTTTTATCAATAATAAAAGAAATATAATATCAAGAAGAAGTAACACAGTGTCAATAGTTAAAAGTGTTACTGCAGGATATTAATGTAGTTTTTTTAAAAATCCAAAGCAATTGTTCTAAAAATAAGTGAATATATGAAAACTTTGTATTACGATATCATCATGCGGGAGAAGGTGCGTAGGCGATGTATCAAGAAACTTCCGGTAAGCAGGAAGGTTATTATCCTTAAAGGTAGTATAAAGGTGTTATAGAATGGCTGAAAAAAGTTGATAAAAGGTAAATATTAAAATATAGATATGTGTAATAATAATACTACGAGCACTTCCCGAGATGCCTGAACTGGTTTGCTAAAGTTTCGCTCTCTCCGGTGAACTTTTTTTTTTTTAATTATGCTGAGTTTAAAAGTATATAATAATAAAGAGCAAGAGAATAGTGTTAGCACCTCCAATAGGGTGATAACAGAAATACAGAAAAGAATCATTTGCCTCAAACTAATAAAAAGTTATGATGTTCGCTATTAAATATACCACGAGAACTAAATGTGGCACTAATAAAAACAATAAAAAAAGGAGGCCCACGTGGACAGGGAAACTATTTCTAATTCGTTGGCTGATTCACTTGAAGGTGTCAGTTGTAAATCGTCAATATTCATATAATTTTCAGATGTGGCTAGATTTTTAGCAGTTCTCATAACATCATGGGACTGGTGTAAGCTGTTCGGAGCAAGCAAAATATTCTGAAGTGCCTCCTTTATATAGGAAGAAGCCGCGGTGGAAGGCTTGGTGAGCAATGAAATCGTATTATTAAAATTGCAGAGGAGGAGAAGAAGTCTTAAAACGTGGTAAAGCCAATAGTTGGCGTTCTGCAGTAAAAAATATGAGAGACAAAGTAAAGTAAATAGTATGCACATTAGCTAATAGACTCTTGAGAGCATCGAAGCAAGTTTGGAGTCTTTTTGCTCGCTCCAGTTGATTTTGACACCGAAAAAATTTTAAAACTCTTTAAACAGTAGAAAAGTTTACTATTTAATAAATAAAGTTTATGACACAAAAGTTATTACAAATGTTGAAGTGATAACTTTCTGTTAGAATAAGTAAAAGTTTTATCGGTTTTAAATAAAAGCAAACACCGTTCTACTTCGAGAAGAACTTCCTCTTTGCAATGGAAACCGGCAGTTGACTCTACATTTCCCTTGGCACTCCAAAGCGTTATAGGCATCGCAAAAACCTGAGAGTGTACAACTTAATTCAGTAAACTTACATAATTCTTTAACAACCTCTCAAGATAATGCTTTATTAGCTAGTAATCGAAATGGATTGATAAACAATTCAAAGGTGTAACGGAAATTTAATTAATTTAATATAAAATAGCGCTACATGCAATGACTATATACGTAATATTAAATTTAATATATGAAAAGAAAATGAAAAAAAAACAATGCTTCAATATTAAAATATATTTTTTTTAATAAACATGAATTCCTTTACTAAGTTTAAAATCCACAGAAACTTTAAACTTTAACAAGTAAATTAAGTTATCTGATAGAACAGTATTAAATTATTTATAGTTCCTTTATATATTACTTAATTAAGTTTAATTTTTCAGATTTAGGTAAAGCTAGATAATAAAAATAGCCAGAAAACAATAAGCAAGAAAATTTCTAGCGATAGTCCTGGTGGGAAGTCAAAACATACGTGCGAAATTTTTAGTCGTTTAAATAAAGAAGTTGTAGACTCCGATTCCGTAAATTTAACTATGATTCATACATTGCAGGAGAGACTAAGAGACTATTAAAAAATACCTGGACTTAGATAATTGACATTATTTCATAAAGGAAAAGACGATAGCGGTTGCGGACTAAGAACCTATCGCCTTTTTTTCAGTTAGCGTTATTTTTCAGTGTTCCACCTAAGAACCGCTTAAGAGAGGGCTTTCCGCTCTTTGTTTCATTAGCAAGCGTTAGCTTTCCCGCCATGCCGGAAATCTGTTCCTGAACTCGGAAAGAATAAGGAGGAAAGTAGGTTAACTCTAACAAGCGTCTCTCTGCTTACTTAAGCTCCCCCTTATGAATTCTAATAGATACAATTTAGATCATGCAATATATAAAGATAGAAAAATCATAGTACTTTTAAATCGCTACTTAGACGGTAATATATAAACCAAATACTCTAGTATCCAACGCAGTTTTATGGAATATTATAAGTCCTAAATTTTTTAAAGGGTAATAATAGTGCAAGTAAAAGTGGGTAAAATCAGTGCAAGACAGCGTTCGGACGTATTTACGAACACAAGCTCTTTATTCAGTGAAAAAGGATAGCACGAATTTTCAAAAGGAGACCTTCAACTAAGTAGTATAATACTTTTGTAATCCGTAAGTTTGGTTGTTCTTTGTTTACTGTGTCTTTACGCGAGGGACTAAGCAGATGGGGGTTCATTAATGACTTAAAAACTATAAGATAAAATTACTGGTGTAACTTAGACGATATTCAGATATTTTAAGTAAAAAGTTAATTAAGTATATATATGTGATGTTTGTTAACATGTGCTCGAATTACGGAGTTGTACTTTAACAGATTAAACATGTAAAATAATCATACCGGGAGTTGTCGTCTTAGCTCTGCTATTAAGAGCTTTGACCGCACACTCAAAGTCATTGGTTTGATTTTCACCAACGCGACTTCATTTTTCAGTCTTTGATGGCCGCATATCTAACCTCGCCCTCATAAATTCTAATATACTTTTTGAAAGTCCAAAATTGTGGGGGAAGTTGGTGTGCAGCAGGTGGTTTCGTGCTCACTAGTGTATTATTTAGCAAGAAACGCATATATCATAGGCTGTCCTTTTTTTGGCCTTTGGCTCCCTTTTATTGGGTATAGATTTCAAACTACGCGATAAGCAAAAAAACTTCCATGGTTGTGTTCCTTATGTTTAAGAAGTACTTATTAATATATACGTACGAGCGGCCAGACCAAGAAAAGAATCTGAAGAAAACTATGCTCAACCTTTGCCTGAAGATATAATTTAAAATTTTACGAGAGAGCTGCATGCAATTATATAGAAATGAGTGTCAAGTAGGGGATATTAGTGTACGCTGTATATAAGGAAAAAGACAATTGGACCTGTGTCTAAAGTTTGGCGAATTGTTGAAAAACACTACAATAATGTGAGAGTAGTAAAATTAATTAAGTAGCCAGGGAGTTCTCATTAGTGAGTTAGTTAAAGCTAAGAAGTTAATGGTCGCCAGCATGGGAGGGGGGTCTGCGCCGATAAAATTTTTTTTGCTATATATTTCTGGAGAAACTAATTTACTTAATTTTATCGAAACGCCAAGAGAAAAAATAGTACATAATTTAAAAAATACCCTTGTTATAAAACTGCTTCTAAAAAAGATGCTTACAAACCTAACATCCTTTAACGAAATACGAAATTAAAGTTAAAGAAAATGGCACTGGTAACAATAAGAGGAAAATGCGGGGAGACACATAAAACACGCTTTATAAAATTATATGCAGGTAGTAATAAATAAGTCTAGTGTAAAGGCGAGGGCATTGAAAATGTCTAAAAAGAGCCTGAATGAAATGCGTAGGTGTTATACTCTTCAGAGCCCACGAAAGAAGCGTAGCAAAGAGATATAGACGCCGAATGAGTGTAAAATTAATATGACAGTAAGGACAGAAAAACTGTTTAGCACACCAGAGAGATAAACGAACTATTGAAAATGTACATGCGTTCGTTAGCTTAGATAGGAAAGTGCAGTGGGTCGCGTTGTCCTTCGAACATGTGAGTGCGCATTTCGAGTATATAGGTAATTAAAGGTCTGGAAATACTCATTGTTACGCAGATGAATTCTTAAAGGCTTTAAAATATACTGAATAATAATTCCTTGCAATCTGTAAACTGGCGTAGACAGAAATGAAAATATATGGTTAAGATGCCTTTAAAGAACCGAAAGCTTGTTAAGAGGGAGATACGAGTGCAAGGAGAGGGAACTAATTAGCTCGAAAAACAACTTAACGGAAGACCAGGTTTAAGGGTTTAATAATTCGTCGAGACCAAAGCTTTAAGATAGACTACAGTCTTTAAACCAATAGACAAACTATATACTCATTGCGCTACTGAGCTGCTGGGCAAAAGGTTTTTGCGTTGACTAGGTGAAAAGAGAATAATACGAATAGTTATGTACAAACTCTTAATATTATATATATAATAGGAGAGCTAATCGTTAATTGGTATCTGAAAAATTTAATAGTAGAAATGTAGAGTAAAACACAGAGTTGTAAAAAATGGAGCTGTTTTTAAATTATTACAAAACAGTGGTTGATTTTTGTATGGTACAATTGATATAAGGACAGCCTCAGGGTAAAGTTGGTTACCACAATAGCCGGTTTACAAAATAACTTTGAAATTAGAAATTTTTTTTTGACCAGGGACGTGGAAATGTAACTTGATAATAATTTGGGGTTTTTTGTTAGGAGTCTTTTAAAAATCAGCTTTTATTCACTCTTCTATGTTACATTATAAAAGAAAATAAAGCTGAATTGTTTGTTAGGCTGAAGTCGCTAGTTTATAATAAGCGTGAAAAAAAAACAGGTGATCCACAAAAGATACTACAGTCATCTCCTTGGATCGTACTAATGGGGTTAACTCTTTTAATGATAGAATACTACATGTCCAAATTTCTTTATCAAACATGACATTAAGTCATTCTGTCTAGAGTAGTGGACTATCGTTGAAACAGCTAGCAGAGATGAGTAAGGGTAAGAGGGCCCATAATTTTTTTTACGGCTACTAATTCTACTAATTCCTGACTCGAGATAAATTGGGAGACTGAAAAAGCCATGTTTAAAACCGAGGTAACGATTAATGGCTCCCTCAAAACACAAATAAATAAATTACCAGTTTTAAACTTCAGTTGAAATTTAGTTTTTATAAACAATAAAATGAAGCTTGCAATGACCATTTAATTTTATTCATCTATATATTTCACCGACTTTAAAAAATGGCATCTGAAAATTTAAAATATTTTAAATTTTCCTGCATGGGAAATATGATAACTAATCATTATTTCAAAGTATATGAAAGAAATAATAAAGTTTACTATTAAAAAAACCATTATAGACTAAATATGAAATTTTAGTTTATTTACCTTTTTATGATAGTTTTTACTTTTAATAAGATCCTTTAAATAGGGGAAAAGTTAACCTTTAGATTGTAATAGCTTAAAATATATATAAAGTAGCTAAAGATTAATTGATAAGCCTCATGTAATACTAAAAAACTACTTAGAGGTTTTGTCGATTTTAATAACGTTAATATTAGTAGGGCTATGCCGTTATACTTAATAAAAGGTTTTATTCCTTGCCTTAGAAAACGGGTATCTGGGATTAACATAAAGACGATGTTTTTAACCAATCAGTCAAGGCATTTGAATTATTTTTTTTTAAATGGTCATTTGCTTTATATGTCTACCTAAATAGCAACTTAAGGACAGTTATTTAGAGCGAATGAAATATAATTTATATATTCTATATGGTAAGAACACACTTATCAGAAGTAATTTTTTAAATTTAGTAGGCTATATGACTTTATTACTTTAACATCAAAAAGTATTTACTTTCTTTAAAAATGGTTGGAAAAATTATTGTAATTTTTCATATATATTTATTTCATTTTACCATTTTTGCAAGCTCAGCTGAGTTTGAAAATAGTTCAAGCTGGATTAATGATAGGGAGAGCATGTGGAACAAAACTGGACTTGACTTAGAGGAGTGGTGGATACAGGAGATCACTGATCACTACCAAAAGGAGTATGACAGAAGAAGCGATAATGATTTCTGGTCTAGCGTTATAAAAAATTTTCAAGAAAAATGGGACGAAATAGGAGAGTATTTTATTAAATTGTATGGAGAAAAGGCAGAAAGTAATTTTAAAGCATATTGGAATCGTGTGGGTAAACAATTTTCTAAGTTTTGGAAATCTAAAGGTGAGACCTACACGTCCAGGTATTGCCATAAAAACAGCACGCATAGCTTGCATTCAGAATCTATATATTGGCATAAAGTAAATGACCTGTATGATACAATTTGGCAGAAAAAAGGTGAAAGTTATGATAAGCTTTGGAATAGATTGTGGCTTCCTGAAACTTTACCACATTCTTTTAATATTGAAGGAGATTTTATTGAGCCAGTTAATACAGTGTCAAGTATATCTACTAAAACTAGCCCTCATGTCGAAGTTCACACTATGGAGACGGTCTATCAAAATGTACCGCCTACTGCCGTCTTCTCTATGGAAACAACCGATCAGGTTAGACCTTCCATTACAACTTCAAGTGACTTTGCAGAGAAAAAAGTAGAAATAATGATTAAAGAAGCAACTTATCCAAATGAAGCGTCTACCGCAGCTGGCAACGAATTAGATGATGACTTTGTAGTCACTAAAACAAAAACAACTGTTATAACTATATATTGGTAAAAATTGTTAAACTTTCTATAATAAAAATTTAAAAGATAACTATCTTTTACTACAATCTTTAAGTACATATTGTTAACGATCTGAAAATCGTAAATCTATTTAAGATAGTAAGCACCCACTTGAAAGCTAAGAATAGAATTAAATAGAAGAAAAAGTTAAGTAACTTAGAATAAGAAAGGAGTTAAGACTCAACTAAATAAAAGCTCTGCACAGGCGAATATAAAATTAATAACCAGCTGCTTAGAATAGATTAGGACTTAGAAACTTGAAAGGAACTTAGGTTAAAAAATTAAGCGAAAAACGCTTCATTATAAAGAAGCTAACTTAAGAAAACCCTTATTGTCAAGTATAAGCCTTAATATATGTTTAAAGGCTAGAAGCGCAAAATATAATTATGGATAATTTAATAAATTCGTTGGGCAACTTAATTTAGTCCGAGACGCGAGCTAGAACCTAAGGTTAATAAATTTATTCTAAA